ATAAATGTATTTCCTTATATGGCAACCCTTACCCTCACCTTCAGCGATTGAATTCAAGAATTCCCTATAAATAATAATGTATCGAACGTTTCATCGGATAAAGCTGATGTGATCACTTTTTGCTGCTAACATGTCTTAACCCCATTTGCTTCTATGTTGAGTTCACTTTCAATTTTGTTCACTCTCACACACCGGTTATCTCTCTTTTCACAACTATGAGCGCAAACGGTTGTCTTACGTAGCTGAACACAAAGCTCGAAGCTGAAACGTGTCAGACACTTCACCAAACAAGCCTGGGCCAGTCACGTTCTGTCGCTGATATTCCTTAACCTCGCTTACTTCCATGTCAAATTCATTCTCACACGCCGCTTATGGCAGGTTATCTCACTATTCACATCTACTAAGTCAAAGATTGTTTATGGTCTGGCCACTTTAGGCAACCCATGGGCAAGTGTATGGTGTACTTCATATTTATTTTGCCTTGTGGTTTGAATGTGAGACATAATGACATAAAATGGGGGCTAATGCATTCCTACTAACTCTTCATCTCACGGGTGCTCTTCTTGAACCTGACACAGTGATGTCACTTACATATCACTCCGAGGCATATGTGGTTGGGGACACATGCCCATGTGAACAACAGCTATGGATGCTTGCAACCTGTGTATAGAGAATGGCGAAGGCAGATGTGAGTGGTTTCGTGCTGTGTGCTCGCGATCTTTCGTCTGCTGCGGAGGTCCATGGACAACACATAGCAATAGAATGATGCTACACGGTCGCTCGTGTTGATGATGCACATCACATGAAGCCATGGGAAGGTCCAGAGCGCCACTGGTCTGCGAGAACGGAGGACAAGGTGATTTGATATGGCCGTGAATAGCGCCGTGGTGCTCGAAACAACTGTTAAAGCGAAGACGGCGACACCTCTGCGCTGCTGAGAAGGATAGCTGGGCGAAGACCAATCACACACGCTAGTGTGAGCTCACCTTGACTGTGGCGTGGGGGTACGGTGTCTTGGATACTCACATGTGGGTGCTTTTGTCATTTGTTCGAAAGGCGAGCCACGCACTCGAGAATGCCAGGGTGTATGCGCGTGAGGACAGCACGATGCAAAAAGAGAGGGACTCAACTCTACATGCACACACTATCATGCCCTTGCCATCTTTCACAACCTCCTTCGCGGTGATATAGGATCCAGCGAGCGGATACCGGGCAGATGTCAGCCTGTGCGCCCTTCGTTTGCCCATAGTCCTGCACCTCGATGTTCGAGAGCATGGGCCCTTCTCGTCTTCACGCAGCAATGTGTTTGCGTTTCCGATTTATTGGCCTGCTTCTTCATGCCCTTCGTCGTCGGAGACACTGCATCGAGTATCAGTGCAGGGCTTGATCACCGCGCAGGTATAAGCATTGCACAAAGTTCCAGTAGCCACAGAAGGGTAAGCAAGTAGACAGAGAGAAAATGAAGGCCAGGAGACATGGAAAGGGGTTATAAGGTAGATGACATGCCGAAAGGTTGACTCCCCGCCCAGGGAACGAGACATGCTGGCTAGCTGGAGGCAGGTGGCGAGGGGCGCTGCTGTCGAACGAAAACGAGGCTGACTGCCCAGACTTCTGTAGAAAGGTGGCCGTGGATAATCGCAGTGACAAACGACAAAGTGGTAAAGGGCGTCGATGTACGAGAGCAGAACGACGTTCATGCGTCAAACGAAGACGGGCGGTTTGGGCTCGCGAACGGATTGAAGCTCTGAAGGATACTGCTGTGGCGACGAACTCCATTGTCTGAACGTTCTCAGCTGTACATTTGAAGCTGATGGCTAGCAAAGGTACTTACGAGGACGACACAGGGTGTCGATGCGATGCCGTGTCACGAACGCGTCGACCCGTCGCGCGTCGTGATCTTCATCGACCATGGTCCCGACCAAGCCTTTCCGCCAGGGGCCTCTCTGTCTTGCACTCCCGTGGCTGTCCGCTGCCATAATCGCTAAGCATTGCACTATTAGTGTTACTCGCCGGAGTACACCGACAGCTCATCGTACCTATATATAATATCGTCACCTGTCTGGTCAACTTGGTCACTAGTCCGAATCTCGAATGACTGATCGCCTCTCGACACTGCTCGCTTGGTGCTCTTCCAATGGCATTAGCATTCAGCCATCCATCTCTCTCCTGGATGTCCCGGATGCCGGCATAACCGTCCGCTCGTATGAGGACATTCCGTTGCATACCATTGGTGCGTGTTCTCAACGATACGGTACAAGTAAGGTGATTGAAACCTCCTCTCCCAGTCGCCTCAATCCCCAAGTCTGCCATTCTTTCAGTGCGCTCTTCTGTCCTCGCTCATTCCATCCCGCCTGCGCCATACGGCCACTCTGCTCGGCTCGCACTTGCTCTCGCGCTCTACGCTGAGATGTGAGTAGTTATTCCTTTTCATCCCCCGCATGCGTTGCTCATGCAGTTGGCTCACTCCTTCTGCCGTGCGCATTATTCAGTCTCACAGGACCTACGTCCCGATTCTACGGTTATCTCCAATCGCTACCCGCCCGCACAGTGCCTATCGCCCTACTGTGGGGCTCTGCTGATGCTCATCTTGACACTGACAGCAGATCTGAGCCTATCAGCGAGGACAGTAGAGAAGCAAAAGAGTGGATAAATGGCACGGAGGTTGAGAAGGAATTCTTCGGAGACGATGATGGAGAGCTTATGGTGAGCGACAATTGCCCGTCTCGCGCCAAGGCTAATCCCTGTGTATATGCAGGGCGAGATCAGAACATACTTCGAAACAGTCGTGCGAACGCTGCTGTCCGACGCAAACGTGACGTTCGCCGACTTCCTTCGTGCATACTCCCTTGTCAGTTCGCGCGCATTCCTTGTCGACGCATACCATGGGCTGGCGATGGTGCCTATTGCGGACGCGTGGGTGTCCCAAATCCATTCCTCCTCATAGTATCATATCAATGGGCTTATTCATTGTCAGGTTCAACCACTCAAATGAGAATCAGGTCCATCTTGAGGTGTGCACGCCAATCCACGGACTGCACACCCAGCTAACGATATCGGATGTCTCCAGAGCGACTTTGATGTCTGCCCGACATGCGGGTCACTTGCAGAGTGTATACATGATCGCGAAAACATCTCCAGCTCAGTCCCCTCCAATTTGAGCCCGTCCGCAATCCCGATCGCTGCTCCTAGCCCGTCAAATCTAACTCGAACCGTGCCAATTCGCACCTCGCCTTCCGTTGAATTTGCTCCTGACACCGTCGACATGGTCACCACCCGGCCCATCCCTGCGCACACCGAGGTATTTAATACATACGGCACATACCTTGGGAGTGCCGCTCTCCTTGCACAGTACGGCTTCGCGCTCGAAGGCGGCGAGGGTGACGGCGTGGGATGGAACTGGGAGGAGCTGGTGACGGGACAGGGCGAGGATGAAGAGATGCAAGCGGAGTTTCCCATGCTGGAGGACAAGAAAGCGATGGAGACGATGTTCAGGAGGCTCGTAGGGGTATGGCGACAGTCACGGTGGGCGTTGGGCGTGGATGACAGCTCGCTGGTGTATGTGCCGGCAATGGACAGTGAAATCGAGCCTGAGTCTGGCGCCGCGCGCAGGAGAAGATTGGAGGACGCAGATCACATGGAGGTCGACGGACTACGCGAAGAAAGTCCTGAGCAGGTGCACTTGTCATCGAGTGACCACCATCCGGGGCCCTCACTTATCCTCAGCGGGTCGCGCTCTCTTCTCCGTGTCAATAGCGATGCACAGATTAGCGTGCAGCTCTGGTTATATGTCGCGCTGCGCACCATTCTCGCCGTCCTCGCCTCCAGCACCGTCAGCGTTGACGGCGAGGAGGACGATCGCGTCGCGCGTATCACGCTCGCAGGCGATGTGCCGGATCCGCGGTCGGGTGATTGGCTAGCGATGGTGAGGTTCTTAGGAGAGGTAGTCGCACTGCAGGCGGGTGTGGAGAAGGTGATTTCGGAGCCGGAAAGAGAGGGCGTACCGGGGGATGAGATGAGAAATGCAGGAGTTGCAGTAAGTATCGCCTCAGCGGTATACACCAAAGACTAATGACAGCGCACTATATGCAGGTGAGACTTATCATGTCGAGAATGGCGAGACTGATCGCGGCGCTGTGTCGCGCTAAGAAGGCGCGCATCGGAAGGTACCCGGAAATGAGCACTGCTCAATTGGGTGAGATCCTGGACGTGAGTCCCTTTTCTCGACTGTCTGTATAGAGTGCCGATCAAACGAATGCTCGTGCGTGTCCTTACAGAGCCTCCCCGAGGACAGACCGAAGACGCGCATGGCAATCACTCATGTGTTGACGGAGCGGATGGTGCTGGAAAGCTGCGAGGCGGCATGGAAAGACCTCGAGCTCGCAGTGCCGTTCCGTATGCCCATCGTCAGACGAGTTTAATGTCGGTGAGATCCTTGTTCACGCTATTGGTGCTCGCACGGAGTCACCCCCTTGCATGACAATAGGGTCAATTGCATTTATCCGTTTGACTATGCGAGTCATCTTTAACTCGAGGCTCTTCCGATAATGTGGCCTTGGCATCGGCTCTGGTCACATACTTCAATCATTATGATTACACGGATCGATTTGATAATTATTGGCTTTACGCTGCAGGAAGCTTCGTTTTCGACTTCCAACTGTTTCCTGATCTTTTTTTACCCTGCTCCTGGGCTTGTCAATTTTGTTCGGAAGCTCTCAAGGCCGGATTGGGTGCGATGGCCGATGAGAGGGACGGGATTGCCAGTCACCGCATGCTGAATCGCAAAGTCAGCCTTTCTTGACCTCCCCGCAGAATTGACGAGATGGATTAGGCACCATGCCAATCTCCTCGCAGAACATTTCGGTAATACATGGATATCGGCCCGTCGGTCGGTGCAGTTGACTTTCTCGGCAGCAAACCAGAAATCGTACCCCAGATGCTTGGGATCGCGGGAATACAAACTGATAGACTGCCGAACATGATCGACGCAGAGAACGGCAATCTCGAGCACGAAGAGTTATGCGAGCATGCATCGCGAGGATGCTGTCGCTACTGTTTACCCTCCAGGGATCATTTTACTTTCAAGCCATCGAGCTTACCGAGGACCCGACGATAACACCATCGGCACTTTCTTGATGCGCGCTGACATTCCTACTGAGCGACGCCGGTCATCATGAGTAGAAGATGACGGAGAGATGGGAGTGGGCAATGACGTGTAACTGCCGCTGCCGTCCTACGGCTCCTACTCCCGAACCGCGCATACACTCTAACTTCGGTAAGGTTACGCCAGGTCGAACTCCACAGCCACTCGTCGACGTTGCCCTTCATCGTCCCAAGCTTCCTCGCCCTCCTCCCTGCGGTTCCTGTGCTCGCCCTACCGCAATAGCAGCTTGGCGTGTTCAACTTTTCGGTCGCGCGGACTTCACGGCACGCTGTAAGCCGTTCTACACGCTCGAACGGTTCATGCTTTACATCGTTTCTCCGGTAGCATGGTATCAATTTTCGCCTCATGGATCATGGATGCTGTGGGGCCTAGGAGTTTCCTGCACCTCACGTACTTCGACCTCGAGTGCAGCCGTGGCCTGTCGGAGACACGCGCGATGAGATATCGGGCTCGTCAGCGCGTGGCGCAGCGCACCGCTGAAAGTGATCATGGTCGAAGGCACTACATTCGTCAGTTTGGAGCTCTTCAACCCTATCGCGCAGGCGTCCCTGGGTCTCTTTGCGCTCACGGTGATTTGCAAACAGAGTGCACGGCAGCGCTTGATGCTGCCCGTTTCGTCGCCAGTGTTGTCCTGGGAGTACGCCCGCCTTCTTGCGAGCTTTACGCATGTCAGGCACTTTTGGCGGGACCTCAGCGTGGGGCCGCTCGCCTGCGACACGATGTTCGGCCCGCCGTATGTTGAGTGTGTGTTGGGGGGGAGACGTTGGAGGAGAACAATATAGTGTGCTCTGAGGTGACATTGATTGTCAAGGTGTTCCTGGCACTCGAATCGCTTGGGTTTCTCTCGAAGCTACGTGTAAGGATGCATTTTTACGATGCGGAGCGGCCATGCAGTGACGATTCGCAGAACAAGAATCTGGATCTGTGTCTGTGTGACGTGAATCTGGCGATGATATCCAAGGACACTCTTGGATCACGAGCCGATGCTGCATTGACCGTAAGTTCCTTCCCTTTGTCTCCAACTCATTCATATGCACGACCGTCAGCCTTGTAGAAGCCTGCGCCGTCTCCATGCAGGGTCGGTGACAGAATCATTCAAAAGAAAAGTGGTAGTATCCGGTCGCAATGACGTTGTAATCACAGCCAGCGCCACGTTCATGGAACGATATCCGGTGGCAATCGCAAAGCAGTGAGCATTTGAAACGATTCATAGTAGTATAGTCGTTTCGCACCTCATCGCGATCGCATGTTCTGAGCTTCGTAGACATATGCTACCACGGCCATCAGCAACAAGCAGGATTTTACCCTTGCAGTGGGAGACGGGTAACAGGGCGTTATGCCAGTATCTCGGCTTGCTTTGCAATCCACTATGATGGATTGTGTGCAGCCGGGTATCCCTTCTATCAATGCTTCGTCGTCGCCATTCTCTTTCCACAACTCGAGGTGAGCATTCGAGCATTCAGCATGTGTATTGATGCTAGACAAGCACGATCAGCCTTACAAGGCCGGAATAGGGGATAATCCGCCAGAAAGCGCACAACTCGCTGGCTTGCTCTCCGCACCTGCCGCAAAGAGCCGAAGCAAACGTCCTCGGGTCTGCGCAAGCGCGGCCGTTCTCAATATAACGAGCGGGTGCAGTCGTCATGTATTGACTTGAAGGAGGTGGTATGCGTGTGAACGTGCAAGAACTCAAGGTCAGAGGACACAAACTAGATCCTAGCTCTGAGGATATCCCCCTGCGGTCAAGTGCACTCAATATATGCTGAGACGAGTCGCGACGCGCTCCGGAAATAACTATGTCTGTCGTGGTTCCACCGTTCAAGCCTGCTGCAATAAACAAGATGAATGATTGGGTCATTTTATAACAGTTCTCATACGTCTGAAACGATCAAATACAAAATAAGTAGCTAATGTTACAATGTGTCTCTCCGCCGTCCCACGTGCTATGTGTCGCATTCACTTACTTCCAGTCCCACTTTGGGGAGTAGCCAAGCTCGCGCTTCGCTTTGTCGATGCTCAAGAGCGTGTCGTTTTTCCCCTTTGTGGGCATGTAGGGAATACCTGGGAAGCAAGCAGCGACCAAATCTGCATTTGGCACGCGCATCGTGGTGTTCTACAGGTGAAGTATCGTCAGCAATCTGTCAGTTCTAACGTGGTGCCATTTCAGCATACCGAATTTGCGATCAGGAACTGGTGATGTCCAGTAGCTTTGTACTCGAGAGACTTGCGGATCGCTTGTGCGCCCTAAGAGAAGAGATAAGCGAATCATTGACCACTAACAGGTCAACTTATAAATCAGGGACGCACGTCGCGAGCATCGATATAACCGAACAGGCTGCCACATGGTGTCAGATTGGTCTTATATATTAGATGCAACGGACACCGCGCCTACTTCCACTTCCTGATCATTGGATCCTTCTGCCACGTTTCAAACGCAGCGTAATCTTCGGGCGACTGCACGTTTGAGAATCGCAAGGACACGATCTTCGTCGAGGGGTCCCAGCGAGCATACTCCTCTGACATGACCTATGCGAGATGAATAAAAGACCCTGATGTCTAACAAGAAGAACGCACTTCGCCGACAAGCTTACTAAGTGAATATGCGCTCTCGGGCCTACGCGGAGAGTTTTCGTCCACAGGAATGCGATCGGGGAGCCATGGACTGAAAGGAAGACCGAGGAGGGTCTCGGACGACGCCAGGACGAGGTTCTTGATGCCGAGCTTCCGAGATGCCTCAAGGATGTTGTACGTGCTAGGTGAGCGTTAAGCTTCATTGCATTGCATTTACGCAACTAATGAACGCACGACATGGCATTCAGGGAGAACTGAGTTGAAGAGGCCATCATGCCTGGCGCAGGCAGTGCTGCAAGATGAACTATAGCGTCAATCTTCTTGTATTTCTAGGGTTCATACAAAATCAGCATCACGATAACAAGCAACCATCACAGCAACGCCGATACACACCGTGTCAACCTCAATCAGGTTCTCCATGACTTGACCCATATCTTGCAGTTCGGTATGTATAAAGATGATCTCCTTCGGTGCCGAGGGCGGCGGCGCAGCCCTGTCGAAATTGATGACCTCCCACCCATTTTCGAAGAGGTCCACAACGGCGGCGCGACCAAGCTTGCCAGAGCCACCTGTCACGACCACGCGTGGTTTCTTCGCTGCGGCCTCAAACTCATCCGCAGGCAGGGCAAGGGCCCGTTCGGCCGTGAACGAAAGAGGACGCGACATGATCTGCGGTTAGGTATGGCTGGCGCTGAGCCGGGTGTGGTGTGGTTGCCGTGCCATGAGGAAATGGATATACGAATGGTCGTGGGGCTCATCATCCCGTCGGTAGCCCGATGACAATGGAGAGCAGCCAGGCCGCTAGTTTGCATAGGTACAAAGATGCTCTGTAAAAGTCCGGATGAGCAAGCAGATAGACAGTTAGATGCATCTCATGACTACGGATAAGCGCGAAACCCAAGAACTGGTCATGGCCTCTTTATTTTTTGCCTTCGCGAAGATGGATGCAAATATCTGCGTACCTCGATGACAGAACGTTGTGATTCACGAGGACGATTGTACGCTTTCTGAATGACAGCAGCATGCATGCGCTGGCATCGTAGTATTGGTTCTTCACACCCTCGGAAGCTCTACAGCCACATATCAAGCCATTTGACGGAGAGGCACAGGCAATGAGTGGTTGGATATCGGGCCGCCCGCCATTTCGTACCGTATACGGTGTCCTCTGAGTCTTCGCTTCTTCTGTGAGTGACAAGGCGTCCGTTATAGATAGAGGCGCGCCATTCCCACTGGCTGCAATGCGATTACGCAGAGATCCCACAGTCGTCATTCTTCCAAGGTCTGATGATGCTCGGACGCGATATCTGCTAACCTGGGAGTTGGACTTGGCGAACGCGGTAGCCATCGCCACTCAAACATGTCGAGACGACATGATCAAGGTGTGTATCGTAGAGAGTAACCGCGTTAGATCGTGAGGAGGAGCGCGATCCTCCCTCCCGATAAGGGCCGAAGGTGAACTTCAACTACTCGAGTGTCTGTCGAGGTTTAGGTATCGCGAGCTAACGTCTGTCTAACAAGATGCATTTCTTCTTTCCTACTACTTCATAAACTTATCCTATGATACATGCTTACAGTACATTACTACTTCACACATAACGTCCGTCAAGAAGCACCGTGCCCGTGTCTGTCCTCCGTACCTAGGTCCTATGCACGATCCGCCCGGTCCTGTACCGTTTCTTATCCGCCTCGCTCTGCTCCTCGTCCATTAAACCCATCGTGATATCATCAAACTGCTCCGCGTCCTCGATGGCCTGCTGGTCCTCAGGGTCCCAGCCTCGCCACATATCGTCCATGTCGTCCTCCAAGGGGAGCGGCTCGATAGTGCTCGAGGGCGTCGAGACAGACTCGCCCGAGTCACCTTCACCACGCGACACAGAGCGCGACATCATGACGCCTTCAGGTATCGCGGGTCCGACGTCGTCAAACAAAAAGTCCTCATCCTCTTCATCGAACTCGAGCGGGACCGAGGATGGCATATGATCGTCTGGACGGGCTGTCAACCGAGGAGATCGGGTCTTTCTAATCTCCCGCCGCAGCCTTCCTAGGCCCCCAGACATACTGTCACCGAGGCCAGCAGCTACGTTGCGTATCGGTATCGTTCGCCTGAAAGACCTGGCGGTGGAACCCGGGGCGCCATTGGGGAACATAGGCAAGATCGGTGTCGACGGATGCATAGGAGACATCTCTGCTGATAGTGCGGACGCCAAAGGTCCATCGAACGAGGACGAAGTTCGTCCGATGGCGCCTGTTGCGCCGAGGTCCTGCACAAACCCTTCTTCGAACCCTGCGGGGTAGGCATTCACCTCCACCCTCTTGCGGACCTCGAATCGAGCTGCAGGGACATCGAAGTGGTGGCTGCGAATAACAGCGTGGTAGTCCTCTCCTAGAGAGTAGAAGCTGAACTGGTGTGACAGATAGATGGAGCGCGGCAAGATGCGAGGAGACGCAGAGTGCGTAGACAACTCCGCGCATGACAACCAACTGTGCATACGATGAGAACCCTGAAACATCGAAGATAATCAAAAACGTACTCTGTTTTCCCTGGACGCGCTATATATGGTTGTCTTGCCTCTTGTCTCAATACCTGCTTCACCTCTGGCCAGTCTCGCCCGCGTCTGAGATACCAAGTGCCTACTCTCGTTTCTCGTGCGACAAGCTTCGCGGATTTCTCCATAACCTGATTGAGCGTAGAAGATTGTTGCGGGCTCGTCCCGCTGCTGACGGGCGACGTACTGACCCGTGCGAGCGCATTCATACCAGGAAGAGACATACTAGTGCTGCCGCCAATCGGGATAGATCCTATGGATCCGTGCTCATCGGCGTGCCGGTCAATGAAGAAGCGTCGTAGCGAAAGCGTCCCGTCGCACGGATCGAACAGCAGGACATCTTGATAGTTGGTAAGCCTTCGAGCCGTCTTCGTAGGGGACGTCTGTCCAGTGGAATGGACAGATGAGGGAGAGGAGGACGTGGAGAACGTCACTGCAGTAGGCGGAAGGAGAGAGGACGGCAGTGAAAAGGAGGATGAGCGAATAAATTGGAATGCAAGGGGTGCGTGGCGTGATTGAGGCGAGGGCATCTGGTCCATGTGCATGCGAATTAGAGAATGGACCTCTGTCGAGAGAGGTGGCTGAAGTAAGAGCATCGTCAGATTCCATATAGCAGCAAGCAAAAATTAACACGGACAATGGTCGTCGTGTTCATCACCCTTCCAGACAGATGGCTAGCCTCGTCAGGACGTCCTCCATACGGGTTGACAGCAAAGACATGCACGGTGCGGGCACGGGTCCCAATAGCGAACCACCGCGCATCATTTGACCAGTCCATGTCCTCAACGATCGCAGATGTGCGCCCGCGCCGTAGACTATAGACGTGCCACGGCGGTTCAATGGGGACAGGTTGCTGTGAAGAACCACGGGAATGCCGTTGAGGGCCAGTTCTGTCACCAGTCGACTGACCTTGGTCGCCTTCCTCCCCGCTGGTAGGCAATGCACGCAATGCCCTAGCTATAGGCCTGAGCCTGTAGATTTTCGCATCACGGCCATCCTTGAAGGACATTGCTAGAGACGTTCCGTTCGCGGAGAATCTAAGGCTACTTATCGGCTGGTGTTTCGAGCCAATGAAATCGGCGATCTTGTCCGGCTCTGGAGAACAAACGAGGAGCGGCTTGAGGTCAAACACGACCACCTTGCCTCCGACTACAGGAGCGATTGCCGACCGATAGGAATGAGAGGGCGAATCATGGCGTCGTTCGCCAGAAGGGTGCGCTGAAGGAGAAGCAAGGGTTCCAGGCGGCACAGATATCGAAGACCGCCGTGACTGACCAGCAACACTGGCAGTGGGGGCGCTCCTGGAGAAGAACATACTAGTCAGCCCAGTGGGGGCAGCTCCCGCCTTGGTCGCCACGGCCGCCGCCTCAGACGTAGCAGCGGAGACGCCAGCCTTCGCCGCGGCGATCGCCATCCCTCCGAGGCTCTTCATCCCATGCAGAACGCTCCCGCCGATCTTGACCGCCGCCTGGCCGAGGTCGACCTGCGCGAGGCCGAGCTTCGCGTCGGCGGCGGCATCGGCGAGGTGCGTGATGCTCGGCACTGGGCGCAGGTCGGTCGGCGCGAGCGGCGCGACAAATGCGAGGAGTCGATTGGATAGCGCGAATACGGGTTGAGGCGTCGGGTTGTACATATGTTGGGGTGAGTTGGGGTCTCCGTCTAAATCTAACGTAGGAGCATGAGGAGTGCTCTTGATAAAGGAAGGGATTGCGAAAGGAGCGATCGACGCTGATGAGATAGTATACAGTGTCCTGAAAGTGGATGAAGAGAGAATGGAGATAGTAGGAGGGCTCGCCGCGCTCTGTCATGCATTCCAAGTCAATTCGAGCGAAGTCAAGAACGTATAGCGGCTACAAACCAGAACAACAAAGTCGTTGGACGCCGAGAACGTGCAGAGCCCTGGCAGTGTCAATGTCTGGACTACCGCGTGAGTCCTCAGAGAATAGATCAGTAGAGAACGTCGATCTCCGGAGGACGACCTAGAGTTCGATCAGTACCAGAGCTCAATTGAATCGTGGATCAGCCGATCACGCACAACACGCCCATCAGTGGCCTACTCCGCCTAAATTTGTCCTCCGTCGAATTCATTACCGACGGCAGCACCTTCATTAGCTCTACCGAACCCCACGAATCACCCGAGAGGTTGAGGATCTCCGTCACGGATCCAAGATCTGAACAGTCCCAGACCTGCAGGCCGTTGTGGTAACCAAGCATGAGGACACGACTGCGAATCCATCCTTAGCGGATTATCACAATTGCAAACGCACGTCGCCCCTTACCGCAGCTTTGCCGGATCACCCTCGACTAGCTGGTCCCAGCCGGCCCAGGTAATCTCCTCCTTGCTGTCGACGCCCGGATACAACGCGGCTATACGACCCTGATGGCCAGTGCTCGGTGGCAGCTCTTCGTCCAGGTCAAAGATCGCATTCTCTTCACCTGGCGTACGTCGCCCGCCCCAGTCCCGATCACTGGATCCCGCAATCGTCGCATCGCTCGCTCGACGTCTGTAGGTTCCAGATGAAGACGGGCCTGCTTCGTGAGCATATTGGGCCATCAAAGGAGTGAGAAAGCTGCCGAACGACACCGGGCGCGAGACGCGTGGTGGCGAAGGGGTAGCGCTGGGTATAGGTATGGATGAAGGTACATATTGGCGGATCGTCCGCGAGAACGTCTCCAAGGTTGTTGGTTCTCTGTCACGGTGCATATCAGCCGTCTTGTTACAACAATGCTAGAACAATCAAGTAGAGGCGATATGCGGGAGTCAAGAATCGAAATTCATCGCACACGTGTGCATCGCCCACCTGCCCCCACTGCAGTGCCTCACAAGGCTAGGTTGCCCCGTGAACTCCAGCCGACGCATGTTCCCCGCGATGCCATCAACAACTAGGAATGACTCGAACAGTAAGCGCAACGATGACTAATTGCCCTTCTACCATAGGACGGATGATCGGACAGGAAAGTGAACAACCAGCCACGAGAGGTCGAGTCAGGTGAAAAGGAAGTTATCTTCACACGTCATGCAACGGGAGCGAGAGTGTCGAAAGGAAATATGGATCGAATGTAAAGGCATTTGACCGCTGATAATCGCATCACATCGCCGCGCTTGCGTATAGAGAGGATAACACGCATACAATCCGTGCAAATGGACAACCAAGCGCATGATAATGAGCAACACGTACCGAGCTAGCATTGGAGCCCTCGTATGGCCAACATTTGTCGAGACATGCGCAACGTGCGCGTCATCTGCTGGCGACGCGTTGGAGCGTTCCGGGGGCGACACAGGTCGTTTCTCGACTTCATATACGCGCATGAGATCGTCTTCGCCGCTCACCCTTCCCGGAGGATCGTCAACGTCGCCAAATGTCATGAGCTCGCCGATGCTCTTGCGGAGCGCGTTAGGATCAGACACCGGCTCTGGGATCGCGGCCTCTGGCGGCGGGGACGGGGACGGTCTGGCAGGAGAATACGAGGCAGTAGGGTAGTCATCAAATACGGAGCACGAGTCTGAGGGAGGAGTGGTGTGTCGTGAACGAGAATGTGCATTGCGTTGTTCCTTCGAGAGCATTAAACGGGTCGGAGCGTTAGTATATGCGGGTTGCGTTGGGCGATACGGCAATGAACAGGAGCGCGATGATTGGAATATATATATAAAGCAAGACTAATAGAAGAGAATAATGCGAGCAAGACGATGAATACGAGAGGATGAGGACGCAGGCGTCGGTGGATGGTGGTGGCAGAGTGCAACGCCCAACACGTCCCACTCCGAGCGAGTCACTCGTACCTCGCTAGCGCTCGTGCCCGTCACAATGCGGCATCGCTCGTTTAGGCAACCGTATCCAGTGACCTCACATTCAGCGGGCGGAGCATGCGGCCACCAGCCTCGTTGCGCGCAGCGGGCGGTAGTGGGCGTCGGCGGCAGCGGCGGCTCAGGACATGAGGGTAGCAGGGAGAACTTGGAGCGGGGAAAACCACCGCGCTGCCGCCGTGCAGGAATGTCGAATGAAGTGGCTCTAGACCGTCCGGCCGTAAGCAGCATCCAATTCGACATTGCTGGTCGTCATTCTTTGCACAGGTATGTAATTGAGATGTATAAGGTACGATAAGATACAACAAGAGATGTCTAGACCTTACAGCGTGGTAAACTACTCGAAAGAAGGCGACTCCATGACGGGCAATAGGCATACTTCATAGACCCAGCGTCCCAAGGCACGCCCGGCGAGTGATCTGCAGTGCCCGCAAACGCGATACGCTCACCTGCGGTGAAAAGCAGAGGCACAATGCTGCGCCGTGACGTCCTTTGGAAGACCCGTGGACAACAAAGTCCGAGTACTATCATCGAACATGGAGTTGGTCCAGTGATCAAGCGAAACATGTGCATTGTGCGCGAACCCCGCAGCCGATCGCGAATTTCTCGCTAGGTGGAGACTGGGCTAGAAGTACCAGCAAGTCTCATTATTCCACTCATACCGCGTGAAGCCGTGAGCCAATCCGAGGCTCGTGCAGGCAGCAAAATTGTTGTCGGCTCCACGGTGACAATACCTCCCCCAAAGGACGGTGGAGTGCTCACATGTCATCGACAATTAATGGTCAAGGCCCTGTCGGCATACGTGTCCAGCCTGGGTGTAAGAGACATAGCCTCGCTTGACCCTTGCGCAGAAGCCGGCATCGATCCAACCGTTGCGTCGCAAGAGATACGCCGATCCTCCTGCGTCGGCGTACATGTCCGAGCCTGAAGGCAAGAACTTGACTCTTGATCAAAGGTCTGCGTCATCCAGCCATCGCCTCGCAAGAGCCTGTCCGAGCCTGAAGACAAGAATTTGACTTTTGATCAAACGTCTGTGTCGTCCAGCCGTCGCCTCGCAAAAGCCTGTCCGAGCCTGAAGACAAGAACTTGACTCTTGACCAAAAGTCTGCGTCATCTAGCCGTCGCCTCGCAAGAGCCATGCCAGTTTCGGACCCGTCAGACTACAGGAGCGAGAGTCTAACCAATGACGAGGACAGACACAATCGCAGCTATGCCCAAGTTCGAGACACCATCGAGCCTCTGCCCCGAATCAGCACCGCAGGACTCCCCACTCCCCGCGATCTACGTAGCCCATAAAAAGTCTAAGACGCGCAGTTTAACGGAGCCCCACACGAGGAACTACCAGAAACCATCCGAGTAGCGAGGCACGCTGCCATACGCTATTATTCGTCCCAGCGGGCCGCACCGGTCTCGTCGAACGAGGACCCCAGGCCCCACTGGCAGATCCGATCCTTTTCGCCGCGCACACATTCAGGACGGCTCAGCGAACAGGAGGACAGCAGGAGGCGCCCGGGACACAGGACATGGGACATGGGAGAGAGACGGAAACGCAGCATCGCCGTTCGTTGTATTCTGAACTTTGTCTTTGATTCCTGCTTCCTCAACTCCGCACAAGCGCACAGGTGCGGCTCGTGCTGGAATCGTCGTGGCGTTCCCGCAATGCCGCAATTGGCAGCGCGGACCGCAGAATGCAGGTACACAGAACGCAGGACGCAGAACGGCCGTCGTGCACGACGAATTTCATAGATAGAAAAAGGCATCAGAAGCCGAGCCACCTCATTCATTCGCCTTTTGCATCTCACCAGGGTCGCGCACGCAAGGGAGAGCGGTGAAGACAAGGGCGTCGGCGGAAACCCGACGACGCCGCAAGGGCAAGGACAAAGGTCCGTCTGTCGCCATGACTCCGCCCCTCGGTCGCTACCAGGCGCGCTCCCTCCACCTTTCGGTTTGAAATTTCATCTCTCCTCTGCGCACACACGCACGCACGCACGAAAGGCTGGCTCCCACCGTGCGCGCGGATGCCGGTGTGCGCCATTAGTGACCACGTCACCGACGGTGATTGGTTATCGTGGTCGCTGCGTCCGAGCGAATCATAGCGCGCACGGCAGGACAATACAAATGCTTGCGGGATACGGTGACGGGGATGGGATGAGCAGATCCACGCTTCGATGTCGCACGAAGCAAAGAATTCGAAGCAAGACAGGAACGTAGGACGGAAGTCCTGCCGAGTGGAGTGGATGATTGGCTGACGCCGCTCGTCCAGCCAGCTCCGCAAGGATGCTTCTGCGCACAACCTCGCGCATTTGTCAGCACCCAGCACCCTCCCGTCTCGTACTTTCCCAAGCTCTGTGCGACGTCCAACTGCATGCAAGGCACACGAAGACAGGCGCGGCGGTTGCGCGGTTCGCGGCCTGCATGCGCGGATGCTGTGTGCAGCTACATTGCTTCTCGAACGAGACGAGATGAGGATGCCGGCGAGCAGCTGACAAGGGCAGGAGAGGGGACATGGGCCGGAACACCCTTGAGCAGCATAGCGTTACTAGATAGATCGACGCCGCACCGGTACATATCCTACCCTCGGTGATCTAACGGCCGTGGCCTGCCCCGCAAGCCACAGACGATCCGTGCAGGCAGTCCATCTTACCCAGCGAGCCGCTCGCCGGTGATTATCTGTACTGCAATGCTTAGCGAGAACCCGGGCAAGCCGCTAGGCAGAGAATCGTCGCGTGCGAGCGAATGTTTAGCAAGACAGCGGTCAATTTGGCTCAGGGCCGTAGTAAGTTACACACAGCGAGGCAGAGACCAGAACCAGAACGTACGCAGTGCGGAAATGAACGCGAGAACAGGGATCTGAACTACTGGCGTACAGCGCACGGGAAGACGCGTCCAGTGCGGCACGGCACTGCGAATGCAACGAGGAGACGGGAGGCGCTGGGAACATCTGCGCGCGGTGAGTCGACGCGAACTCGCGGACGCGTTAACTATACAGACGAGGGACCTATCGATATCCATCGCGCGCGCGCCGACCGCATGCATGCATGTAGAACCTTAAATTCGCGGGCCGCTCCATGCAGGCATTGTCGCCTGGTCGGGAGCTGTAGGACTGAGAGAGGTGGCGCGCGACGCCGTACGTTGTTCGGACACCAGAAGCGCAGCGCAGATAGGTCCTTGTGGCTGCACGCACGGCGCTGGCGCTGGAAGCGTAGGCAGGTGACGCTAGCTAGTCGCGGCAGGGGAAGCCGTTGTACCGCAGGCAGATGGCCGCAGGGATGACACGGTGATCAGACGTATGGGCCTGAGATGGGAAGGCGCGGGCGGGGCAGAGGGCAAACATATTTGTCTGCGCGGCTGCGATTGTACCGCGGTTGCGCGGCGGTGCATAGAAACAGATAGGAATGGGGCAGGGGAGAGTAGCGCTGGCAAGGGAGCGGTAATGTGTGCGGTGCGGAGCGGAGAGGGGAGAGAATTGCAAAGGACCCCCGTCGAAGGGGAGAGAGAGGAAGAGGACCCCCGTCGAAGAGGACGGAAAGGACGGTCTGATGGAGCGGGGGGTGGCTGGCTGGGAAGTGGCTGAATAAGGCGGGGAGGGAGTGCCTCACCACGGACGCGTTGTGATGGGCGGGACAATGCGCCACATGCTCCCGGGGTGGGGCAAAGGGGGCGGGCGCTATAGCGGAAGTAAAAAGAAAGCGCGCTCGTAACCAGGATTGTCTGGGCTCGTTGGCTGCGATCATCAGAACAAAACCGGGATGATCAGCAGGGGTAACACCAGGAACCACCCGGCCGTCTCGGGTGTACTGCGCGGCTGATTCGCATCGAGTCCATCGTTGTAGTCGCCGAGCCACGCAGCTCGCATGAGGTGGCAACGATGGGACACACAACTCGATGGTCGTCGCACGGGACGCCGAGGCGCACAGGCCGCACACAGCAGCGCATTGGGCGGCGCAGAATTTCCATGAGAAGACACGTGGGCGGGAGGCGTGGGAGCCTTCTCGGGAAGAGCGATCACCCGCCGCACGATGAGCCGCCGTCTCCGCCGGTGAGCGCGCATCAGCCGACGACCAACAGGCCTCCCGAGAATCGGGCGCGGACCCCAGCCACTGGCCGCCCACGCGCCGACTGGACCGAACAGTGCCTGTCACCGTCGACATCTGTCTGGAGGCCATCCTCCGGCGGGATTGGCTCTTCGCGGCGCTGGGAGATTATAGCCACCTAATCGCTGCCTCGAGCATGCACACTCTCCCCGCATCGTCGACCCTTGGCAGATCCTGTGTCGGGGTTCCGCTAGACGCAAAGATCCAGGCCCGTTACGTACGTGTGAAAGACCGACATGTTCCCGTGGATTTCCGCGCATTCGCATTCGCTGTTGGCGCGCGCGCGCATCGCAGATATTTTTTGCCACTGCACCGCATGACACGCACTGCTGCGAACGATCCACCGCGACGTTCGACGTCAGTATGACCAGAAGAGATGCAAATGATATACTGCACCGTGGTTCGACGCGCATCAAGAATAGACGAGACTGCGCAACGGTCGCAAAGTCCGGAACGGGGCATGGACACGGCGTGGGCGCGTGACAGCGACGAGCACCGGGGGAAGGCATGAGGTGCGCTAAAGACGATGGACGTGGGAGGATGCCGTACGACGCATGCGCGATACGAGGCGTCGGAGAGGACGGTGGTGAGGCGGCCGAGCGCTGAGGACCTGCGGGAGCATTGTGGAGGGACGGAGTCCGATATGGCCAAGGGCCGCGGTTCCTGGACGACGGGGACGCAAGGGGAAAGCGAGGCGTCAGACGGCGATGAGAACTCGGAACCACTCCTGGTGGTGGAGAGAAGTCCTCGCACCCACGCACGCACGGAACACCCAACGCGCAAGGGCCGGCGCGGAGCTGCACAGTCGGCACCGGGCAGGGCCAGAAGACGCGGAGACAAGTTGCGTTGCACAGGCCGCATGCATCAGACATTCCATCGAAGGGCAAGCTCGGGCCATCGCCGTCGTCTGGTGCGCGCTCGCCTTGGTCGGGAGAATTTGCGAGCGAGGGCGTGGCACAGCACGGAGGCCACCACGCCTGGTGTGGCCATCCCCACGAGACACAAAGTGGCCGGGGTCCCGGGGCGGAGCCGAGAGTGGAAAGGGGCGCCGGAAGGGTGGCGGGAAAACAGGGCAAGCCGCCCAATCAGGCAGGCGGTCAGCGCCGCGCTAGCCAATCGCCGCACGCGCGCCCCCCAATCCGGCTGCCCAGCCACAGCGAGCGTGCCGCACGCATATCTCCTCCCGTCCGCATTTATGGCCCCGCATCCCCGCCCGGCCCTCCTCCTCCCCCAGCCCCGCCATCGCCTCTACCTCCCTCCTCGCCGCCGACGACGACGACGACCCCTTCCCGTCCCCCTCCACGCACCCCGCGTCCTGCACCTCGTCTGACATGTCTGCCTCGCCACATCCACCCCCTCCTCCTGCCCCCATTCCCGTCCCCGCCACACGCTCGCCCCCAGAGCCTCCCGCGCCGTCTGTGTCGGTGCCCGCGATGGTCAATGGTGGCGCGCCCCCTCCTAGTCGCTCGCCCGCGCAGCTCGCCTCCCTCCTCTCCGATGCCCTTCGTGAGATAGACTCTCTGCATCACGAGCTCTCCAAGGCCAAACGACGCGCGGAAAAGGCAGAGCGTCTCGTCTCCAGTCTCACCCAGCCTTCGTCCTCGTCAGCTGCCACACGCTCAGGTAGTGACAACTCACCCTCTGGCGCCCCGAACGGCTCCCCCGCGAACGGCCAGGCACAACCACTTCCCGAGTCTGCCGTCAAGGTCATCCTCGAGTACGAGGCGCGCGCTGAGCGCGCAGAGGCCGCTCGCGACGAGTCCGACGCACGCCTCCGCATCATCCAGGAAGCATGGGGCGAGCTCAATCACTATCTCAGCACCGTCGAGGTCCGCTCCTCCGACGCGCGCATGAACTTTTCGCGCCTCGTCGCGGACGGTGGCGGCCAGCTCGTCCTCGTCCAGCCTCCGCTTCCGCCGTCCCAGTCTCTCCCGAGCATCGGCTCGTCTATGCTCAAGTCCGCTCCCGGTCGTTCCGCGGCCCTTCACCGCGCGAACATAACCGGGGCAGCGGTTTTTCCGACGCTCCCTCCTCCGCCCGTGCCCAACGCCAACAGTCGCGTCAGGCCGCGGTCGGGTAGTATGGACGCAATCGTGTATCCTGGTCTTCCTGGTGGACCTGGCGTGCCGCCTCCCGCAAAGAGGATGCGCAGCGAGCGTGATCTTGACCGTGAAATGATTGACAGACCGCGTCGTTACAGTGCTTCTGTAGGTCATCCTTATGTCTAGCTGTAGTTACCCTTGCTGACTCGCCGTCAGCCGTCTAATTCACCACAGTACATGACAATCAATGGTCATGCCACAGAGTCTTCGCCGCTCATTCCGCTTCAACACTCGGGCAATGCAAGCGTGCCCGCTCTTCACCCGTACTATCATCCATCGCCGCAACAACGTTCATACCGTGCTGGAGGCCGTGAACGCGAGGAACCCGTGCAAATACGCTATGTCGACGCCACTGGCCGTCCTTCGCAGCAGGCGCTCGGCGAACGCCAACCCCACCGTCGCGGCCGCTCGCACTCGCGTTCTGGCTCGCATTCTCGCTCACGTAGTCGGGGCAGTTCGATCAGCCTCGAAGAGATGCTGTTGGAGGCGACGACGGGCGACGACCCTGATCGCCGCCTCGATGGCGCGCCCGCCGCCCTCGCCCGTCCGCACGCTCAGTCGCTCTCGCATCACCCGTCCCAGCACATGGTCATCCCGCGCATGCGTCATCGCTCGCAGTCCCCTGATCGACGCGATCGCGCATTCCATCTTGGCGTGCCACACAACCATACGCACTCACGCTCTCGCGCATCATCCTCGCTGTCCGCGCACCCCTCGCATCAACAGCTGCACCCGTCGGCATCTGCGTCCGGCCCGGGAGTCTCGCCTCCGGGCAGCTCTGGCGTCTCGCCTATTCCTGGACACAGCGCGGGCGGAAATGGAGTGGGTGCCCCGGGGCCGCTTCCTTCGCCTGGCCAGGTGCAGACGTATCAGACGCACATTTTTGCACCGCCTGTGACTGGTGCCCCTGTGAAGAAGAACAAGTTAGGGAGCTCTCAGAGCCTCGGCGCGAACGGGACGGTTCTGACCCTTGGTACGTGCATCGATCTATGAAAGAAGGCGTGATTTGTTCATTGTCTGCTGCACCGACCTCAGGTCCCACGGGAAGCTTGATCGCGGGCCCGTCGACTATTCAGGGCGGGGGCTATCCGCCAACGAACGCCCAGGGTCAACGCATCTGCAGGCAGTGCGGACTTCCCGGGCGGTACAAGGAAGGCAAGTGCGTCGAGAAGTGGGGTCCAGGGCCCGAAGGTCCTGGAACAGTATGCGACCGGTAGGTTATTCACTGCTTCGCGAAGTATGTATTCTGACCATTACTCGCCCAACCAACCAGCTGCCGCAAGAAAATGAAGCGGGTCGAGCGCCGCGGCACATTAGATAGCCAGATGGCGAGCGGCGTCCTCGGCCACCACCAGCAACCAGCAGCCATTCATCCGTCTTCGCACCACCAAAACTCGCTCAACGGCCGTCCGGGTCCCGATCGTGCGCTTCATAGAACAGACACGTTGCCGGTCACTCATGGAACGTCGCCGCAGTCTTCGCGCGTCCTTGGCCCCAATGGCACGGTACTCTCTTCTCCACCGTATGGACGCCATGAGCGCGAGCGTGAACGCGACGAGCAGCAGCGCTCGATGCCCTCGCCGCACGCGCAGTCTGCACGCATTGGCTCGCAGCGCTCACCGCCGACGCCGCCGTACATTGCGACTCTGCCCGGGTCGTCGGTCAACGACGACGACGACGTATTTGAGGAACGTGGCTTACGGCCGAGGGGCTCTCGTGCCCAGTCTCCGGTGGGGCACTCGAAGACTTCGTCTGGTGGTGCGCGCGTGAACGGCAACAAGTCCGCGTCGCATTCCCCGCCGCTCAACGGCAATATGGCCGTATCTTCTGCTCGAGGCTCGCCTCGCGACTCGGACACATCTCGTCATAGCGCTAGCAACTCGCGCTCGGAGGTAGACATGGACGCAGACGCCGATGCAGATGCGGACGCCGATGCGGATGCTGAGGCTGAGGTCGACGCCGACGCTGATGCCGACGCGGAGCTGCTCGAGGCGGTGGACGCTGCGGAAGCGAACAACAACACCGAGGAGGAATGGCTCAAGAAAGAACCGATGTGAAGTGCAAATAAAAAATGTATATTGCCGAACGCTGGTCCTCGTCCTATGTGGAATGACTTATGAAATTGTGAAGTATGTACCCACTACGTTTCTGCTTGGGCTTATAGATTGTCGTGCTTTTGTCGTTGTTATCATGCTGTCGTCTTGTGGGAGATTCGGTGCTCGGACTTGACGTGTCTCTATAACGTTCCAATGTATGGTATTATGAAGAGGATGCAAATAGAAGCCGAATGCGCGCATGTTGTCCATGAATGTCGGTGACCCTCTCTCGTATCATGTGCACGCTGTGTCTTCGTCAAGGTAAGTCGTCCCAACCGCCAAGTCTATCCATCATGAATCGTGAAAACATATGCAGGCATATAAAGTAATGTACCCCAAAAGCGCTATCTCGCCTGAGCCTTTGCTTCATTCATGTACATGAACTGCTCGATTGCCCACTCCGCAACCTCCCATTGATCGTCAAATCGCTCGCGCCACTGCCATTGCCATTGGCCGTAAAGGGCCTTACCAAGCTCATCCAACTGTTCCTTCTCATCTGCGGCTTCGCTACCGTCATACATACCGGGGCAATTGAACTCGCACATGCGTCCGGTACGCTTTGCACGTCCGAGAACGGTCTTTGCAAAAGGCAGTCGGACGCTTTGGTAGATGCGTAGGACCTCCGGCACTCGCGATAGCGTGCACAGTGGATGGGCGAGGAGCCGTCCGAGGATGTAAGCGTCCTGTCGAGCCTGCGTAAGTTCGCTTGTTCATGAGGCTGGCTGGATGCTGACCTCGATGCTTTGTCCCGCACCGGCGCCCAGATGGGTCTCCATAGCGTGCACCTACAGATGCGAGCATGTCAGCGATGTTTGTCATAATTTTTTGCCCGTTGGCCGATACGCACTGCGTCACCCAAGAGTGCTACTCGACCTGATACAGAAAACGGCAAATCCGCGATCATATGGATGGCCCAGCGAGAGGGGTCCTCGACACACTGGCAGATACAATCCGACCCACATCACCGGCCTAGCTAGAAAAGCTCTGCCGTTTCACGCACCTCCAACATCTCTTGCACTTCGCGCTCCCAATCGGTGAGAAGGTCCAACAACTCCTGTTTCGGCACGCTTTGAACCCACTTCCCTTCGTATGTAGTCCCTTCAGCTTCCGGTCTTGTTTTGAAGCCAATGAAAGTGATGAAGCTCCCATGTGAAACAGGATAGGATACGACATGCTTTGTGATGCAAGGCATTATCGCAACGAGCAAGGATCGCGGCTGGTAGTCCTCACCTTAGACTTGCCGGAATACTGATGCAACTAATCAATATGAATCATGAACAGTTTCGGCATAATGCTCACACAAAGTGTATACCGCAATGCTTGATGCTCCGGGTTCACTTCTTTCAGCTTCGCTGTCGGTATGAGGCACCGATATACGACCATCCCTGTCCATTTCGGCGTGGCTGCAGAGCATCGAGCGCAACTCAGCCGGTCGATCGTAGGAGCACAGTCGCGGCGGTGGGCAAGTTCGTACATGCAAGCGCGAGCGGCTGACTTGATACCATCCGCGCCGATAAGTATATCGGTTTCTGCAGTGGAACCGTCGGTGAAATACAGCGTGATGTACTTTGCTCCGCTGTCTGCATCACTGAAATCTGTATAGCGGAGTAATCTCTTTGAGGTTTGTATGGTGCATGACGAAGGCACATTGCGCAAGAGAACTCCAACCAGGTCGGCTCGGTGCATACTGGAGGATCCATCTGTAACGAAATATTTGAGCTTGGATCATGTCTGTGAATCACACTGGGCTTACACGGCAGCATTACCCTGTGATAGGTGTATCCACCCTCTGATTTATCTCCTCTCCTATAAACAAATCCAGGGCCTGTATACCGTCCGCGAGTCGCAAGTTCAGTCTAGGCGATTGCGACCGAGTTAGTTGAATGTGAGCGCTCACCCAATCCTTTACTTGGTGGTCTTACTGATGCTGCCGCTAGCTCTGCGTCAAGCCCAAGCAGCTCCATCACTCTCCATGTGCGCTGCCAGACAGTGATACCTGCACCGAAGGTACTAATCTCCGGACGCGCCTCATAAAGAGTTACTTCGATCGGTGAATCTTTCTGTTCGTGTCGCCCGAGGACGACCGCTAGCGCCAGGCCGGCAACTCCACCTCCACTGTTGACGCGAGTCAGTCAACTGAAGAGTAAGCGAGAAACGCTACATGCCAGATTGCGACGCGGAATTTGGGCTTACAGGAAGCTGCTGTTGACATCGTAACCTGCCGGGGGAGTGAACAAGAGTGCCAGCTGGGTGAATTCCAAGCCCAAAAACCATTCCGTCTCAAGCATGGTGAATTGCTCTTTCAGCGATGGACATCTCGCTTCAGCGGTCAAGGAATTACGGATTCACGGGGACATCGGAGTTCCGAGGCTGCGTTGCATCGCGAGAACTTGCGATGTCTCTGATAGACCCGTGGCCATGGAGGACCGGAGGGACTCGAAGGGATGGGAAAGGGACGCGACTTGTAATCGTACGTGAGAAGCTCTTGAACCTGATAACGAACGATAAGCGACACCATGGATGCTGATGTCAGGACGTTTCTCAGCTAGGAATCATGAACTCGCGGTGTAACTGCGCACCGAGATTGCGCCGGCAATCATCTTGCGATAGAAAGCCGCTGGATGCGAATCATCGACCCACATTATTGTAATCGTCTTTGGCATGGCCGCTCTTGAATATAGCGGACTAATCTGTTTGAAGACTATACATTCTGCCCAGCGTTAACATGTCGATGACAATACAGCACGCAGTCAGCAGTTTCAGAATGTTCTTTGCTGCGGCGCATGAGACGGCCCATCAAGGTTAGCATGCTCCTGGTACTCACTTCACAGATGACGGCCGCTAACACTGCGTCAGATCAGCACTCATACAATGCTTGTCCGACTGCTCGATGGCCCTTTCGACAGGTAGTTGTGCATCTTAGCATCTTAGTGAGGTCTGCTTATAAGCGACAATTTCAACGCTGTGTCATAGCGCGTACGTGATCCCGATCCCTCATGCTACCCCAAGCTGAATGTAAAGAATAAAACGCTAAAGAATTGCTTATTACTATAGACTCCTTGTAATAATGATGATACTCGACGACGCTTCTGCACAACTATACATACAAAAGTCGCTGGCATATGAAGGTCAATCGTACACTCTTGTTCGTGGAAAGTCGTGAGTATAACTATCCTCTGTTTGAAGAATCCGATGTGTCTGGCTCAGATCCAGGGGACGTGCCATCATTCTCCCATGGAAGAGGTGCATCTGGAAGCTCGAACTCGATCTTTCCTCTGGCGCGCAGCCCTGAGGCGGGCACCCCAGGCGGGGCATGCAAGGCGACCAACTTGAAGAGAGGATAACACAACTGTCTCGCTTCTTTCTCGGCAACTTCCTTCTCTCGCAACCGGACACCTCGCGCCTTCCAATCGCAACTATGTGTGCTCGTCTTCCAGCTCAGATCGATGCCTCCTCCAGCGCTCACAGGAAACCCCAGTGCAGCGATGATGGGAGCAGATGCGCCGAGACCGACTGTGACCTCACGCTTCCTGTCCCATGTGAGCAAGCGCGCGTAGGAGCGACAGGTATAGCCCTCGGAGACGATGACTTGGTTTTTCCATTCCTGGGAGGAGAGCAGACGAGATAGGCGGGCGGGGTAGGTGATGCTTGTGAGCTGAGGCTCGTACATCGCAAGCAGAGCGGCGCGTTGGCCGGAGAAGGAGAACTTGTATTTGAGATGCGCATCCGCAATTGTGTCGAATGAACTGCGGGAAGGAATATGGTTAGCGGACGCATCGCACTGGTACGCTGGTGTAATGCGCACAGATTCACATTCGGGTCAAATGATACCTCCTTCGCGTTTCCAGAAGTAACCCACCGGATTTGGTCGCATCCCCTGACCTGTTTCGTGATATCATATCTCTCCGCAAGACCGTCCTTAAAAATGTTGCCTTTGGGCGCAAAGGATCCATCTTTCTGCAGGTAGCCGTAGTCGCCGACCTATATTTGATGCGTGGAGACATGTTGGTAAGCACTCGCAAGAGTCAGCAAGTTTACTCACCTCGACTGGGAGTAGGGGATCCCAACTTGCGTAACAGTTTGTAGTCTTGTACAAGAGCGAGACGTAATCTCGTTCACCCCTACGACGATGAAACCAGTTTATCATGCTATGTAGAATCGAACGGCACCAAAGCAAGTCTGGGGGACTCAGTAACAAACTGCGCTGGGGCTCCTTTAAATACACATGCCTGACCTGTGCTCCGTGGTGCTTATACGTGTGGTCGACTTGTGATATTGCACAGCCGGCTCATTCGAGGAATTGGTGTATCTGTCCAGGGCCCGTGCAAGCACGACCCATCATATGCTTGGATATCCACTACCCCAGATAGGACGTACAGTTGAGTATATATTGACTGTCACATCATGGTCGTCGCGCGAAGACAGACCGTCTCGCCGTTCCAGGGTGTGGATATAAGCGCCCGTACGTATTGGAGCACGCCAGTGAGCTCCAGCTCCTCATGACAGTCAGACGTCGACCCATGAAGGAGCGGAGCTTGCCTATTCAGTCACTGCGGGCACCAGGCGCCGAAGGCGCAGGTGAGACGGCCGCTTGAATATCTGGTACGAAGTATACGCTGCCACATCCGAGCGGATCGATGAAGCGTGCACGCAATGGTCGAGGCGTATTATATCGCGTAGATTCCTGCAGAGACGAGGCGTCGACGGAAGCGAACAACCACGTTGTGAGCAATGGGGAGAGGATAGCAGCCTGACGTAAGGTCCGCCCGATATTTCTGCTTGGACGGCACAAGGTCAATTCATATACATCAGCATGTAGTCGTATAGACAGCACTTCGCACAACATGAGAAACCTACAGTGTGGTCAGAGCTCCTATGTCTAAATCCACAGAGAATTACAGGCCGACATAAACAACAGAGGATACTTCTTTGAACCATGGTCTTTGATCGCAGTGCTGACTCCCGGCGGCCAACGGAGGCGTTAGATCTTGAGAAGGTGTACCACGTATGCACGGACATCGCAGATCATCACGATCTGCGACAACCTTCGACGCCAATACCCCAGCACCGAATAGCGTTGTGAGTTGGAGATCGTGACGATCTGCAGCCATTTTACAACGACTTTGGTACAACGAGAACAAGATGGATGCACAAATTTGAGATCGTTACTGACCTGGCATCATCCAAATAGACGATGCGCATCGTTGTCCGCATCTAGTAGACAAAGTCGCTCTGGGCGGCGCGCATCTTGTCAAAGAGGCCGTGCTGCTCGCCGAGAGTGTAGGTGAGAGTCATGCGCGCGAACATTGAGGGGCCATCGTCAGGATCGAGTTCGAGCTGATCATAGTCATACCGTCATCAGCTCATGCAACGTGCAAGGGGATTGTAACATACAATAGAAATTACATCATCCAGAAGGTGAGCCTGTCCGACACTCATCCCGAGCAGGCCTTGGAATTCAACATTGACAATGTGCACGTGAAAATGATCTGCGCGATTCAGCGTGATCAAGTATCAGGGCTCGGTTGATCACCATACCGGCAACACTCACAGTACGACGGCTGGTAGTGCACGTACATCCTCAATGAACCACGCTCGAGGCCCCACTTCTCCTGCACAACCCGCGCAGCCTCCTTCCGGATGCTACGCAACATGGGGATATGGCACTTGTGCAGGTCCCGCAGGCTGCGGATCGTGGGCGACGTGCTGATGGCGACGAGGTAGAGTGAGGAGAGCGTCGTGCGGTCCCACTTCATGTCGGGGAGCATGACGTAGCCGTACTCGGCGACGTCCTCGCGATGGAGAATTTGCTCAGTTTCGAAGCGTCCTTCGAGGATGTCGACAACCCTGCGCGGGAGATGCGTGGAACTGGAAGGGAGTTGAGCGAGGAATGACTGACCATTGCGTGCGGGCCTTGGGGAAGGAGTCAATGTACGGCTTCACGATCTGCTCGTACATCGCCGGAGTCTCATGCATGATGAAGAACTTCTGCGCTGAATACTGCATGCAAAGTGAGCGACACGGTGCAGAGATGTTTTTTTGCCCGTCGGCACCTTGCGAATATGGACTTCGGTCGCAGGATGAATGATGTAAATCTTGAGATCGGGTCTTTCGTCGGATGGTGTCAGCCAAGCAAGTAACCATGTATACTAGACAGCACTTGATGTAAAATTCAACAGACATACGGGAAGTCCGCGGGACTTACGATGTCGTTGCTCCCGAGCAGCTTGATATCCTTCAAAGATTTGGAGAGTATGTTTTGGGCGGTGTCTGCAGTTAAGGCCAACGTCTCGATGCGAACGATCGCCGGCGATGGTGCATCAGTCGTGGAAGCGTTGTCTGCCTTTGAGAAAGTGCCCAAGATGGTGATGGTGTGCGTGGCGGGATCTTCGCTCACCGGACGGTTAGCAAAGGCAGTCTGAACGTGATGAATAGAGCCAGAGGCTTTTACATACCATTGTTCAGAACACGGTCAAACTGGAAAAGACGCAATGCAGCGATATCCTTCAATTCGAGTGTCGACATGTGAGACAGATTGAGAAGAGTGATTAGCTACACAACAGTACATCAAACCAAGTTCTGGGGAGTTTCGACACTGTTTTGCTCGTGGTGAGCGAGTGGCTGCGAGTGGGCACTGGAATAGAAGAGGTAGACGCCCAAACGTGTCGGCGCTCTGTTCCACTTTCCATCTGCGACAGAAACAGATCATCGATATCGCTCGCTGCTGCCACTACGGATGGCTTTATCAAAGCTCTTCTGACTAATGGTCATTTCTGCGACAGTGACTGTGGTCCATTCGTCGTCTGGAAGTACGTTTTGCCTGTTGCTTCCCCGCATAGGCAGGTCCGCTGACGGGTACTTGGCTGATACTTACGAGAGGTCCACTCTAATGGGCGCAGAAGCACATCCAGATGTTCTGTTCTGAAGCGATGGCCAGGCAAACCACTGAGAATACACTCCGACCTGGGGCAATCACCCGTGAAGGAGCGTCCAGACTGTGCAGGCTGTGACGGCGCTTCGTTGTATGTGGACAGCCTTGGTTGTTGTCCACAGCATATCACAACTTAACCGGACCCGTAGCGCTTGAGGCGGTGAGCGGATCGTCGGTGCGTGCCTCTTCCCGTGCGAACGTCGGTGCGGAGATCTCTTCATTCCGTGCCCAACCTCAATGTTCAACTGGTTGATCGGCCTTCGTCACTCGTGCCAATCCCTTTCTGTCATTCATTTCCCTTGGGTTGGCGCCTCCCCTTGCGCCCGCTCGGAAGCCTGCCGCGCCCGCCACCAACACCGACTAGGCCTTTACATAAATTGCCTCGAGTGGACACTCCGCCCTAGCAGGTTCGTCCCCCTCCCGCCCTTCCTCCCCTCGCCAGTCCGCCATCGCCTTCACCACCATGTCCACCTCTGTCCATTCATCCCCCTCCGTTCGCTCATCCACATCCGAGCACCGTCACTCGACCGGCTTGTGCCCCGTTATCGGTCCCGATTCCCGCGCCTACTGCCCTCCTCAAAAAGGCGATAGCCGCTCGCCATGCCCCGCCCTCAACACCCTCGCCAACCACGGCTACCTCCCCCGCGATGGCAAGTGCATCACGCCCCAAGTCCTCATGCACGCCCTCGAGAAAGGCTACAATCTCTCCGGCCCGCTTGCCTGGGTCCTCGTCCGGGGTGGCTTCTACCTCCTCGGCCAGCGCCGCGAGCGCATCTGCCTCCGCGATCTCGCGCGACACAATTGCATCGAGCACAACGCGTCGCTCATCCACCGTGACGCCCACGAGCGCGACGAGTACGCGCCGATCCGCAATCACCTCGAGATGATGGATCTTCTCCTCTCGCACTCAAAGGATGGCGTCCTCATGACCACGGACGACGTCGCGCGCGCACGAGTTCATCGAGAGCTTGAGTATGAGAACGCGATGGACAGACTGCACGCAGAGATCGCGCGGGGCGAGATGGCCATCGTTCTCAACCTCTTCAACAACCCCGCGTCATCAGAGGACGCGGAAGCTGGCCCGTCGTCTTCCCGCAGCTCACTGCTATCAAAGGTGAAGCGCGTTCTCGGTATCAAGCCGAAACCACAGACCGCGCCCCTCCCAGGCGTGCCCAACGACATCCTCCGCACCTGGATGCTCGAAGAGCGTCTCCCGGATGACTGGCGGCCATACCACAAGACCGGGCTTCTTCATGTCATCCGGACGTCCAACCACCTGCGTCACTCGATGGAGACAACTGAGAAGGAGCTCGACGTCAACGAGATCCGCAGGGAGAATACGCTCAGGAAGCAGACCGCGTTGGCGATCGCTGCGGAGGCGGAGGAAGACGAGTTCAACGTCGAGCTCGAGCAGGGTGAGATTGGAGACATGCCGTTGACCGAGTCGCCGCTGCCGTCGAGACGGCTGACCGCATTGATTGCGCCGCCCCCTTCTATGCACAATAGGACGCCGACAAGCACCACCGCTTCAAGCGGCCCACGAACACCCACCGAGAGCGAATTCTCCGATCCCGCTGTTGCTTCGTCGAGTCTGCTTCTCCCCGATGTTCCCTCTCTTTCGCCGCCGCCATTTGTCAGGCGGCAAGTTCTTCTGATTGACGAGGTCAAGGCGCCCCTCAAGGAGACAGTTGTGGAGCCGACCTTTGGGTACAGCAACGAGTCGGAGCAGGTCGCTGAAGCAGTGGAGATGCCGAGATTGGTCGCTGCTGCAAATTAAAAAGTTGTTCTCTTGGGTTCCAGTGCGTCTCTGTAGCACTAGCATATTGTACTCGCTCTCTCGCTCGCTTGCACCTTTGACTATGATACTTCGTATAATGTATGCACAAGCACCACCAAATGCTGTCAATGTAGGGCTATCGGGGAATACAGGGCGTGTTCGCCAGTCCGATTGTTTCGAGCCACATCGCACGCGCGGACCTACAGGGACCCATTCCGTCGTAGACCATGTAAACGGATGAGTCTCCTCCTTACTACCATACATGCATCGTGCATGCATCCTCCCGCCTTATGCTCCGCCCGTCTATCCTCCTCGTCAACTCGCTGGCCAGACCCCGTCGGCTCTTCATCTCCGCTCCTCCTCCTCAAGTCGACCTTCCAGGCGCACGCGTGCCGGCTTCCTCGTGACCAACAACAACATAGCAGCAGCCCGCGGGGCTGCGTAGACGAGTTCCTGGAGCACCTCGTCGGAACTGTCCCGCGCGCGAAGCGGGCGACGCACGCTATGTGGGCGTGGAGAGGCTCCTCGCCAAGCACGCCGGGGACCACGGCTCATAGCGTCAAAACGGGTACGGCGGTCCCCTCCGGCAGCTCTGACGGCGGGGAATCTGGCGCGGGAGACCGTCTGGCGCAGCTGCTGGAGCTCTCGAGATCCGAGGACGTGATTCTGGTCGTGTTCCGGTGGTATGGCGGTGTGCAGCTTGGCGGGCAAAGGTGGAAGTGTATTTCGGCGGTCGCGAAGGAGGCGCTGGAGAATGGCGGGTTCTTGGGTAATGGACGGGATGGGGGGGAGAGTGAGCGTTTGAGAGGCAAGGAGAAAGGGCGGTCCCGCGGAAAGAAGTGAGGTTGTCGGGTGAGTATGCGGGCCTGCCACTGCTGCTACCGTCAGTGCATCTCATATATCCCAGCCTCTCGTCGACTTGATGGATGCCATTCTGGACGCATGTCACAAGGAGAAGCCTTGCGCACCGTGATAAACACGATCAACTTATTCGCTTCAATATTGACTCTGCTGACACAAGGCTCAGCGTCGTCATTTGGCATGCATTGCACGTCCGCTGCGATGAATGTCGCACTCGTCTCGTCTCACGGAACTAGGCCAGATATAACTGTCGCCGTACGCTGCACTCCTCCATGCCGTGCGGACATTCGTTCACATTCGCGCCATGTTCAATCGACGATAAACGTGTCTCACAGGCAACGAGGCATTCGCTTCGCATGTGAGTGGACGCTACAATTCACTGCTGCTCATCCATGTTACCGACAGCGCGTTTGCCTTAGTCTTTCCGCCCGGTCTCACCGTCGAAATCTCCGATTCAACGAATACTTATCCATTCGCTTGCGTTGGTCGACACATTGCTTGCGGTGGAAGCAGTGATGTCCTGGCATGTTGGAGTTATGGAGGCTGCTTGGGCCAAGAGCGGTGGATATGCTACTGGCCCTTACTGAGCCATCGGATTGCATGTGAGATTGAGCTTACGCATTCGATAGATATATAAGACACAGCGATTGCATGCAGCACGTAGCGGACAGAGTAAGCGCCTCGTATAGTTCTGAAATTGCTATAACGTAGTGCAGAGGTTCAGCGGGCAGCGCCAGCTGCAGGTAGAGTTTCTAGTAAACGGGCTTGACATGTTTGTCGTGCCAGTAGTCAAGTCCCGTCCGATGAGCCCAAGGATCCAGCCAAGAGCGCAGGGCAGCTCTCCTTTGGCCTGCTCGCCGCGGTCAGAGATGCCGTGTAGAAACCGACGCTCACGGCACTGTAATCTTTGAACCCACTGGGCCGCTTGTCTACCCGATGTCTGGTGTGTGCCTTACTGTGCTGACGTAGTCGCAGGTGTAGGTAGTAGAGCTTAGAGGTTGCCCGCGTTCGTCTTCTGGTCCTTGGAGCGTGCGTTCGTCTTCTGAATCCATTGGTCGTGTCAGATGCGTGTGTAATGCAGCACAGAGCAGAACGCCGATTGCATCGTTCCGAGCACCAGCGCGTGTGCTCCTCAGAACGTTTCTGGGTGGTCGCGCGTGCAGGTACAACGAGCAGAGAGCCAGGCTGAGACAGCGACAGACTAAGGTTCGCAGTCCGCCGCCCTCAGTGCCAGTCGTCTGGGAACGAAGTCTGTCGCCGAGGACAAGGCCCCAATGATTCGGTTGTTCAAAGTTTCCTTTTATGTCCGGACAGTTACCAAAGTTAGTAGTTTCTCACGCGATTGCATCCCCATAGCCAGAAAACCCCACGTCTTCCTTGTTACGCTATCCACTGTCATTCGCATGTATATAAGGGCGCCCTCCCGCCCACGAATGGAGCCAGTTTAACCCTCTGGACTAAGACCTGTGCACTCGGATCAGTATTTCGGCTGGTCACGCGCTACGTCTTCGGATAAGCCACGCGAATAAGTCTCTCATCGTACGCTCTCATCGCCGTACTACTTTCATATTCTACTCGACCAGTATGGTATTCTAAGTCGACGACCCATCGAACACTGCCGCGCTTTCAGGCAACAATCCCCTCTTCAACTGGTGACCGACGTAGGGGCTTAGATCGTTGCAGCGGATGTGGAGCGAGCTGTCAGAAGCGGAGTCGATTTTGTGGCCACCGAATGTGATTGGACGCGGTCGCGCGTGAGCAACGTGGCGCAGCGCGTCTACGGACTTGCACACCAGCTCTTCCTCCCACCTCCTCGGTCTGCTCGCTGAACACGCCGACAATCGACGTTCAGCGTGCCCCAAATGCGTCTCCGGCTCTCTCTGGTCATCCCTTACCTCTTGGCGGCGCTCTTGCACGGCGCAAACGCAGAACCAAGCGGTTCCTCGCTCTACCCCCCAGGGCTACTCCCACTCATCAACCAGGCCAACGCGCTCCTCTCCGCGCGCCAGTTCCACGATGCCGCAAAGGTCTACTCGGACGCCATAGGTGCGCATCGTCGCGCACTGTTCTCGCAGTCGACAATTTCCAAGTGAGAGACCCATCGCTAACGCGCTTGCAGAACAGTCTCCGATCGACTACCTGCTCTACTACAAACGAGCGATGGCCTACTACTCGCTCAGCCGACTACCCGCCGCCCTCGCCGACCTCGACAAAGTCCTCTCCCTCACCCCATTCGACAAGGCCCACCTCTACAGGGCGCGCATCCTTACCAAAGAAGGCCGCTTCTCCGAGGCCCGAGAGGCCGCCAAGAGGTACACGTCCGACGCGAAGGACGAGGAGGCGCAGGAGATGCTGCTTGCGATAGGCGAGGCAGAGTCGGCCGCGAAGAAGGCGGAGAAGGCGATGCGCGCGAAGCTGTGGACGGCGTGCGAGGAGGCTGCGACGACTGCGCTCCGCACGGCCTCGCACTCGGTCGACATCAGGCGGAAGCGGGCGGACTGTGCGCTGGCGGCGGGTGACGTCGAGGGCGCCGTCGGCGACCTAACGTGAGTCGCACTCCATCTATCCAGATCCTCCGTCCACATCTCCTGCAGCCGCTTGACGCACCTCACGACCCCGTCAACCGCGCTCCTCATGAAGATCTTCCGCCTCTCCTACTTCCTCGGGCCCTACTCCCCGGACGACGCCCAATCCTACGCGCTCACGACCCTCAAAGAATGCCTCAAGTTCGACCCGGACTCCTCGCAATGCCTCCCCGCGCACCGCCTCGTCAAGTCCCTCGACAAGCAGTTCAAAGCCCTCCACTCACACCTCGACGCCTCCGACTTCCGCGCCGTCCTCTCCCTCCTCCTCGGCACATCAAACGCAGACGACGGCCTCCGCTCAACGTTCGAAGCCGCGCTCGAAGCGCACACAACGCGCGCCGCGCTCCAGATCCCCTCCGCGCTCCCCGCGCCCCACGCGAAACGCACCTCCCCCCGGCGACAAGCCATCCTCCGCGCGCTGTGCCGCGCGCACGTCAAGCTGGGCGACGCGAAGCGCGGCGAGCGGTGGTGCGGCGCGCTGTTGGAGATGGAGGGCATGCGGGAGGACGTGGATGGGTTGGTGGGCAGGGGCGAGGCGTTGTTGGGCGACGAGGAGTGGGAGGAGGCGGTGCGGGCGTTTGAGCGGGCGTTTGAGGCGAGCGGGCGGGCGGATCCTGAGGTGCGTCGTGTGCTTAACCCGTGAGGGCGCGGACGCTGAGTGTGATGTGTGCAGATACATCAGCGGTTGCAGAAGGCGCAGAAGCTTTTGAGGCAGTCTCGGAAGAAGGATTATTACAAGGTGTTGGGCGTGCCGCGCGATGCGGACGCGAAGGCGATCAAGAAGGCTTAGTGAGTTCCCTCCCACTCACTATCGCGTTCAGCTTCGCTTACCGTGTGCGCACAGCCGCGACACCACGAAGAAGGCGCATCCTGACAAGGGCGGGAGCGAAGCGAAGATGGCCGCAGTCAACGAGGCGTACGAGGTGCTCAGCGATCCAGGTACGTTCACCCCCCCTTCCCCTCCGGTGCACCTCGTGCTCATGGGCGCCCACACAGAGCTAAGAGAGCGGTTCGACAACGGCGACGACCCGAACGACCCGATGTCTCAGCAGGGAGGGCACCCTTTCCCTGGGGGGCCGGCTGGGGGCGCGGGTGGTGCTGGCGGTGGTGGGCCGCAGCAGCAGTTTATGCATTTCTTCCAGCAGGGCGGATTTTTCTTTCGGCAGAGTCCGCCTGGGCAGCATGGGCGTGGACATTGAGAGCGTGTTGTTTGGAGTGAGTTTGTCGTGGACTGAGTTTGGCTGAATGGATGTGAGTTGGTAGATTTTCCTGTACCGTGTACGATCAGCTATGTTGTTGCTAGCTTACACCTGCACAAATTCATCTTCGCAAGACGAAGTTGAGTAACGCATGAAACACCAGCCTGGCTTGGACGGTTGTCCGTGCAAGACGCGGGCACATTAATCCGATTGTCTGCACGGACGCGGTCATAGTCGACGTGTAATTTGCCGTTCGATCTGCGATCGGGTGTGGTGACGTGCACGCGTCAGATCGCACACCACGAATATTTGCACGGTCTCGCCACTGCCCTGGCCGCGTTGGGAACCCTTGACAGGGCTGGTCAGGTGAGTGAAGCCGGTCGACATCGGGTAGCCAAGACCGTTCAGTATCAAAATCATCAATACCGCGTGCGATCAAATGTCGCTCGATGCAGACTCGGCCGCGGAGTGCGTTTCATCAGACGATTACATACTGATCGGACGACAGATGGGACGGGAGAATCAACCGACCAATGTACACGCGTGTGCCAGTGGCATCACGAGTTCTTGATCCATCCGATCTTCGCGTCTCTTACCTCTCAATGGTCTTCTACGAAGCTATGGGCCCATCATCCGATATTGAATTCGTATGCTTCGCTCTACAGGTTTCCCAGGTGCGTTATCGCTCTGACGTACAACTCTCTCTGCGAACCCCGACGACTGTCCACCCGCAGGCCTTCCGCTCACTCCCAGACTGGGCCGTGTTATAAAGTCCGGAACTGAATTACCTGATCTCCCTGGAAAACAGCGCCTCCGAATTCAAAGCTCTGTACGCTTCAGGCTCATGCGAAACGTGATACCATCCGATGGCGCGTTCTTCTTGACCGTACTCCGAAGCTTCTTTCTCTATTCATTCCGTAGGCGGACACACGCCCGGCGTAATCGACTCCACAGGTGAGGCATCCTCACGCGTCAAATTCGCGAAGACCACGGAGAGCAGTTCTCAAGAAACGAAGCTCGGCGCGGAGTGCGGCGGCACAGGTTGATCGCATGACGACACGTTCAGAACATATATAAGTCGTTACAGCCGGAGCTCAATCGCCAATTCCTCGAACCCGATCATCCACTCTCACCAACCACTTTCTACCAACCCAACCGCCAATGCCAGGTCTCACCTCATTCCCCCCCTTCCCGGACAACGTCCCAACACACCCCCTCCTCATAATCGACTACGCTCTCCTGAAAGCAGGCGACGAAGCAGAGATCGCCACACTCTGGAAGGCCGCTACCGAGCTTGGATTCTGGTAGTAAGCAATCATCGAGTTACGGTATGGTCCATCGAGAGCTGACGGCGTCATCACTGGCAGTCTCAAGAACCACGGCGTAGACGAGGAGGCGAGCGGGATGTTCGACATGGGAGCCGAGACGATGGCCTTGCCGCTCGAAGAGAAGCTCAAGTTCGAGCAAGGCGAGGAGGGCATGTCCTTCGGGTCCGTCGCTCACGCATTCGCCACACTGCTTCGCTCACACCCCCCGCCACCAGGTACAAAGCCGCAGGCGCGAACGCGACGGACGAAAACGGCACGCTGGACACAGTCGAGTTCATCAACGTCTCCAAAGACGACGTCCTCGCCTTCCCAACGCCCATCCACCGCACCTACCCCTCGACCGTCACCGCCCGCATGGCCTCCACCATCTCCCTGTTCGTTCGCAAGTCGCTCGAGGTGAACGACACCCTCCTCGAGATACTCAATGATCGTCTTGGATTGCCGAAGGGCACGTTGGCGAGTATGCATGCGATGGAGGAGACGAGCGGGAGCGAGGCGAGGTGCATCAAGAACCCGCCTCGTCCTGGTGGGATCTCTGAGGAGAAGGCCGCTATCGGTGCTCACACCGATTTCGGCTCATTAGTACGCATTTTATCCAATCCTGCAGCCGCACTTCATGACACTCACCACCGCACAGTCGTTCCTGCACAACCGTCTGGGCGGCCTGCAAGTAATGGCCCCAGGCACTGACAAATGGCAGTACGTAAAGGTATGTCTCCACTCACAATCATGCAAGCTTCACTCTGACCGATCCTCAAATAGCCAATACCGGGCCACGCAATCTGTAATCTAGGAGACGCCATGACCATCTTCAGCGGTGGAATCCTCAGGTCCAACCTCCACCGAGTCGTGTAAGTTCCTCTACGCACGCTCTCGCCTTCAATTAACCTTCTCTGACCATTCCGCACATCAGTCCTCCCCCCGGCGCACAATCCCACCTCGAGCGCTGGTCCCTAGTCTACTTCACCCGCCCATCCGACTCCGTCCTCCTCGAAGCCCTAACAGACCAGAGCCCCATGATCGCCGACGCGGTGTCCAGAGCCGAGAACGCGAGCATATTCCGGACGGGACAGACGTCGAAGGAGTGGTTTGCGAGGCGGATCAGGAACCAGCGTACCAAGAACCGGAAAGTGAGCTGTCGTGTTGATCGTGGTGGGTGTTTTTGAGCTTATTGGGTGACTAGGGAGCGGAGACTTGGCGGGCGAGTCGTGGGACGGAACATCGTCCTGATGCGGCTTAGGTTACTCTAAGTGCTTTTGTAGCATTGATATTCGTCTACTGCATCCAATCAAACAGTAGCGATGTACATGATACAGCCACAGACACTTCTTTTCAAGAAACATGCACTTTCAACTCGTATCGTACAATCGCATAGCTTTTGGAAAGCTTCGACTCTCCGATCCGTCATGCAATATTTCCGACAGGATATCCGCGTTTCCGCCAGACGATGGCTTTACGACGCTCATCAAGATCGGTTAAAGCTCGTCATGCACGTTCTTTTTCTCATCAGTCTCGGAAGAGGTGCTCTCGCCACCCACCTAAGTCCCGGTTCAACCGCCTGAACGCGACCACAACTCAAACGCAGCAAGACACTCACCAACGTCGCCGACGCCCACGCCTGAGGCTCCGCACTCATCTCAAACACGATCTCTCCGCCCGAAACAATCTGCTCGTGTCTGATCATCGGCACCTCTACCGATTCACCATTGACGGTGAGCGACTTGACGTAAGGCATCGATGGCGCGCCCTTGGAGGTGATGACGAGTGGGCGATTCGCGTTAGGGAGGTCGATCGTCACCTTGTCATAAAACGGCCTGAATGTGCCAAGTTAGATTCATTACTGGAGCTCAGGATGCGCAGATAATGAGATCACTTACGTTCCGACAGCGTACTCCGCCGATACAGGGTCCACGGGGTAGAAACCCAATGCAGAGAAGATGTACCACGCGCTCATCTGTCCGCAATCTTCGTTCTACAATCGAAGTTACGATCACTACGCATCTCTTCTGAACCAGAAGAGCGGGACATACACCAGATAGCCCATTCACGGACGAATTATAGTTCGATTGGGCCACTTCGCGGATACGCTCCTGGGATTTCGACGCAGCACCTGCGAGTGCATACAGGTATGGAATATGATGTGATGGCTGTGGTATCCAATCGTGAGACCTCTCATTAAGTACACATAGCAAGAGAGCAACCCACCTCATTTGTGTGATCATTGTGCCCTCCATCGAAATGCTCATCCAGAAACGCTACGAAAGATGCATTTCCCCCACGGCGCTCAACCAACCCAGGAATATCCTGTATCACATCAAAGGTATACGCCCACATATCACCCTCGGTCCAGCCCTGATCCTGGCCCGCCCACGAGTCATTCGCGTCGCGAGCCTCCATGAAGCCCGTGTCGGAGTTGAAGATGGTGAATGGAGCGGTGAGCGCGCGGTTGCGGAAGAAGGTCGCGTTCTCGGTGTAGCCGAGGTGTTCAGCGAGGGTCGAGACGGCATAGTCGTCGTCTGCGTGATCGCTCGTGAATATAGCAATGAGAAGGAAGCAGAGTGGCTTACAGGCATAGTCCAGAGTTCGCGAGGCAGCCTCAGAGTGTATGTCGTTCGCGACCCAACCCTTCTCTTCGTACACAGAAGACAAGCCCGCGCGTACTTCATATCCTACTCCCTAAGACATATCAATTGAATTGAGGGTCCCTTGCATATCGTCTTCAAGGAACTTACCTCTTCGCGATCATAGTAACTAAAGGCATGCCGTGATTAGGCGGGAGATGCGACGTGATATCATAAACGGGACTCACGAAATTGTCCAATCGTCAACAGGCGGGACGGTCGCATCTTTATATACCGCCTCATATGCCAAATCCACATCGAAGCCAGTGATATTCTTGATGACAGCCTCAGTAACAAGCGAGTCGGCATGCGTGGCCACCTGCTAGATGTCAGCCCGTATATTCCTGTAGAGCCGGACCGCCGACCAACCATGATGTTCGTCTCTATCAAAAGCGGTGAGAACAGCGGATGATAAATATTTGGGCCACCTACCCACAATGTTCTTCCACATCGGCAGCCAGCCACTCTGCAATCGATATGCTGTCAGTACAACGCAGCTCTGATTGTTTGATCTGCCAACCATTCACCTGCTGGTAGTCCTGTAGCATGCTCCTAACCATTCCCGGAATTCGTTCAGGAGCGAGCAGGATTTGCCATGCCCATTCGGCACGGTATGTATCCTAGCAGTGCACCAGACAACTTCAATAATAGCACATTCCATGATGATGAGGCGACGCACCCATATTGAGTACCCAGTGTATGAATCGCCCTCGTGCACGCTGTCATCGTACCCCGAATAGTATTCTCCGTCCTCGTCTTGCTCGTATGGATACTGAATGCATGAGCCACTCAATAGGCAGGCACACGTGGTGCGTTGTTGCACTTACCTGAAGGGTATGGAAAATCCCAGTGTAGAATACCGCCCTCTGATCGTCACTCGCGCCCTCGACCTTCACCCTGCCCAATTTCTCCACCCACGCCCCCCGCGTCCTACTCGCCGTCTCCTCGAGGCTCGTCCCATCTGGAACCTCCCTCTCCAAGCTCGCGCGCGCCTTTTCCTCGCTAATGAACGACACGCCCACCCTTACGTCCACGACCGTCGTGCCATCTGCAAAGCGCGCATACGCAGACAGCAGTGATCCCTCGCCGCTCTCTGCATCCTCCGAGGTGCTTCCGTTCTGTACTACCCCGTACGCGACCAATGGGACCGAGAAGCGCGCGCAAAAATGGCCCGCAAACGATGGCGCCGGGCTCGGGCCGAGGATCCTGTCTTGCCGCTCGGGGTTACGGCCGCAAATCTCTGGTAGCGCAGACGCGCTGGTGCCCAGCGGGTACACGGAGATGGAGCCAATGGGGTACGTCGGCCAGCTGCCGTTGGGCGAGGCGGGCGAGCCGAGGATGGCGGCGCGAGTCGCCTCGAGGAGGATGTATGGTGACGTATCGACGGGGAAGGTGAAGCGGAGGTGGCCGACGCGTGAGGCTGTGGAGGAAGAGCGTTAGTCAGACTGCGGTTTAATCCTCTGGGAACGGAGGTTATTCTGGAAATAGATGGTTGCTGCACTTTTTGAGCCAAAATAATCTCGGCGCATTCGACGACCCTGTGCGCACAAATCGGAGAACTGTCAATGTCATCGCATGCATCAGGGTTGTCGTACGCGGGTCCTTGGAGACACCTTCTGCGCGCGTCAGAAATGAGTGCGGAGACTAATACAAGATCCGCGGCAAAACATGTAAATAGCTCTTTCGTTAATCGGTATTCCATATAGTGCAAAAACAATCCCAATTGCCGGAGAGCCGACATCACGTCGGAGCGCCATAAGATGACTACGATGCGATGCGTTTAGGCGTGTCGCCGACGCTGATTAAAGAGAATACCACCGAGCCATGTTCGGCGAGGAAAATACCTCACGCTTCAAAACGGCACAATCAGCAGCATTTGCCGCGACGTGTTTCCAAAACTGCGTTGAAACATATACTCACTTGCGCTCATTTCAGCTTTGAGTACTCCTCCGCCGTCTTCCTCGGGTACGGCGAGGTTCACAGCGTAATAACTTGCGCTCACAGCTTCGCTGCGACCATTCTCGTCATAGACGATCTCCATACCGCGCTCATCGAAGTTGCTCTTGACCGTGCCAACCCCCGGCACTACGACTGCTTGACCAGACTCGCCCATCCAGATCGCGGGTTGATGGGTTCCCTAGAGTAAAGGGCATATATAAGCAATGAAGTGATTTCCAACGCGAATGGTGATCTGTACTAAACGACCCACCTGAAATCCATGAATAGACGTGTGTGAGTAGTTGTATGGCGTGACTGACACGTAATTCTGTGTCGTCTGCGCCGTCCAGCGGGTCATCCCGAACGGAGGAGCAGTGCTTGGTATCATTCCTCCAGAACCATTGGGATCCCCGCCTCCATTCCCAATCAAACTATACGAACGCGTCCCGTCAGCTCGCTCGCCAAAAGCAAGTCGAAAATTTGACAAAAGGAAATGACAACGAATACGGATGCGCATCTAACACATCGGGCCACAGCACAGCATTAATCGTGGTTTAGTTGGTCAGAAAACGTACGGATCGACCGCATCCACTTCATCGCTTGGAGGCTGTCTGAACTCGGGCGGAATGGGCAGCTTTGCCAATACCGATGGCAATAGTAGAGCAAGACATAGAACGGAGCATAAATGATGCATGCTCCTGGCCTCAATTGAAGAATCCTCAGCTGCACGCTAGATTTCTGCAAAAATTGATCCAACTGGCGTGAATGGATAGCTATGCCAATGAATGGAAAGAAAGACGACGGTGCCCGACCGCAAGGCTTGAGCCGCGTGGCGGAAATGCGGGGTCGGCGATTGCCGCGCAGATCTACGACCAGCGACGATGCCTCCATTCAGTACCACTCTACGTTTGACTAATATTACACCGTTATTGCTTGCTCGTTCGTACCGCGATTATGCGATACTCTTCTCCCTCTTGCTGATAGATCTCCTTGAGAAAAGAACATTCGTGCTTACAGTGATCGTGGTGGATCCGGTCGTTGTTCGTCAATTGTAAAAGCTTCACATTTAATGTTGTGACGCAGCAGCATCAACATGCATATCAACTATAACTAATGATATCCCCTATATGTGGGTATGCGTGTTACTTCGCAGCGGCGCCGTTGCGGTCCGCGTCCATTCAACCGTCGATATCGTCTTGAATGCTGCGCAAAGGTCAGCTGCTAGTAGCTAGCGTGCCTGACCGCCGCACGGCTCACAGTTGCGACACCTTCTCGTCGAGCGTCATGCGCGGCAGACGGTCGTGACAGATGTGGCGTGGCTGTTGTGATACAGCGTCCAGCAGATTGTTATGTTAATCATTCTCAATGACTTTGCAATCAATGCCATGCAGGCCAGAATGATAATTTGTGATACTTGAACATCCAATGCATGGTTCTCCTCACTTGAGGTTGTGGCACTCATCTTCCATCCCCTGTGGCCCACATCAGATCAGTTATCTGTCAGTGTAACGTACTATGTCCATGGCTGTTCATGACATCAGGGCAGCAGCATCAAAGAGGCACATCAGACAAAGCACATCTGGGACCAGACTGGTGGGTTTCGCAATCTCAGGCAGAGTGTGTTGATCATTGAATATATGCATAAGTATGTGCAAGAGCAGAACTATGGTATCAGGGTATGTACTACAACGATAGCCCTTGTCATATAATTACGGAGCAGTGAGTTTGTTAGACAACCTAAGGCTATGGTACACCGTCACTGTTTGACCCCCCGCGGGATTGTATTATCAATCACGCTGTTCCGAGAGGCAGCCTTTTTTGAACCAGGTCAAGCACCCTAACATTGTACATGTTGCAATTCTGTTCGCAAGCCAAATCGCACTCAGAGCTTTTGTGCTTCAATATGGCGCATGATTATGAGAGATGCGAGGATCTCTGGACGAAGCGAACAAGCAAATTCATGTAAGCATCACGCGAGAGGTCATCAATCATCACAGAAGAGCACGTACCAACAGCGAGCCCAACATACTCCTCATATACCGTGAGAATGTTCCCGGACATGCTAAAAACAGGCTTGTCTGGCGGCTTCAGATCGTAATGCGCGACGATGCACTCATTGCAGTCCATGCACTAGTTCAATCAGTGCGTCAGCATTCGTCATCAGATGACAGCCATGGTTCACGCACACACCACTCGTGTTCGCTGCTGTTTCTGTACATCCACCTGTACTCTTGTCCGTCGGACGCCCGAAACTTCCGCGATAGCGATCTGACAATACCAGTCCGTCTCATCAGCCTCAGCAGCACCAAATGCATCCAGATCGATCCACTCACCCCCCGAACATGGATGTTTTCTTCAGATACTGGCCCATGGGTACATGGATCCCCGCGTCCACGAATGTGACCTTTCCCAGCGCACCGTGAGTCCCGAATTCGAGTACGATACCCAGGTTGCGCTGCGTAGATATTGGTCGCGACTTGCGCCGACTCGAGGAACGGCGCCCTGTGTTGTAGACTGTGAGCGCAGACTCGGTGGGCTTTGGGCGGTCGACGCGCAGGAAGAGGCGGTCGTAGATGTCGTCGTAGTCCGAGTCAGTGTAGAGGCCGGTGCGGTCCTCGAGAAAGTACGGGAGCGTCCGGTTGATCATGGAGATGTTAGAAGAGGTTGTCTACGCATTAAGGGATGAAGGAGGAGCAATCCGGTGCGCAGAACGTTTTACATGGCTATATATATACGAGGACGACTGCAACGCAAGCGTGATCCGAGTAGGGCGTGCCAATCAATCAGCACAGAAGTGCTCAAAATATCATCTTTTGCGGGGGAAAGGCCCACCTAGCATACGGAAGAAGATCCCTCCTGCCCGATCCGGGACGCTCGACTGAATAGACCGCCGCAAGAAGCTTGAAAGCGACTTCCTTCTCCGTCTTGCTAAGCAAGCCCTAGCGCGAGTGGCCCATGCTGTCCCTCGGCGCCACGTTCACAAAGATAGATAAAACGTCGCGCTCGCCTGTGGCGGCGCCCCTGGACAAAGCGCAGGTTCGACCGCGCGCGGGCCCGCCATGATTCAATTCTGAACGTACATTGGCACATGCCTTGGTGAAAGTTTTGGCGCTGATATGAGAGTGTTGTGCGATGTCTCTGCATGCCTTGCTGGTCGCCAAGACGAGCATGTATAGTACCTGTGTCATCCGAGAAGGTCCTCGATATGATTCTGAAACCGATCGTGCGAGACATGACCAGCCTGGGCTACCTTCGCTGTGAACACATGTGAGATCAGCCGCGGCACACGAGTTCAATCCAAATGCCCTTGTGTATAGGTGCATTTGGAGAGATAGGAGGCGGAGGCGGATCTGGGTCAGCACTAGAATATTTCACTGCCCACAAGCCTCGTATCACAATCCGATGAGTGTCTCTCCGCTGTCATGATCAGTGCACTGCTCCAGATCCGGACGACCGCAGCGAAGTCATCTGCCGTGATGACCAGCCATTCACGACTGCACCAGTCCCACAGCCGGGGCGGTCCCTGCGGCACCAGCACCGTCGACGGAGAGTCGTGGGAAGTGCGTGGGGTCAGACTGGGTCGGCTGACTGCCTTCGACGCCCAGGACGTCTTCCATCCCTGGCCATCCTGATTGCGATGTCCTCATTAATCCGGCGGACATATCCCATCTCCAGATTGTAAAGAAGGTGAAGCATGGGCCCCGCAAAACTCCGCGCAGCTTCACAAAAGAAGCTTCTTCTGGCAAGATCAGCAGAGCCAGGTGGTATGAGAATGCTCACGGCGGCATTTCGAGGTCACCCACCTGCCTACCACTTGAACAGAAGGAATGAACCACCGATGGAGTACCGCGCACGTTGGTAGGTCGGTGCTATCGAACAATGTCACCGTTTCATGCAGGCGACCCCAATTGGCCGTCAGGCGTTCGCCATGTCATGGAAACTAGGGCGGTAGCTGATGGCGTCCCGATCGATGCAGTCCTGAGCCGCTTATAAATTAATGCGAGGAAGACTCAGTGGGATCAGAGAAGCAGCGACACAACCTGGATCCGCGCGAATGAATGCAGAACGCTCCGAATCGCAGGACAATCTCGATTGTGCTCCTTCTAAGGCAGCGGCCTGCACAGCCAAGGCAGATCTCATTCGGCCATTGCGAGCTATGTGCTTTGAGCATGTCCGAATGGAGTCATACCGGTGAGCATCGTCAGAAGCACCGTGTGTCGAGCTAAACGCACCTGAAACGAGTGTGAGGGTACTTGCGCAGTTGCTCGAAATAACTTGATCCAGGTAATCGCCCCGACCAACAGCTCAAGACAAATCAATACACACCTAATGCGTTGCCCAAGCCCGAGCCCGAGCCCGTCGGCGCGGATCCTCCAGCCATAGCGAGACTGCACGCTAGAAAGCGACTTCCACACCCAACATGACATGCACATAGACATAGCCGCTCATACCAGCACCAGTCAAATGCTCAGGGACCGCGCTAGCAGCAAAATTTAATTAAATCGAGCGTGCTTATCCACATTAAATTGAGCGTGCGGGTCATGTTGCACGCCTCGAGGATCTAATACATCGGGGATCAGTACTGCTATGTATGAAGCAGACGGACCATGCCAGGCCCGTCGATATTTTGCTCAAGCTCCTTCGCATTCACGCCCTACCTGCGACAGATGGAACGGCACTGAATCAGCTGTCGTCGCCAATCACCAAGCTACCCACGTACCGGGTGCTACATACCACCATCCGCTCGCACACGTGCAAGCATTACAGCGTCTTATCCGCATTGAACCCGCCCTCCGTGCCAATTACCGCCGCGCTTGTCTTCGCATCCATGAAGAGCTCACCCATCTCGTTGACGTCCTCCAGCTCGATCTGCTTGCGGCCAGCCAAACCTGCGAGAATCGAGGCAGGTGTGAGGAGCTGCAGTGCGTACCTATGGCGAGCGAGGTGAACCACGACATGTCTGAATCGACCATGCAAAGATGTATTGATAATGACTTACCGGAGTGAGCTCGTCTCGCCGCGCTGTGCAAGTTTGTCGAGGACGCCGGGGCCAAGTTGCAGACCTTCGACGCCAGCGCGGAGTTGGACGACCTTCGCAATCTCTTCATGGGTGTAACTGTCCGTTTTGACGATGAGGCATCTATTGAACGAGTACTCAATATCAATTACCCTGTCCGTCGCTGCCTCCGAGAAGTGCGAACGGACCTATCAAGAAGATCGACTGGGATCCCATGTGGTGCCACGATATCGATCGTTCCCCGGACGAGTGAGTTGCCCCGGTTAGTAGCGAGAATCACTGTTGGAGCCATGGGAGACTCTAGCAGAGCATTGAGGTACGTAAAGCACTCAATATCAAGCATGTGCACCTGATGAAAGACCCATCAGCTCCTGCCCAGCACCTAGCAAATGTGAGAATGCACTTCATCGATGAAGACCACACCCGGGACGACCTCGGCGACGCCTTGGTCGACATAATTCTTGACAACCTTGTTCACCTCGCGGCGCAGCTTCTCCGTCACCTCTGTTCGACCGCTCTTCATGAGACTGCCCATCACGCTCATGATATCCTGGCCGCCCTGGGGTCGCGCATTCGCCGCATCGAGATCACCGAGCGTCACGTCCTGCACGAGCTCCTTGCGCTTGTGCACCTCGCCCTTTGGCAGAGGTACATATGTCTCCGACTCCAGATCATAAGATGATGCATATGCGTCTGAGCGTCCGACCCGCTACAAGCAAGAGTCAACGATGATGGTGAACATGATCAACACACGTACGTACCTTCACCGCACCTGTTCCTACTTCGACGTAGATCACATCACCGACCACGATCTTCTCCTTGAGGAGAGCCTCGTATAAGCTCGGGTCCAGCCGCAGCTGCTTCGTGCCCTTGACTGTCTTGAGCCCAACAATGACATGAGAGACGGTCTTTCCGTACCCGCTCAGAGGATTTTCGGACTCCGCCGGCGAGAGCTCCGTCACTTCACCCTCATATACCTCTTTTGTTTCCTTTATCCGCAAGCCTGGTGATCAAATACGTGAGAAATGGTAATGAGCCATAGACGAGAGGAGACGCGCCTATAGCGCGACGGAATGCTTCTGCAAGGACCTCCGTCTTTTTCACTTCCGTGCTGTACACTTCCGAGCCAACCATAGGACAAAATGGGACCTTCGCACCAAGTTCTTGCGAGATGGCAAGGGCAAGTGCGGTTTTTCCTGTACCCGGCGCACCGACAAGCAGGAGAGCGCGTCCAGAGAACTTACGCGACTTGACGAGCTCGACAACCACTCCGCAGGCCTAGAGACGGCGTGTTACCGACTGCTCAATTGCCCATGTCTCGAAATCGATCTGTAAAACGACTTACTTCGCGTGCGGTCGTCTGTCCGATGAACCCTGCGGCATCTGCATTCGCAAAACCCTCGGGAGTGAGGCCAAGGCCTTTGATGTGCGAGTGAGGCGCTATACGAGACGAGCGCGATGCAGAGGCGGTAGAGGGAGGCGGGAGGGCGTTGTGAGCGACGGGCGCCGAAGACGTCGAGGCTTTCATTGGGTTGGACATGGTGAGGTGCGGTCAAGCTCGACTGTGAGAGGGGAGACGCATGCAGGCGTTCAGTATAGCAGTTTGAAACTCCGACTACGATGTAGACTAAGGTTGAACTGAAGCCGGCTTACGAGACAGGATTGGCCAGTCTTGCTTACTTCCTTAGTGTATCAACCGCGCCGCTGATCTTGAAGCTTGAATACAAAACTTGAAAGCCATGTCTTCACCCAATCAGAGACCATTCGTCCAGGCTGGCGAACCTCTGCAAGACTTTCTACGTTCCTTCTGGCAGCGTCAGGTCGATGCTGCCGAGCAGGAAACCCCGGACTATCGCCATCCGCCGTTACCCCTCGCCCGCATAAAGAAGGTCATGAAGAGTGACCCGGAAGTGAAGGTATGCTCCTTTTACCTGCTTCATGCAGACGAAGGACAACCAAGGCACCATTGACACGCTTCATTCAGATGATTGCAGCAGATGGTGCGTCTCAGAGACTTTTGTAACACGCGAGGGTAACCCTCTGATCATGCCGCAGCACCCATACTCTTCTGCAAGGCCTGTGAAAGTGCGTATACTGCTACTCGCTCGCTGTCTCTATTGTCAACTCATGCATTATCGTCTGTTATACAGTCTTCATCGCCGAGATCACAGCTCGCGCCTTCATCATCGCCGACTCGAACAAGCGCCGCACACTCTCGCGTGCAGATATCGCGAAGGCTCTGAGCAAGTCGGACCAGTTTGACTTCCTTATCGACATCGTCCCACGCGACGAGCCCTTGGCCGTCGCAGGAGGGCGCACGAAGAAGGCCGGTAGCGTGGTGGGCAAGCTGGAGCAGGTATGTGACCAGAGCGAATTTCGTTGCTTTACGGAACGCGTCGATTCCTGCAAACTGACCGGCGATATGTGTTCTCAGTCTGGAGAAGCCTCGCAGCATGGGCCGGGAGAGAATGGCCACGGTCCGGATGGTGTAGCACAATCGGTTGATCTCGAGCAGGTGAGCGATCGTCGATCCTATGATGCAGGAGCATTCCCTCATCGCCAGGTCATCGTTTGTAGCTGCAAACGTTACTCAATCCTCCGGGCTCCGAAAATCGGCCTTTGTCATAGAGCACACATGTCCTCTTTTCTCCGTCTGTGCTCATCCGCTGTACCATCTTAGCTGTACTATATTCATTGTGTTTGATACATCATGAAGCATACATCGCAGAGCTAAAAGGAATGGGCCCAACAACCTATACGCTTACCTGACTTGCACCTCTTGCCCAGATATAAGCAGCACTTGGCCATTGAGGTGACTCAGCCCGCACAGCATCTGCTACTCTCTCTTTATACTCCACTTCGGTCACGCAACCCAACAACTGCATCTGTGCATCCCCATCGAGAGCAGCGATCTCGGATCTCGCGTCGCCCACTACACACAACTTCTGCAAGGGCCGTCCCTGCCTGAGCCGCTGAGCGGCGAGTCGCACGAGCAGTGGTATGGTGCTCTCTCGGCCATCCATCACGGTAATTGATCCCAGCTCCGGACACAGCAGATGCGCTGCAGGAGAAGCTTGCTCGCTGTGGTCCAGAAGTGGGAGGAGAAGGCTCGACGTCGCAGGAAGCACTGTGAGCGTCCGCAGACGAGGGACGCTCGAGAGCACGCGCTTCCACTGTGATTCCGACAGGCGCAACGCCTCGCCAGAGGACAACGTGAGCGTCTGCATATGCGTGAGGTCAAATCTATCTAGTATCGTCGGGAAGGCCTCCGGCACGTTGAAGTCGCCGAGCAACTGCAAGGTTCCGTTGTGGGCGGAGAGAACATGTATATTCTCATCGCCATTGCCCATGCCACGCGTTCCGGGTAAGCCCTGCATGTGGGTACGTGAGGTGACACGTATTGTCGTAAGGCTCCGAAGTGGTCCCAGGCGCCGCAGGTCAGGAGGGAGGATTGATTTGAGGAAGTTACCGCTGCTGCCAACGGTACACGACCTCGACCAGACGTTCAGAGCCGCGCTGTCGGATATATCCATGTGCGAGAGGAACTCCATAACGCTGCGTACTGAATCCCAGTATCCGATATCCAGACACTTCAGGCGAGGGAGGGAGACCACGCGGCCGCCGACAATCTCTGCGTCCTGTGCATTCCACACCGTAGGACCGGCATCGACCAGCACGAGCTGCTCCAGCCTTGGAGAGGCATCCAGGAAATCGAGGAACTCTGCTAATGATGGCCGCGCATGCTGAAACTGGTCGTGCAAGCACAAATGCGTGAGGTCGCTAAAGGCGTTGTCAGGCCACCGGACGTATCCTCGAAGCGTGAGGCGTTCAAGCTTTGGCGTGCTACCTGCGAACATTTGCGGGAGCCGTTCATCAGGATACATGCTCACACGCCCGATTGTCAGGGAACGTAGGAGAGGGGCAGGTCGGTCGAATGTCGTGAGAAGACCGTGGCCGTAGCTGTACTTCGGCTCAATATAGAGCTCTTCGATATCGCCGCACAGGCTTCCAAGTTGCTTCAGGAAGTCGTCGTTATTGAGCATGGGCTCGATGCTTGACTCGCACACTCTGTCGCGTAATGCTACGCGGAGTGGCACAGCACGCGAGCGGATGAGAGTCGTGTCAACGAGTCCCGGGTGCACTGCATCAATGACCGCCCAGAGGTCAGGGAACATAACCGCGACGTCGCGCCAATGGCGGCAGACGTGCACTGCAGTGAGCAGATCGGTTAAGTCGGGGAATGACGAGAGCGTCGGTGGGAACGCGTGTGATGGCATGGACAGCATACGGAAGATATGTGCTAAGACCTCCGCAGGGAGCTGGTTGATGGACAGCACATCTTGATTGGCAGATTCTGGCGAGCTTGAGCCGCATTTCGATGAAAACTGCGAGCACAAAGTTAATGTGAGTGCGTGCTTCGTGTGGGCTGTCCTTACCGGTTCAACAGCACGATCTGTACGATGTGGACTAAGAGAGATCAGCTAGTGGTGAATGGTGTAACACGTAATTAACGTGCCTCTTGCATCCGTATAACGAGATAGAGAAGTGATTCAATATGTCGGCCAGCACATGAATTTCGGATTCCATCTCGCCTAGCAATTAGGGTGATGTTGGGCTGCTAATCCTTGGCGGACCTTGCAAGTCTGCGAAGCTTCCGAGTTGATCTCCTTGTAAAAGGAGGGGAGCGAGACGACATGCAGTGACGAGGCAAGTGAGCGGTGTGGGAGGCCGGCTGACTCTCGATCGCTTCATCGTGGTCAGCCCACCGCACGCTTGCCGTGTCGGAAGCATTTGCCAGGACAGCGAACTTCGTCGCGAGCACCCTCTGGGAGGTCGACATTCCAGGTACCAAGAGGATCTGCGCGAGCTGGCGAACGCAATTTATCACGCAGAGACTATCAGCGCTTGACATCTTGTACTCTTCGTACGACAGATGATCGCGGTCACGTGGGCGCGACTTTTTGAAACACATTTATATACGCGCGCACGATGCATTGGAGGCCCGGGAGAGCGACCAACATGTGCAGCAGTATGAGTTGTGAATTGGTTTTTAGGATGGCACAACAATAACATACTCATTTGAACATCTGTGGCTATCCACGCACAACGGTTATATTCCAAGAACACAATACCAAAGACAGCGGATCGTTGTATCTTGCGCGGATCCACATATGGCATGCAAAATGAGTCAATAACCCGCTCGACTGCTGTTGTTCAACGTATCATCAGCTGTTTATGAACGCACTGACCCATGCGCTTCGCCCTCAGCCTACGTACTCACCATGCACAGCCAGACGTGCACTCACCTTCCCTCCATGCCCTCCTTCAGCAGTGTCCCGATCTCTTGCAGCGAGCCCTGCACGGGCATGTAAATGCATGACAGGAGCCGCTTTACCGAGCCTTATACTCGCAGCGCCTGACACATCCTGCATTACCTTCACCACGAACGACTCGGGAAAGTACCGCAACGTGTTGTATTCTTCTTCTCCGATGTTCCGTTCGCCAGTTTTCATCTGACTTGTCTGGCCTGACCAGCAGCTCCATCACCTTGTTTGGTACTGTCAATGTATGCCATCTTGTAGATGAAATACGGCATGCACGTACGGCAATTTCGCGTCTGGCTTTGATGCGCTTGCCCTCACGACAGAAATACTCGCGTGATGCCTTCGTCATACCTGCCAGCAGCCCAACCATCATGACGATATCTGTGACGCTGTCCAACGGAATGCTCACGACCGCTGTCTTCGATACTTGTCCGATGACAGGCGTGCTGCCGTTGATCACGCAAGGATAACGACGTGAGGGGATTGTGATCACATCGTTAGGACATAGAACGCTCAGGCTATGGACGTTCTTCACCAACATCTGCTGGGGCCGCTGGGGAACACAAGAAAGAGCCAGACCGATGGAGTATTGCAGGAATCTGAGTCCAAAATTTGTATTCAGCTCGTGGAGCTCTTTGATACCGTGTCCATGTAAAATAGCAAGCTGACTGTAGAGTTGGTCGCTGTCGAGTGTGGATTCGGCTTGCGTTTGCATACTCTGTTGCGTAACACGATGCAGAGGTACAGCATGCAAATGAATAAGGGACGACGTATCGGCGAGGCCTAACGCGCTGCCAGCATCGGCGATCACAGACAGAGCATGTATCGCGCCGCCGAGGGGGATAGACGTGCGCGCGGCATTAAGGAGGTCGGGGAACGACGAAAGCGTCGGCGAGAACGCGTGCGGCGTCACAATGTGACGCGTCCCGAAACGCGATCACATGGTTTAAACGAAGTGACATACGCGTCTCACGCGTCCTGTCACGTTGAGGTCGGCATTCAGTATACCAAGTTGTTCATAAACTCTATATACATCAGACTAATAATAAATATCAATATCAGCCCGGCTCGATTCCTACAACATCAATAGCATACAAATGCTCTGTGCGCATGATATCTGGCAGACTTATGGTACAGGCTCAGGCACGGACTGGCCATTACACAACATTCGGGATGAGACGAACCATGCACATTTCAGGCATCAGGCCAAATTTCCTTTGCTGTCTCCACCACGAGCTTGAGCTTCTTGGCAACGTCTTCCTGAGTCATGAACGAAAACCCCTCCGTAAACGATCCAAAACCGCATTGAGGACTAATGCAAATCCTGAAGGAGTACTTCAGGAACTCATGACGTTAATGACATAAACAGTGACATACTGATTCAGGGCTTCGTCCATTGTGCGTTTTTCGTCTCCATTTGCGATTATCGCAGCCGCCTCATGAACCCGGCGGATAAGTTCTTCTTTCGGTTCCAGCTGCAAACGTTCGAGACGAGAATTCATCAAAACTCTACCACTGAAAAAGGAGATGGAGCTGACCTCAGTCGACTTAGTGGTCACAATTCCTAGCACGACGGACTTGTTGCGTGGAAGCCAGCGCAGCGGCTCGAACGACCCGGAGCGCTCGTTATCATATTCGACCTGCGCATCTCCATCGGTGAGCTATCGAGATGGTAGTGCCATAAAGCATACGTAATACGTATCCGCGGGGACCTCGCGGAACAGTTTCTCGGCTATACGGTCATACCCACCCTCGATCCAAGGCTCTACCTGGGATTGACCTTCGGTCAGCACCCGCATAACGTTCGGACATGCCGGGCTTACGTTTATGTGCCAATTGCCCCTGCATACATGTATGCCAACGGTCATGTCATCAGGACGTCCCTCGATGCACGCACCCAGTGCCTTCAAGTACAGATCGAGTAGCGCGGCATGGTCTATGCCCCGCTTCTCCATTGCAGCCAAAACGTTCTCATTGCAGAAGAACGAGAGCTGAGGAAAGTCAATCTGGACGTTTCCTGTGCATGTGATATGAGGCCTTCAGCATTCGGCATTTTCATAGCGGACCCTGCTTATACGCACTGCAGCCCGCAGCATAGAGGTCGCCCAATTCAGCCCGGTAGATTTTGACGAGGTCCGTGAAGTACTCCTCTAATGCATCGTCATGAGCGATATGTTCATGCTATACTGATCTAACATCCTCACCGTCATTCTGGTACACCGACTTGGGAAATGCGAACATTCCGTGACGGAAATGGTAGAATTCCGGAGACGGCATAGTGATCTTCAAGTACTTGTGCTCCTAGAAATACTGATCATGACCATCGAATAATGCATTGAGTGAATTCTCAAAAGACCTCTGGCGTCGTCATCTTCTTGAGCGCCTCAAACTCGTCAAGGTAGCATGGCTTGACGCGTCTCAGCTTGGACTATGTTAGGATGAATCAAGATGACGTATAAACCACATATATAGGGCACACAACTCACCACGCAGAGATACGTCGGCGGGGCCGAGTGATTCTCACCTTTGAACAGCTGTGCACTTGGAACTTCATCCTGCGTGTGCGCATCACGTATGGAGCAATTATTGAAAGACCAGCATGGGTGTCTACTCACCACAAACCATTCAGACGGCACTGCGATGCGCATGTAAGTATAATAGTCATGCGAACGAGAATCTCTTCTGTGACTAACCATTCGGGAAGTATTTCATGCCCTCCAGTTTATCAAATAGACCCTCAAAGAAAAGATACCTATGATAGGCATGATGAGACCGGCGCCTTCCAGCGATATTACTCAAAGCTCGTACCTTCTGAGTTCACCATCATTGATGGCTTTCATACCTGCAGCTCGCTGCAGCTGTATAGCTTCCTTGATGGCATGGTCTTCGACAGAACGCAGCTCCTCGAGCGTGCATTTGCCTTGGCTGAATAACTCGCGTTGCCGTAGAAGGTCAGCGGGTCGTTTGAAGGAGCCAGTGTGCTCAGCACGGAAGGGTGGTTTGAGACGAGGAGCAGACGTTGCCATTGTATGTCCTGTGATATAACGTTCAGGACGAAGTAGAGAGCGTGGTGTTGGGGTTGCAGCTGTGCATCCTTCTCCACTTATAATAAAGTGACCCTGTTAAATTAGTCCGTATACGGCACGCCTCCATATCATTAAACGTCATAACAGGATCCTAATAGACGCGACGCATGGAATAGCAGCTCAAATCAATTCAAACTAAGCGGCTTCTGAGGGCGCGATGCATGATTTGATGAGCATGCAGCTTGCCGTCAACGCGTTAACTTGAAGGGACGTTATACAGCACTGACCGCGTACGTTAGTGCGCAGCTTGTGGGGATAGTACGATCACGAGGCGCGTCAAGTGACGATACAATTCAACCTGCAGCGGTAGTGCGTGGGTAGAGTTCTGTCTGTGCTGAGGACCAATGAATGGAGGCACGGCGCGTACCCGGCTATTTCTCTAAAGGAATATGAAGACAATGCCTTCCCGCTGTTGGAACGTTCGATGATGTGTGTAGACGGAATATACGCACTGGTCACGATATGCACTAGCCGTCTCAGAGGCCGAGCGGGATAAAACTTAGCCTACGCGGCAGTGTGGGAACTTTCAGTGCGAATGCAAACATCATTATAGTGCGTACCTCAGGCGGTCCTGAAGCGGTGTAGAGTTTGGATATATATGCGGTACGAAGGCCCACCGACTGCTACAAGCCAATCGGTTGAGCATTAATTGTGAAGATCCACTTCGTAAAGTCCCGAAGGCGTCAGCTGATAGCTCACCAGAAGGGCTTCGGCTGTGCTCACGAAAACAACAGCGGTGGCAGCCTCTCCATCAGAAACGGTTATACCCTTGATCAATGAGCTTTTCTCGCATTATGAGGGAACGCGTTTAAACATACCGATATAAAGTGAAACTCAAACAATGCATGCATGATGGCCCATGGGCTGTTTGAGGGTTCGGTGAAACTGACAACATACAGAAATTATGAGCCATCATGATGCACAGAGTTGCAGAGACTCTTGTTCGTATAAACAAGTTTCATTATTGACAAGCCATATTAAATCGGAAGTGCCACGATCAAAGCACCGAAAGGCATTCTCTATCACACGGCGTTTGGTTCAGACAGGCGGCGCCAATCAAAAAGCCCCTCAGACCATGAGCCGGCCACGTTCAAGTTGTACTCAGCACCGACGACATCCTCCCTTCTTACCCTATTGTGTAATACCGGCTCCGAAGCGTTATGATTGCTCGCTTCACTCTCGTCTCGTCCGTTCATGAACAATTAGCGCGAGTTATGGCCCTCTGGAGTGGCCTGCAATCGTTCCCGACTAAATCTTGTGCAATCTTCTTCGAAATGGCTTTCCTTCACGTCGGTGGGATCGCTGGACATATCTCGCGACGCTTTACCCTTGGCTTCGGTTAACCCTTGACATCGGTTCCAAAATTATCTGAGAAGTGCGTCAGGCTGAGTTACCACTTAGTCACCCACCTCGAGCGTATTCCTGAATCATCACCATTCTCCCACATGTCAGGCCACGTCCTATGTGGGGGCTATCTGGAAGCGATCGGACCTTTGACGAGTGCGGCTACCAATGACCAAAGATTGCTCCATTCATCCTGATCCGCTTTCGACCTCCATCCTGCATTTAACAAGGCAACAGGACTCAGAATTCAGACGAATCGATGTGCAAATGTCGGTGGTCCACTGGGAGCATTGTGCTCTGGATTGTACCCACAGTATCCTCGCTTCTGCGTTGTGCGTCTGTTGTTCATGCATCCACTCGTTTCTGGCTGCTTGCAAAAATGCTCGTCGTGTACGTCTCTCTGCAGCTCGAGCTCCATCGAAGTCGTATGGCCGACGCGTATATAACAGAACCTGCGACTCCCGCTCGGATCTACCAATTCAAAGAGGCTCGACCACACTGCTTCTTGTGTCAGAGGCGCGCGGCCGAGGGCACTGTATCGGCGACCGTCCATAGACAGAGAAACATAACCGCTATATCGCACCGTTCAATGGCGATGGACGTGAGTGCGGCGTTAAGGAGGTCTTAGAAATTGGGGAACGACGAAAAGCATCGGCGAGAACGCGTGCGGCGTAGTATCGTGTGAGTCACAATAGTGTGACGTGTCCGTCTCTGAAAAACGCGATCACATAGTTTAAACGAAGTGACATACGTACGCGTCTCACGCGTCCTGTCACGTTGAAGTGAAGTACATCAAGTTGCTCATATAAACTCCATACACATCATAGACTAACAATCAATACCTTGAATATCAGCTAGGCTCGATTCCTACGACATCAATATCGTACACTCTCTGCGCATGATATCTTACGGACTTGTGGTAGAGGCTTGTAAATATAGGCACGAACTGGCCGTTACACAACAATCGGGACAATTAGGACACGTAGACTTCACATATCAGGCCATATTTCCTTGGCTGTCTCCACCACGAGCTTGAGCTTCTTGGCAACGTCTTCCTCAGTCATGAACGAAAATCCCTCCGAAAACGATCCAAAGCCGCATTGAGGGCTGATACAAATCCTGAAAACGTATTTCAGTTTCTCGTGACGTTAGCCACATAAACAGCGACATACTGATTCAGAGCTTCATCCATGGAGCGTTTTTCCTCTCCACTTGCGATTATCGCAGCCGCCTCATGAACCCGGCGGATAAGTTCTTCTTTGGATTCCAGCTGCAAACGTTCAAGATGAGAAATGACCAAACGACACCAGAGAGATATGGGACTGAACTGACCTCGGTAGACTTAGTGGTCACAATCCCTAGCACGACGGACTTGTTGCGCGGAAGCCAGCGCAGCGGCTCGAATGACCCAGAACGCTCGTTATCATATTCGATCTGCGCATCTCCATCGGTGAGCTATCGACATGGCAATGCCATAAAGCATACGTAATATGTATCCGCGGGGATCTCAGAAAACAGCTTCTCGGCTATACGGTCGTATCCTCCTTCACTCCAAGGCTCTACCTGGAAATTTACCTTTGATCAGCACCCGCAAGACTTTCAGACACGCCGAGCTTACGTTGTGATGCCAATTGCCCCTGCACACATGTATGCCAACGGTCATGTCATCAGGGCGTCCCTCGATGCACGCACCCATTACCTTCAAGTACAAATCGGTTAGCGCGACATGGTCTATGCCGCGCTTCTCCATCGCAGTCAGAGCTTTCTCGTTGCAGAGGAACGAGATCTGAGGGAAGTCAATCTGGACGTTTCCTGTGCATGCGACATGAGGCCTGGCATTGCCATAGGTAGCCATGCTTATACGCACTGCAGCCGGCAGCATAGAGGTCACCCAATTCAGCTCGGTAGATTTCGATGAGGTCCGCGAAGTACTCCTCTAATGCATCTTCATGAGCAATATGTTCGTACTGGACTGATCTAACATGCTCACCGTCATTCTGGTACACCGACTTGGGAAATGCGAACATCCCGTAGCGCAGATGGTAAAATTCCGGAGACGGCATAGTGATCTTCAAGTACTTGTGCTCCTAGAGATACTAATTATGACCATCGAATAACGCATTGAGTGGATTTTTAAGACCTCTGGGGTCGTCATCTTCTTGAGTGCCTCAAACTCGTCAAGGTAGCATGGCTTGACGCGCCTCAGCTTGGACTATTTTTGGTATGAATCAAGATAACGTATAAACCTGCATGTTAAGGATGCACAACTCACCACGCAGAGATACGTCGGCGGGGCTCGGTGATTCTCACCTCTGAACACCACTGCAGTAGGAACTCCATCCTGCATGCACACATCATGTATTAAGCCGTCGTCGAAAGAGCAGCATAGATGTCTACTCACCACAAACCATTCAGACGGCACTGCGACGCCGATGTCAGTATAGTGATCATGTGGCGGCAATGTCTTCCGTGACTAACCATTCGGAAAGTATTTCATGCCCTCCAGTTTATCAAATAGACCCTCAAAGAAGTGATACCTATGATAGGCACGATGCGACTGGCGCCTTCCAGCGATGTCGCTTATGGCTCGTACCTTCTGAGTTCGCCGTCATTGATGGCCTTGATACCTACGGCTCGTTGAATTTGTATAGCCTCCTCTATGGCATGGTCTTCGACAGAGCGCAGTTCCTCTAGCGTGGATTTGCCCTGGTTGAACAACTCGTGCTGCCGTATAAGATCAGCGGGCCGCTTGAAGGAACCAGTGTGTTCAACACGGAAGGGTGGCCTGAGTCGAGGAGCAGACATGTCCATTGTATGTAGCGTGATAGAATGTTGAGCTGGGTGGGAGCGCGGCGTTGGGGGCTGCAGTTGTGCATCCTTCTCCACTTATAACAAAGCGACCCTGCTGAATTGGTCCGTATACGGCACACCTCCATGTCACCAAACGTCATAGCAGGGTCCTTGACGCGACGCAGGGATCAGGAGCTCGATTCAATTCAGATTAAGCGGCTTCTGGTAGCGCGATGAAGGTTTGATTGGAATGCAGCTTGCCGTCAATGCATTGATGTAACGGAACGACATACGGCATCAACTTCGTACGCCAGGTCCGCAGCTTGTGGTTGGAATGATGGGATAATCACGAGGCCCGCCGACACAATTCAATCTGCAGTAGTAGGGTTCTCTCTGTGCTGGGACCCACAGAATGGCGATGAGACACGTACCTGGCTATTTCACGAAAGGCATACGAATTGGAGTGCCTCTCTGCTGCTGGAACATTCGTGATGTGTATAGGAAGAATATGCGTAGGTCACGATATGCACCAGCGGTATCGGAGGTAGAATGATAGAAGACGTAGTCTGCACCATAGGATGGGAACTTTCACCATGGATGCATATGTCACTCAATGCGCACCTCAAGCGATGTTGGGTATGGACGTAAATGCGGTACGCAGGTGTCACCGGCTGTTATCCAATCGGCTCTGTATTGATTGCGAGGCCCCTTGCGGCGAGGTACCGAAGGCGTCAGCTGATAGCTCACCAGATGTGCTCGCGAAAACAACAGCGACGGCGCCGGCTTCATCAGAAATGGTTATACGTACCTCGATCAATGTGTGGACGTTCGAACCTCCCGACATAAAGTGAACCTCGAACAATATTTGCGTGAGCGTTTGAATGTTCGATGAGACGGGCAACACGCAGGGATCACGAGCCAATATGACACGGCCCGCGTTGCATGTCACACACAATCTTGTCACACAACTTAGCTCGTTGGGCTGCAGCAAGATGTCTGGCCAAAAATGTATTGCGTATGTCTTCGCTGGCTTCAACAGATCTGCCTTCCTCAATTCGATGACTATAGACGACGCGTTACATTTGTCCTGAATGTTAATTAGCTTATTCATGAGCGACTCGTCACCATCTAGCCATGCGTTCACGAAATTGCAGGCGAAAACACGATAGCAAGCACATACTATTTGGCTCACTGTGGAATGGCATATGAACAGCTAGCCGAAAACGTCATGTCCTTATCAACAGTGCCTACCACTGCTGCGATCTATCTTTCTTATCAGTGACCAAGGTGCTCTCTTCGCCGATTGCGCTAACGCGACATGCTGTGCTTGCGGCGAAACGCCTCCATTGAAGTGTTTCGGTCATACAGCACAGCAAGTCCTCTCGTTGAAAGTTACAGCCGACCGCTGGAGCATCAAGATAAGTGTTGTACACTACGTGATTGGCTCTCATACAGATACTCTCTCATAATATTGAGACCTCAGTTTGCCATCGGAGCGCACAATCTCTCGAGCACAGGGTCATAGCTTCCGGCGGGTCCTCGTAATACCATGCTCGTACTCGCTGAATCGCGATTACCGGTACAGAACAGTCAAGGAGATACGGGGACGTATGCATATGCTACCCTTGTGCCAACGTTTCGGCTCTCGCCGCTTTCAAATTTCGTGACAGCCTCCAGATCTCTCTTATGACACAGCTACGTCCGCTGTATTCTTGGAAAGTCTGCTACTATACACAGCATTCGGCTATCTCAATCTGCGACAACGCCCGTCAGCACCCAATCAAATAGCGCCATTGGGTTATTGAAATCTGTATTCAGGGGATTCTATGTTCTTCCGGCCGACGAACGTGGTTCTTTTACTAGCGAAACATCGCATTCTCGCCGCTACCCGCCGACCTTTCGCCAATCGGAAGTAATGCCTGAGCGCACGAAGGAGCAATATTAGGGCTTGAGCATAACATAGACAGGTCGGCACAAGTTAATCTCCTACCAGATGCTCGCAGCATCGACGCTGCTTCACGCTTACTGTTGTGCTCCGGTAGTTCCAGCGGTTGCGATTGTTATCAGTCATCACATACATGATTCATGACAACGAGCACGCGTACGGTCACCCTCCAACAGCCGTATTGTGCATTGATCGCGCGCGGCCGCTATAATTGTATTGCCATTCACTGGTCCGGTTTCAGTCAGGGCGGTCATCACGAGCGCCATCTAACAGACGGTCTCTTTACGTCACAGCATTTAGGCCGCTCGGTGATACATTCCTATCAAGGCGGATGTCTTTGCTCAAGTTCCCTAGGCATCTCGTCAAGCACTCCAGGCAACCGCTCACGGAGCACCAGACACGTCTCAGAGGATGTGGATGCGGCAACTGCAATGATGAAAGGTCATCCTGCGCCGATGGAGCTTTAAGGGAGATTCTAAGGCACCGGCCGTGTTGTTCCTTTTCACACACTAAGAAAAAGAAGACAAGAAACCTTGGCTCTCCCGCCCCAGCTGTTTAAGGTGAGTATTGTGCTCACGTGATACATTGCGATATTAATGTAACTTGGCGTCTCTCGTTGTCGCTGTCCGCTATGATCATGACATGGCATCTCATCACACTGAAATCAATCATCAGTCCGAGAGGCTGCAGAGGACATGCGGAGACTCAATTGCACGCGACGAGGATCTGCGTTTTGAACTCGGCGATGGCTGTGTGCATCGCAACCATGACCACCGGCGGGAGAAGGCTCCGGCCCACACTACAGAATCAGCCACGCGGCAAGATCAAAGATCTATTCAACTTTGTTTGAGCAGCGCCGGATGGTAGGATATTATGAGCGGGCTTTGCCTGCTCGGCACTCAGCGTTTGATTACCAGATACATATATAGAGAACCACACAGCTTATAAGGGCCGTCAGAACGATTGTCTCCATCGATTGCTTGCTGCTTTCCACCATGTTCTCTTTTTCAGTGAAAACCAAGGGTTTCAGTGGATTGCTCATCAAATATGCCCTTGTGACCGCGGTCATAGCCATGATTGTCAGATTGATGTAAGTTGACAACGTTCTCTCAGGATAGATGGGCGTGTTGATGTATCTCGAATAACAGCTTGTCTGTGGACGAACTGGCAAGAGATGAGATACCCGAGTTCTCGTTGAAGGCGCATCCATTCGTTCCGCCAAAGTCTTCGGACAGTCGGTCACCCTGTCCCGCCCTAAATGCGCTCGCGAATCACGGCTTCCTGTAAGTGTTCTTCGCGAAGAGTGTCAACTCCACTCACTACAAGCCGCACAGGCCGCATGATGGACGAAACATCACGCGGAAAGACTACGTCCACGCCCTGCGCGAGGGTTACAGTCTCTCACTGCCCTTGGCCATGCTCCTCACATATGGCGGGCACATCGTGCTGGAGCAATACTCCGTGCTGACACTATCGGATCTTGCACGACACAACTTCATCGAACACGACGCCTCTCTGGGCCACTACGATGCCATCGGAACCGAGGAGTACGCGCCGATCAAGGCCAGTGCGCAGCTCATCCGAGAGCTCATCGCCGAATCCTCGGACGGCGAGGTCATGACCATGGAAGACTTCGCCCACGCGCGTGTCCGCCGGGAAGCCAACTACAGGCACCCGCTCGACGCGATCCACGAGGAGATTGCGCGCGGTGAGATGTCGATGGTTCTCGGGATCTTCGGACGAGGCAACGAGACTGTGCCTGTCCGGTGGATAGAGGAGTGGTGGCTCAACAGCACCTTCCCTAGCGATTGGGCACCGACCCATCAACAGACGTTGTTGATGGCGGTTCAAGGATCGCAAAAACTCAGGCGTCTCATGCGAGACATTCGCGCAGCAGCTAAAAGCGGGTAATGCTCCGTACGTTCTTCGCCGTCAGTAGAGGAGTAGAAGAGACGAAGTCATAGAAGGATCGAGAGGCAGCTAGTATCCACGGGTTCATATTTACATCTAACTTATGCTCTTCGGATAAGAAAGCTCACTTCGTACTGCTTCTGTATATTTAATAATGCACTGGCAATCGTGACGATACTTCGATGCCGTAAGAACATCAACGGAATGCTGCGGGCCAGGGTATTCGATGAAGACGAAGCTGCGTGCGTGCGATACACCTTGTACTGTTCCACATCCACGCTATTTTGGGACGTCATCGTATAATAGTCCACATCGAGCCCCAGCGAAGCCGTGGAGGACCGATGTCCAATGGGGGTGAGACGACAATATGGAAACAGTCGATTCAGCGAAGTAACATGCATCGGACGTTGACGACGAAATTACGTCTCTTGCGATAAGACAGAATGTTGAAAGCTGGAAACAGTCGACAGAGGCATGGAACTGCAGCGAATTCTATGAGGATCCGCCTGTGATCGGACCTTCCCAACTGCGCTCAATCCCCATGCGTCTCAGCTTCTCTTCCACCTGCCGTCCCAGATCGTCAACCTTCTCAATCATCCATGAATCCTCCCCTATGGTGAGACAGAATGCCCTCCTGCTTTCTTTGACCCAATCAAAAGCGAGCTCCGCATTGCCATGTGCTAGGAGAATTTCCGCGCTCATGTACAGCACTTGCGCGTAGCGTATCGGCAATCGCTCTGCCCGGGTGAACATCAACAAGAGCTGCAGTTTGTCAAGGGTGATGTTAGGAGGGTCGCCACGGGACCTCTTGCAAGCTTTGAGGAACGTGTGGATGCTGACGCGCCTTGCGTCGCTGTGATACAATGGGTGCTCGGGCAGAGAACACACTCGGCAAACGCAAGTGAAGCCGTATTGGTTTCGCAGGTGAGCCCGACGCTTATCGCAAGTCGTCAGTTCGTCGGTATAGATCACCGAAATCTCATCGCCGGCCGCGATATCCACCGCAGCGAAAAACTGGCCGCAGAACGCCGAGCGGGAGAAGTGGTAATTCGTATTTGGTGTGCAGTCGTGGTTAGAGCGCGAAAGGGTGAGGAAAACACCCGAATAAGTGTCGTCGTAATCCTCTTCAGTAGGCACGCTGATCTGGAAGACATTGCTCCCCACGATTCCAGGCACGATCTCCATCCTCTCTCGATCATATGCATCGTAAAGGGACAGGAGGGACTGGCGCGAATGCTCGGAGAGCCCGGCAAGAGCATCGCTGTAGTATGTCGCATCCGCATAGGGGGAGTCGTAGCTTCGAGTGTAGAGGTCACTGTTTGAAACATACGTCGGCCTCTCCGCGAAGATGAGCTCGCCGGCACGGATGTCCCTTGTAGCTATCATTCCAAGGCCCTTTCCCTCGATGGGGCATATGCGGAAGCAACGCTCAGACGCGTTGTAGGGAAGAGGGCGCTCCATACAAGCAGAGATGACTTTGATGGCTGGCTTGATATTCTTCAGGTAGTCAATGACGACCATTTCGGCACCCTCCGCGCTGTCTGCGAGGTACAGAAAACAAGGCATCCCGGGGAGACGCGGGTTTGCGGACACGACGCGAGGGAATTGCTGGAGAATCTGCGCCCTTGGACTGAACCGTGGCTTGCTACCTTCGGCGCTCATCTGATCCGGCATTATGTTTCTGTGAATGAGCAATCGTTGCAGGTTCTGACTGGGCCCCTTTCAATCACGAAAGGTGTCTGAGATGGAAGAAGCACTGACCAAGTTCACAAAAGCTTTCAAGACAATGTAGGTGAAAATAAGAGAGAGGCATAGGATGAGGCATTGTGCGAAACGATCTGACGTACGCGGCTCTAGACGAGCGTTAGCTTCTTCAGAGCAGATCGCCATCGGAATCACGTTGCCATTTGCGATGTACGCTCCCACAGAGAGAAAAGTCGAACAGCGCCTTTTGCAAGTAGTCCACCAAAATACTTGAGAACAGGAGATGTAAAGCGTTAAAGTCCACGAGGAAACAATTTGTGGCGATCAAGTTAATGACCGTGTCAAATATTGCTCGACTTTGACAACAGGCGGCGCTGAGATGGAACTCCGATGAAACATACACCCCATACGGACGTCTCCAGTGACGAATACTTGGCCAATGCACAGATCACACCGTAGGCATCTTGTATAACCCTCGACGCGCGCATATATCCTCGACACGGTGTAAAGGTAGGCGAATTACGACCTCTTTCATGCACAAGGAATCGTAGTAGTGATCAATTTGTCTCATGATGGTAGCTCAGACCGGCATGCCGTGCAGACGGCCAAAGTCGAATAATTCATTATCACTCGACATTGAGATGAATCAAATGCAACACTACTCACGAAAGTGCGGAATATAGAATACGAACGGTGAGCTTCTGACGACTTGAGGCATGCACCCATCATGCGTTGACCATCCGATCCCAAAACGCGCCTCCGCAACGGCATATAGGGATTCATTTCGGATCACACATGGTTCCTGGACACGTTCTATGGAATTAGGATGGAATGTGCAAGAGCGATCAGCTGGTGATGGATGCGACGTCCGGCGCTCAGTCTGGCTCGCTGCGAGCATGCGCGTGAACAGTTTTCAAGTGGGTTCAGCCTCGTTCCTTCTCTTGCCTCCTTTCTGAATTCGCAACTTTTATTCTATCCTGGTCCATTTCCTCCCTTGCTTAGCTGACGCTATGCTTGTCATCAATGGCAGAGCTATCATCCTCGTATCGTATGGCTAGTCAGCAGGTTCTCAAGGCCGCCGTGTGCCCTATGATGACATAGCGTGCTGCATCATCTCTGTTTTTAAGCGCGTCCACAATAGCACCCTTGTTCTCCGTGCTCTCTATCTGCTTTTTCGAAAATCGCCTGAACTGAGATGGCTATTGACAGCCCTCGACTTCGTCCACCATTCCGTGCGGAGCAGATTGGCTCGCTCAAGCGACCCACTGCTCTCCTGAGGAAACGAGAGGCATTCGAGGAAGGGAAATGCACTCAGGAGCAGCTGAGAGAGGTTGAGGACGAAGCGATCAGCGGGATCCTTCAGATGCAGAGACAGGTCGGAATCAAGGCCATGACTGATGGTGAATTCCGGAGGTAGGTTGTTATCTTCTGCGCGAGTTATCACAGCATGACGATCTGCGGCACGCATCACAGGCACATGTTCTTCGATGGCGTATTCGACAACCTGGAAGGAATGAAGTACATACCAGTAGGTCCGTCTGCATCGCTCATCCGATGACTAAGCGTCCATACGAACTGACTATGCTATGCAAGTTCCTGACGAATGGTTCATGGTAAGATGCATCTCGAATGCTCGGCGGTCCAATTTTCACAGCATGCATAGGAATACGTGCCCGACATTGACGGGTTCAAAGCTCTCAAAGGAGGTGCGACCTATATATGCGAGGTACATCGTCTGCAACGTCAATTTTATACGTTGCAGTCGACTATAAATATTTGTTATCTTTCAGTCTAAGATCAAGCGCACGAAACCCTTCTATGTCGGACAATTTGAGAACCTCAAGCGGCTCACGGCACAGGAGGTACGCACATTATCGATATAGGGAAGCGAGATGATCCCAGCTTTCCAAACAGGAGTATGGCCATATCAAATTGACCATCTGCGCTCCGGGATGGTACCATCTTCGCCACGGACCATATGCCTATCCCAAGGATGTCTATGCAAATGATGGTGAGTTATGCGGAGTTGGCAATATGTAGCAAGATGAATCTATGAGATCTATAGAGGAATACTTCGCCGATATCATAGAGGCATATCGCGAGGAGCTCAAAGACCTCTATGCCATAGGGTGTAGTACGTATTGTATACATACGTTTCGAGTTGGCGCTGAGGTTCTACTGGTGTGGCCACCTTTGGCAGGAAACATACAGTTTGATGACCCGCTCCTCGCTTACTTTTGTGACATGAACATGCTCAAGGGCATGAAAGAGCATGACATCGATCCTGAGGCTCTGTTCAACCTGTACTGCCGAGTGTATCGAGATATTCTAGAGGAAAAGCCTGCGGACATGACCGTTGGCATACACCTCTGCCGGGGTAATTTTAAGGTGCGTGTCCCAGTCAGCCGCATGCCAGATGGGAAGATTTCACGTAGATGTGCTCTGTTCGCAGGACGGACATCATTTCAGCCAGGGCGGGTACGACCGTATCGCGATCAAGCTCTTCCAGGAGATCCCTTGCGATACCTACTACGTACGGATTTGTCCTCAACCTCGTCTCGAGACACGGGGAGCGGCGCTAATTGCTGAAAACTGCAGTTAGAGTATGAAACGGAGCGGGCCGGTACGTTTGAGCCTCTCCGCTGGCTCCCCCGGAACAAGTCGGTCGTTCTCGGGCTCATTTCCAGCAAGTTCCCAAAGGTGAGCTGAGACAGATCTCGTTGCGTTGGATCCATTCACACAGATCTTGACTGCTGTGTCTACACGAAGATGGAAGACAAGGAAGAGTTGATTCTGCGCGTCCATCAGGCGGCGGAAATTATCTCAGGCGGAGAGGAGAAGCGTCCGAAAGAAGAAGCGCTGAACCAGTGCGTTCATCTTTCTTGAGTGATGATCCGCTCTCATGGCAATGTGTGTCGTGTCAGGATCTGTATCAGCCCTCAATGCGGCTTTGCCTCGCATGAGCTGGGTAACCCGGTAACGGAGGAGGATATGATCCGAAAGCTGCGATTGATTGTTGACACGGCAAAGGTCATTTGGTCGGATGCGTAGGTGCGGACTTCATCCTATGAAATATGTCTCGTGTTGTATGTATCTTGGGCAACACCTCCTGCGAACACGTCTTCAAGGATAGATCGGTCGTGACGAGATGACTCTGCGATATCTGTAGATTTCGTGCCATATTCACACCGATAAAGCAAGCGCTCAGTGACGTCGAGATGCCGACCGTAAGGTGGTCGTCTGTTTTCCATCGTATCCTTGCCAGAATATGTAATGTAAACCCACGTATGGATCCGTCGATCGCGCCGTGCGCTAACGGACTGAGTCGCGAGTCATCAATTAACAGCGCTCAAAATAGACTTTTCCAGTGAGATTTTATGTATACTGAACATTGCACATGATGACATATTTATATGTGTTAGGACTCTCCGATCTAGGGCCACGTATCAATACTAGCGGGCTACTGCTTGCGTTGGTTGCTCATTATATCCATTCTTTCTCACATCGTAGCCTCCCTTTCTAACTTTGCTGGGCAACATCTATGGTGCCCATATTATCAGCACCCGACGCAAAATTCGGAGTCATGCGATTGCATCCGTTGTGATAATCGTTCTGTTGTTTACTGAACAAGTTAGAACGCCTGCGGTCTTGGAAGTTCGCCAGACTGCGCGGGAGCAGTGGACGGTTGTATGCAGACAAAGCGTCGATTTGCATGCATGCCGAGTACTCCTCTCTACTCATTCGATATGAAGTCGTTCCTGGAAGCGTTCTAATGCTGACTGATTGGTACTATTCGGGCGCGAACAGCATCCTGTTCTCGTGGTGATCATAATTTTCATTTATAGCTTATTTGGAGCTCAGACTGTCATTCATGTCATGGTGGTCACCGGGACGGAGATGAGACGAATTCCCCCATGTCACGAAGACTGCCGATAACGATAGGGCGTTTTCGACGTAGCCCCCTGTCCCTGCTACCCAGAGGAGCATTTCTTCGACGTGCTGCATGCATTCCCATCTGAAACCGCCTTTCTGCGCTGAGCACATTGGCTCGCTCAAGCGACCGACTATTCTTCTACAGAAGCAAAAGGATATTGGTATAGGAAGATGTACCCAGGAAGAGCTGCTCATCGTGGAGGAGAAAGGTATCCGGGACATCATTTAAATGCAAGGAGCCTTGGATATCGAGGCAATCACTGATGAGGAAATTTCGGCAGGGAGTGCGAATTCTGGCAAGCTGCAAGGCGTCTGATCATAATTGTATGATCAAGGCATATGATCTTTTGATGGAATATTCGATAACGTGCAGGACATGAAACATGTCCTTATAGGTCAGCCTTTAGCGCACACTACAACTCGAGCACTGACACTCTATCTTCCTGCGCATAGTACCTTCAGAATGGTTTAAGGTACGTATCAGATCGCCCCGCTCCATGCTGGATTTTCGTCAACCTGTCGCGACATAGGACTATGTTATAGACATTGCAGCATTCAAGACGCACAGCCTCAGCGGTCTGCCACGTATCTTTTGGAGGTAAGACTGCATGCTGGCCTGATGCTGCGATGGTTCACGAGTCTTCTACGGTCTCGTCGTTAGTTCGAAGCTCAAGCGCACCAAGCCATTCTATCTCGATCAATTCGAAGCCTTCGAGAGACTCACAGAGTCGGAGGTATGTCCATGTAGCCACCTACACAGGCAACGAAGGCAACACTGAGGAGGGAAGTACAGGAACACAGGAATATCAAGATCACTATGTGTTCTCCCGAGTGATTTTGTCTTCGTCATGGGCCACACGCCGACTCAAAATCTGTGTACAAGGATGACGGTCGGTCCTTGTGGATATACGTTAGCAGGCATCGTGCTGACTGTTGCTGTTTAAAAAGTGCTTCGCGGATATGATGCAAGCGTATCACGAGTCACGAGGAGTTCAAGGATCTCTATGACGCATGATGCCCTATGTGTCTGTTCCACTCTGCAGTCCTCTGTCACAATGATCAAGGTAACAGAAGAACACGGTAATGACCATGAGGAATTGCCTGACTTGAAGTCTTGGACTGATTGCGTACACAGTGCCATATTGGAAGGTAGACCGGCGGACATGACCGTCGGATTCCACCTATGTCGAGGCTATCACAAAGCATATACGATGTATTCCCTTCATTGAAACAGGTAGATGACGCATATTTCCGCGAGGGGATCATTTCATTGAAAGAGGCTACAATCGTATCGCTACGAAGCTTTTCCAGCAGACTCCACCTGGTACTTACTACGTACTCTTCTGGCATTATATGCGGACGCGGAGGCATTCTTGCTGACGCTGGCAATTGGCCGTTAGCATATGATACCCGTATGCGCAGGTTCATTTGAACCGCCCTACTGGCTTCCGCAAAGCAGGTCGATCGTGTTGGGGCTGATGTCGTTTAAATAACCCAAAAGCAAGCCGCTGCTGTATTAACTCGCTGGGCATGAAGCACATTTCAGAAGGTTGTCACCAGAATTTCATGATGATTGGTGAATGACTGTACTAACGCATTACTTGTGGTGTCGTCGAAATGGCCCATGATGTGCGGACGGATTTCTATCCGGCATCAACTGTCGATACACGACTCTTCTCAACCTCAAATATTCTTCGTCACACGTCTGCGCTTTCAAACTACCGCGAACGGTGCCCTCTTACATTTGCCAGGTAGGACAAAATGCGAGTTCGATAGTTGAACGACGACAGACTCTCTTCTAATTTCGTTGGTCTAAGCTAAAGTGCGCAAATCCTTCCCGTCTCAACCAATGTAAGGCTCTAACGAAATCAACAACCCCGGAAGTATGTTTCATACGTGCTCGCACGGTTTGTTCAGAGGGTCCCGAGTAGCTGATCCAGGAGTATGGAAGTACCAAGATCACAATGTGTCCTTCTGAATGCAGTCTCATCATCATCATGGGCCGTTTGTCTGTTCACGACCCGTGTACGAGAGCGATGGTGGGTTGTCAGCACCAAACTAGTATTGTTGTCCTGAGCGGCATTGCAGAGGAGTACTTCGCACGCATTCTTTTCTTTGGCTTTGGATGTAAAGGCATAGAAGGGCATAGAATCAGTCATGAGCGAAGGGGGCGGAACTCTGCGAATACAACTGGCGGGCTCTACCTATTCCAAGGCAATATTAAGGTATGTATGAAGCGCTTGGACGATTTATAATCTGAGCAGGTTACGGTATATCAAGTCGCTTCTTCACGACGACTGCATCGCCGTCAAACGTCTTCGGGAGAGTCCAGTTGATGTTTATTGTGTATCTGTCTAACGTTTGCAGAGACAGCGTTGATGATACAGTACATCTGCAGTAGGAATATGACAACGAGCGAGCGGGCCCCTTCAAGCTCCGCCATTGACTCACAAGAAGCAGGTTCGTCGTTCTAGGACTAGTGTCGACGAAGGCTTCCAAGGTCACTTGATGCTGATTGATCTTGCAATGCCTCTTGCAGTTCATCATTGATATTGATGCGCCGTATGTCAGTCAGAGAAGAGTTCATCCAGCGTGATCATCAAGCGGAAAAGGAGGCTTGCAAATGGGGAAGACAGGCGTTAGAAGGGAGAACACTGCATCAGTGCGACGGCTTTCCTATTTCAATGATGAGGCATATTTCTGAGCATGAATGACTTGCCATTCCGGGAATTTCATAAGCCTTCAATGTCGCTTTGCGCCCTCGCGGAGGGTAAACTGTCAACGGAGAATGATCAGGTCCGCAAACTCTGTGCTATTGTCGAAGTGATTAAGGCCGTCTGGTCGAGTATCTAAGTTCTGCCTTGGCACGGTCAGCCAAAGACGTGTGCGATTAAACTAACCGAAAAAAACCTGGAAAATGTTTGATACGGAGGCCAATCTATCAAGGTGACGCTGTCGTTTGTCTGAACAGCCAGCGGAACAGGTCTTTGAGTTTGAATTGAACTTTTTGTAGCTGCAGGGCCCATGTGTCTGCAGCTACGCAGCTATCGGGTTGTGATCTGCCTGGCGAACCACTCGTGTACGTATAGATTTCTTTCTCACCTCCCCGAAAAAAGGAGAGATATTGCTCCCTACCTAGGATAGACAACCCTGTCCTTGAAAGAACAGGGTTATTCGATCTCGTCTGCCACGAACAGGGCACACGTATAGCAAGACCTACAATGTGCTACGTTAGCCGGTAGGAGGGTATCATGCTGCAGCGAACATGTATGCAATGCTTTGAGAAATCGCCGAGGTTTTGTCGACGTCAGTCTTTGCCGTGCGCTTCAAGATTCTGACGGCCGTCGACAGCCTGCACTTCACAATTGCTAAACCGATTGGCCATCTCCTTTCGCATACTCAATACTCAATCGCTGAGTCGCTGAAACTATACTAGAGCAGCGGGTAGACTTCACCGAAATGGCGAGTGCCTCGTGCACGGCTTGGTCAACTGATTGATCATGCGCGCAGATTAGAAATTCTATTGACCGATTATGCGAACCCTTTCACCTTCTAATCGCTATCTTTTTACAGCACGGTCCCATGCCGGACCGCTCGCTGGGAATTCGGGCAATCGAACAAGCTTCAGGAAAGTAGACGTGCGATCACGAGGGCGATGATGACATGTAAGCGCTAAGAATACCCTCGAGATTCCTCTCGCGATGCGATGTGGCGGAGGCTCGCGGTGCACCTCCCTGCTAGAACGACCATCCTCGAGGGATATATATGCATCGTAAGCGAAGAGTGTGCATTGACTCCGCCCGCCAGGCCTCCTGAGCACCATCCATGTTTCCCAATGCTCGCATCGCAGTGTCACTGGCGGTCTTGCTTGGCTTGGCCTCCGCGGCAAACGTAACGACGGTCAATGTAACAGTTACGGTCGTCGCGCCTTCAAAGTCTCAGCCCCTGTCATCCACACTCTTGTCGTTCTCTATCGAGCAGGATAACTGGCCGGACTGGAGTGGAATCGATTCGCGCAATGAGTTCACCTACAACGCGATGATGAACTATGCGAATCTTACCGGGCAGCCTCCCAAGTTCAGAGTCGGCGCCGACTCAGAGGACCACACTGTCTGGTCCCCAACTGTGACGGTGTGTTTTTTTTGCGAGGGATGTCCTATCCTGCTCTAAGCATTCACTGTTGAAGATCAATAAAGACGAATTTCCTCCGTCCAACTCAATCACTCCGTATCCAGAGGCGACCATGATCACTGTGGGTAGTGAATATTACACGCTCTCTCGTTGGCTTCCCGCAGGTAAGCAAATGACCCAGTGTAAACTTGCTAGCGCATCTGATTGCTGAGATTCGTCCACGTCCTCGCTCGTGATTCCTCGGTCCAGGCACACGCATGATCTGGGGTGTGAATCTCGGCTTTAACAACATCACGAATGCACGGAATATGGCCAAAGCAATAGTGGCAGCGTTCAGCTCACCATCTGTGATCGAATCGGGAGTCATCTTGGAGCGGATTGAAGTCGGTGAGTAAGGTCATCATCCAACCATATTTTACGTTGACCTTGTTCCTCCGATGACGCAGGCAACGAAGCGGACTTGTACGGTAGCAATGGCCTCCGTCCGTCTGGTTACTGGACTGTTCAGGATTATGTCTTCGATTGGGAATCCGTGGCTCTACCAGTGATCCAAGCTGCAGGAATCTCGACACGATTCGGGCCTGTGACACTTCAAGGCGCCGCATTTTCAGGACAGGGATTCACTCCAAGAGAGATATTCTCCCTGGGGATCCTAGAGAGTACACCTGGAGAGACCATCTCGACGTAAGTCTACGGTGCATGACACGAGAATCGTGCCACTCATGATTCCAATGTATTGTTTGCACAGAATTTCTCAACATCAGTATTCTGCGGCTTTCTGCGACGGAGGCAATGAAGGATTGACATCTTTTATGAACAAAACTTCTATTAGAGGGAACCTCACAATTTTCGACGCGGATATCGCGGCAACGTATGCGAAAGGCCTGAACTATATTCTAGGGTGAGTGTCGCATTTGAACGGAAAGAGGAATCGCGCTCAGATTTATCGACCATCTATAGCGAGACGAATAGTGTAGCGTGCCACGGTGCACCAGGAGTCAGCAACACGGCAGGCGCAGCACTCTGGATGATCGATCACACGCTGTTCTCCTCAACGTTTGGCATATCAGAGCTCTACTTCCATGAGGGCATCGGTTACAAGTATAACTTCGTGCGTAGCCTTGTTATCGCCTGATGCAAGCACTAACTAGTTCACCCTACTTCTATCTCAATTAGCTACAGCCGATCACGCTCAATTATTCAACCATCGACGGATCGATTCTCGACCCGCCAGAGCCTCCACACATTCAGCCTCCTTACTATGGAGGTTTGGTAGTCGACACTCTCGTGGGAAACAGCGGTGCAGCCAGCATCGTTGAGCTAGATGTCCCGGAGAACGATACGACCGGATACGCGGTCTACGAAAGTGGAACGCTCGCGCGAGCGGTGTTCGTGAACCTGAATGCATGGACGACAAACAGCACGGGCACGCGCCCCGTTGTACACATCGATCTTGACTTCGCGTTCGGCGTAGTTTCGTCAGCCTCGGCAAGACGGCTCGTCATTAATTACGCGGACGACACGTCGAACCTCACCTGGGCGGGACAGAGCTATGAAGAGAGCAGTGACATTAGCCCGACAGGACAACTTGTGCTGGAGGACATCAATGTAGAGGAAGGGCTTGATTTGCGAGCGACAGAGGCAATTTTGCTCACCTTCTAGCTCAGATTCTGATGTGTAACGTCAAAATTCATTTTTTGCAGCCCGAAAGGTTAAAGTGATCGCACGGGTGTTCGGACCGTTTTACGATGGGTTGAGACGGGGAAGTTACATAGGATATCCAGGAAGGAATAGATGGTTCTGGTCGTCGTGCATGGTCACGGGTATGATTGCACCATTGAACTATCAGAGAAACAAGACGTCGTCACTTCAAGTTACGATGAGTTGGGCGAGGAGTGAGGACCTTTATATTTGAGAACTCAGGTGCATGTTGGCGCATGAACCTGTATGAGAGTGCCTAAACGTGTAACTGCGTCTTTGTCGCATGATTTATAGTAGTGCATGTCACGCATTAAATGCGCGTGCTTCATCATAAGTTTAATGCGCAATGTTAAAGGTAGCCAAGCAGCCTGGAGTTGCATCTAAGTTTGTTAACAGTATCGCATCCTTGCTTTCATTACACCACTGGAGATGCATTTCAGTTCAATCAAAACGGTATACTAGTAGGTCACCAACCATTGGACAATATAGTGTGCAAAGGGTAGTGGCCGCGTGTGCCAGGCCCAGCCCAGCTTCAGGGCTGGCCTTATGTCAACCAATCAGTTCTGGAATTTGATCTATGACTCGAAAGCTGCAACCCTGTCGGTTTCTTGAAGTGGCAGCGGCCCAGTGGTCGACGTCTCGATCGCAATCTACGTGTTGACTTGCTCTTCAAGCTTCAAGTTCTCCGATGCCCGCAGACGCCCTTCATACTTGCAATTCATGAAGCGTGGAAATCCATACATAGTATGTAAGCGCGCGTTTACGGTACAGCCTTCTATCGATCTGCGTCTATCATGCTGCAATCTGCACCGATAATCCGTTCTTTCTCTTCCTCCCGGTCGTCATGAGCGCGTGCGACGTCTATTCAAAGGCACTTTTCCGTGTTGGACACGGTTATCCTTTGTGGGACCCCGAGCCCACGAAGCACGGCGAAGTTCGCGTCGGAGACGTCGGCTTCCTCGCGGATGGAGCGCTCTTTCGCCTCTTCAATGTTCTTGCTCCTGCGGATGATGCGGTCCAAACAAAGTACGGAGTATATAAAGGCTATGAGCCGTTCAAACGCAAAACCGACTACGGGAATAACAATGAACGCCACATTGGACCGGGTCCGGTATGCAGCAAGACGGTGAAGCATCTCGGAGCATCTGGCTCACTCAGTGTGTAAGTCTTCTTCATTCTTCGACATAAAGTGTTTTGTCGCTCAACAAGTGTACAACACCAGGCAAGGAGCGGGTGCAAGCTTTGAATTCGAGTGCATCGACGAACAAGGAGCGCTTCTGGTCTTGAAAGAAGGAGCTCACCGAAACGTCATGCTTCCGAGCCGACGGCTGGCAAACTATATGAGCCGCAATCTCGCTAAATGGGTCTTATTCGCTCAAGATGACAACGACGTTGCTGTTCAGAAGGAGGCCATCATGTTGGTGACCGGCGTCATCAAAACTACCGAATGGGCTATAGCAGCCTTTGTGCATCATGGACGCTCGGCTAAGGTGGCCTTCGATGCGCAGGCTGCCTCGATAGGCAAAGCTGCCTTTTCACTAACTAGCTCGATGACCGTGAGCACTGCGCCTGAGCAGAAAGTCGGGCCCAGCTCCAGATTTAATACTGGAGATCCTAAATCCCCGAAATCAGGAAAGCAGCAAACTGAAGCGCAGTCAGGAGGGCAAAAACACCAGAAGCAGTCGGGAAAGCAGCGCCCTCAGAAGCAGTCAGAGAAACAGCAGGGAAAACGGCCCATGAAAAACAACAAGCGAAATCAGCAACAGGAAGCTACGCACGACTCTGAAGATGATAACGACGATCAGAATAATGATGACGGTGACCGCAGCGCCAGTCATGTTGTCGAGCCCAAACGTGATCAATGTGTCTTCGTGAATTACTATAAAGTGAAGTATCGCCTAGGATTCTGGCCGAGGGTGCTGAAAGCCGCTGCCGGCGATCCAGACTTGCCTCCAGGACCTGATGATGATCACAATGAAGGCTCTGCCAGTGCTCGCAATGGTGATGACGTTACGGACGAGGACGTTGAAATAGAACATTTCCCGGTCTTTGAGAAGGTCTGTTGTATGATTATCGTCGCAATTATCTCTGAGCTGAACGTTTCATACAGGCATATGACCCAGTGGAGTTCTTGCTGGACTATATTCTTAAAGTGAGTAACTACACGACGTGTTCAGTCTCTCTGGACTGAGATTACGAAGTATTCCGAGGCAAACATGGCAATTGCTCATGACCAGGATATATTGCGGTTATGCCAGGTAAGCTCATTGATCAGCGACGAACGTCCACTAATATGAGAATACAAGCAACACAACACAGAGATACCCAACAATATTCCGGAGTTTCTTGAGATTGTTCGTCCGCTCATCGAGGTTAACGAGGATGGTCGTGAGTCTTCAATCCACAATGTACACGAATTCACCACTTAGTCCAAGTTACCTCTAGTTGGAATACTCTCTCTTGAAGATTTTTCGTTCAATGAAGCCGACGGCACAAATGATCAAGCTATTGCTGTGACCTCCCATGATCCTGCAAAATACGATACGTCCAAGGGTGAGGATGATGTCCACAAGTCGGACGATAAAGTCGAATGGAAAGTCGGAGGATTTGGCGATTCCAGGACCTTGGATGAGCACACGGGCGGCATTTGTGCCTTGGCATATTCTCCAAACGGCCGTTATATTGCCACTGGATCCGAGAATGCTATTGTAACCATCTGGGATGCACAAAGTGGACGTCGTTTGCACACGTGCGAACAGCACATGGATGCAGTCTGCAGCCTTGCATTTTCGCCTGACAGCACCCAGGTCGTCTCCGGCTCCCGGGACGGGACGGCTATTGTGTGGGGAATTGCAGATGGCGCGCTTGTTATAATGCTCCGCGGTCATCAAGGATTCGTCTACTCCGTTTCCTGGTCACCAGACAATAAGACCATCGCCACTGGGTCTGTCGACTTCACAATGCGCCTCTGGGATGCTTCGACAGGCGCTCAACGCTCCATCTCGGACGACCATAGCGGCATCGTCATGCTCGTTGCCTTCTCTCCGGATAGCACGCGCGTCGTCTCCGCTGGCGCTGATTACAGCGCGCGCGTCTGGGATGCGACAAATGGTCAACAGATATCTGTATACGAGGGGCACGAGGGCATCATCTACTCGATGGCGTTTTCGCCTGATAGTCGACGTATCGTGTCGGGTTCGGACGATGGGACGGCACGCATCTGGTATGCTCAATCAGCAGATGAGCTCGTCGCACTGCACAAACACGATGGATCTGTGTGGGCAGTGGCATTCTCCCTAGATTTAAAGAAGGTGCTTAGTGCTGCAAGCGACGGGACGGTCGAAGCGTCCGATTCGTACACCGGAGAGTCCCTGCTGTCGATAGGTGCCGATGGTTCGCTCATCAATATGGCGGCTTTCTCACACGACGGCAAACGTATCTGCGCGAGTCTCGCGGACAACACCATCAAAGTATGGAATGCGGAGACGGGAGCCGAAGTGAGCACCCTCACTGGCCACACAGACAAAGTCAGTCTCCTGCAGTTCGCGCCCAACGGCCAGCAAATAGTATCTGCGTCTGACGACGGTACACTTCGCCTATGGAATGTGTAAGGTGCATGGTTGGGCATCTCGAGGAGAGTAGAGAGAACGATATTCCGGCGTCGGTTGATTGTTACTTCGGTTTCATTGCTCTTCACGCCTCTAATCAATTCGTGTTTGGATGCTTCGGTTCCAATGTTATCGCATGGGTACAGGGTGGGATGAAAAGGCCTATATAGTCTTTATCAGATACCCGGCATATTTTAGAAGTTTTAGGATTCCGGGGAGAGTAGAGTCGGGAAAGGCACTGCATCTGGTGATTACATGTGTTACTGAAACAGCGTTGCGAACTCGTCTACTATGAACTACACTTACGGAAGCACCAACCCGAAAGCGAAAGAATCATTATATTGGGTGTGAGAGACGGGGTTATTCCTTCATCTTCAGCTTCGATATTTGAATCACCGCCGTGCTTCCCGTGATTCATGCACAAGACACGAGCGGCCGGAGACAGCATTTGTGCGGAGGGCTGTGCAGAACAGGTGAGACTCGAGTCAATCAACAAATGCAGCATCTGCGGTCCCGCTCATATCGTAATCGCTCAGAATACGCTGCTCATTGGCAATTGCACGAGGAAGCACAATTTCACCCGTTGACAACCCTCGTCGTTATATACACTAGACTGCCGTCAGGGGGTTGCCAGACGGAGCAATGGAACCGTAATTGATTGTAGGCGCATAAGTATGGTAATGGGCGGCAAAGAATTACCGTGACTTGGGGCCACAATTCACGCACATGAATTCCTGGGTAAATCTTGCTGTAGATTTGGTCAGCGAAGCATGGTTTTCACCTCTTTAGATCCCCCGCGGTGATGATGTGGTGATCATCTGGCGATGTTCTTTGTGTATCTTTGTCTCGAATCTTTGATTCAGAGTCCTCTCAGTCGGAGCGTCAATTTCCGCACGGTTACTCTACTCAACACTCAGTGAGTCTAGTATGGTGCTCTGAAATTTCGTTGACTGCACGCACGTCTCCGTACTTTCGTCTCGTTTGTCCCATCCGCGGACAATGTGCTGCTGTGAGTCGCTTTAAGCGAAGGTTCAATTGAAGGAACAAAGAATTCGTGATCATCTATGAGCAGACGAGATGTGCATGCGATGTCCGTGGGATACCCGCATGAAGCATCAGAAGACCTGTGACATGCATCAACACCTATCAGGTGTGAGCTCTCATCGTCATCGAAAGGAGCTCCTCCCGATGTCGATATCTTGTATGCACAAGAATCGATCAGTTTGAGATGTGATATCTTATGAAACAACTCGAGCGCGGTTTGTTACGGCATCGTTTCAAAGGTGCGGATGAACTGTTCACCACTATCATCGTCCCTACAGTAATGGGGATGTTCGATACGACGCGTCGAAATGATTGTGTTACATTATTTGTCCAGGAGATCCACAGCGGCATACATGTGATTCATGTGCAAGCAAGCGCGTACAACGTAGATACAAGGCAACAGCAATGAGCGTCGTACAGGAGGCAATAACATTTAGTTTCCGACATAATAACGGTTCAGCTACATATCAATCTACGGTAAGGACCTGCCACATTACACGCCGAGCAAAGTGGTGCGAAATCTGGCACGTCCATACCTGCCGGGAAGTTTAAGGGGTCAAATATGCGACGGGCCGTCAGACCGACGCTGGGCCGACAAATGAGGTCGTGCGATAGTTCATGAAGCGATTATATCTAATGGAGCCCGTGTCATCCTCAGAGCGCAGTGGAGGACTCAAAGACGACGGCGCAGAGAAGCCCTTGCGGAAGGCCCTGAAGCCTCGACCGTAGGAGGGTGCCCACAAGGGCTCGTCGTGGTCACTATCAATGCGGGAGGAAGAAAGTCCCGATTCGGGTGATTGAGGAGGCGTGGTCGATGATGAGGGAGCGTAAGGTAAGTAAGAATAGGGGTGGCCTCCCAGGAAGTACGGAGACGGGAGGAATCCGGGAATCACATCCGCCTCGTGGTTACGGTAGTGACGACGCATGTTGGAGTTGACACTGAACAACCGGCCGCATTTGGGGCATTCGTACGCTGATCAAACAATTCATTTTAGACGTTTCGAACATATCAAGTGGATAGACGCACGTCGAGCACCCGTATGTATGTTGATGTGGGTAGCGAGACTGCTGGGCCGGTTGAATCGCTTCGGGCAGTACGGGCATTGGTGCTTCTTGTCGTCCTCACGCCCACGGCCTCGAGGCCGTGGAGCAGACCTTTGGTATGGCGACCACGTAATGAGCGAGCTCAGAGGGTAGGGTACCCCGGTCGCTGTAGACGCCGCAGGACGGACATGTCTGAAGGGGATGGCGGGAAGGTCTAGTGCGGCTATGATTCCGTGCGATGATCGTCCTGCTTGGTCTACGGCAGACATGGCGGAATGGTGAGAACGGTTGTCACCGACGAGAGGAGGCGAGTGAAGATAACGTCGCTGAATGGACGGATCCTCACTGACTTCCGCAACGCGGCGTGCGGAGTACGGGGAAGTTGCGTGTTGACAATTGACAGCGGCAAGAGGACCGGTCTCATCCACCTGCTCGGACCAAGGTAGTCATTCGCGACTTAGCAAATAGGGGTAACTGCGCAGCAAGATGAAGTCTCACCTGAGTAAACAGTGTGGCGTTCACCTTTTCTTCACTGTGTCGGGGTGCAGCGAAGTGTTCTACACAGTACAAGACTTAGTTCGTTCCCAGTACGGCCTTACTGAGCTCCACGTACCAGGCAGAACCTCATGAATGCGAGGGAGAGTAACGTGGCTTGCTTTGTGAGGACTCTGCATGCTTGAGAGAGGCACTATCCACCCAGGCAGTCAAAGTGTGATTGCCAAGGGGCAGTAGAGACTAATAGCGCTCGGGACACCATGACTAAATATCTCATCTGCTGCATTGCCATGAGCAGCATCTTTGCATCACGATGTGTATCACATCTTCAACATGGAAGTCGAAGTCGGACCGGGTCTCTCCGCGCACAGCGCTCAACGAAGCTACATTGAAGAAGCCCGAGAGCGCACAGAAGGAAAGACCCGTACCAAAAAGGCTGAGAGGAACAAGGCCAATAGCTTGTTACATCACGATGAGCTGGTGGACGATACGCTCGATACGAAACGTCGTGCATAGAATTACCTATTCCAGCTGAATCGTTGGCAGCACTAAACCTCTCTGTCCTTGTCGTCAAGTGGACGCGTCTTTGTCTGCTGAGACAGTGGGCGGCATTGGTTGTTCTTCGTTCGGGGCATTCTTACCCGGATGGTACCAATTTCCGAGTATTCCTGCGATGCTGTGCGACTGAACTCGCTGCGGGCGTTTGAGGATCATCTTCGATGGGATAGATGCAGATGAGTTGGCAGACAAAATATTAGCCGTAGCTGGGCGGTGAAGTCTCGCGATGAGCATCATGAGAGAAGTAGGCGCATGGGCGCTCTCCCATGGGGTTCAATCGGAGCCCATGTGTGATACTGGGAGGCTGTTGTCGGAGAACACATGGTGTGCTTTGAAATGTGGCAGGTGGGATCCGTTAGGTTGGAGGGTTCAGTGGACTATACTGGGCAACAGACGCCGGAAGATAACGAGTGCGCAGAGGGTTAGGTACCAGGGAGACTGGTGAGCGCACGTCAGAGCCTGAGAGACAGACCTAGAATGTGTCAGACGCCATGGCATGGCCCGTGCTGGACATGCGGCAGGAAGCAATCCGAGGTTCGCGATCGGTGAACTTGAGTCGGTTCGACAGTTGAATGAGTTGAATTCCGTATTTGTCGTCCAGTCGCAATTGAGTCGACTGCGCCTGATCGCCACAGGATTTTTTGAAATAGCGCAAGATTGGCGAGTCGACCACACACAGTCACGGCTTCACAGACGGTCTCAGGCGGTCTCGCATTCGCACTGCACCTCGCGATCGAGATGATGGGAGCTGTTTACGGGGATTGGCGTCACGGTCACGCCTATTATGATCGATCTCTGCAATCTGTGCGGCACGATCCGTCGGCGTCTGTCAGAATTCGAGCGGAGTTCAAACGTCCAACTCTAGTCAGCGCCGGACGCCCCTCGTCGAGTTAGCTCGCACTTCCGCCGACCACCTCGCCTCAGCTTTCCTCCCGGCATTTGATCAGCCTGATGCCCACCGCCCGAGGAGGTATAGCTCAACGAGTGTTCTTTGAATACGTCAAGTTCGTGGCCCGAACCCCGAGGCAGATTGACGCCGTCTGCAGCGCTCTGTCAGCCCCTTCCATCAGTGGGGACGATCTGTGGCTTGCTGCTAGGCGCGACGTGCTCCTTTTTTTTGTCATGGAGTACCAGCTGCCGGTCCACGACGCGTCTGACACCATACTGCAGCCTGCTGTTGGTGTCTGGGAGGTTGAGGCTCGTGTCCAACACGGACCTCCGCATACACCGGTAACGCTCCTGATGGTCCGATCTTGCATTCCATGCAGAAGGCGGCGGTGAGCGCATGATGGCAATGCAGCGTCGGTCATTTCGGCCACAATACTAGGATTCTTGCATCGGTTGTCGATCCATACCGTGCACTTCGACGGTCAGCGGTCGGCGAGCGATACGCCGTTCAAATTCAGGAGACATCGATGCTCCGGAGGCTAGAAAGTGGTAACTATGGCTCAGCTGTAAGCTTTACCCCACACCGACTTTGGTCCGACCGCGAACGTGACCCCGCAGCCCACCATCCATTTTTGGTTTATTATTATGCGGACAAGCGGATCGACCTCGAGCATATAGCGAGATATCTCGACAATGATCTGCAGTCCAGCCTGACAATAGGCATTGTCTCCTGTCCTACAGATTCCTGGAAGGTCCGCGAAGTTGGCTCCATGGTGACTGAAATATCTCGCCACAAGTCTGGCGCGGCTGATGCTGACATGGGATCCATGATGAACAACAATCATCCTAATGGTTTTAGACAGTCTCCACGAAAATGGAGGTCGGCCTTCTCGTAGCTGCAATGACACATGCTGTTGAGCACATTATGGATCATGCTCCTGCCGGCTGTTGAGGTACGTGGAACAAACTTGGGTTTGTGATGAGACCGCGCCTCATCATGAAGTGCATCGGTAGAAGTCGATGACCTGGACCATGAGAATACCGGGTTGACGAGCTGCTGCGGGCTTTCTTGAACTTGCGAAACGCTGTCCAGTCCGGTGTCTTTCGCAATTGCCCAGCGATGCCCGTCTTTTCGTTCGTATGTCCTTATGCGATGTATTTCCCCATATATTGACCCAAAGGCGAATGTTTATATTCCGTAGACACGCTCGTCGACGAGTACGCAGTATAATGTCAGCACCGTGTGTGCCGGCAACGCCATCGCAGAGACTGAACCCAGGCTGTCTCTCGGCTACTCAAAAGTGCGATTCCCTCGGCAAGTGCACCGGTGCAGGAGTACAGGTCATGGGTCAATGCCGCCCATTAATCAATATGCTTGATAATCCGTTGATCCTGCAGGAACTAATATTTAAAGGCATCGTCTCGTCTGGAAGGAACGTGTCAAGCTGCCGGGCGCCTGTATATTTACGGTGCAACCCCGCCCGCGAACCAGGGATTTCGCAGAGGTTCTCCGCTGATGCCCTAGATGCACGGATGATGACGCCAAGAGCGCCATCGAAATGTATCTCGACGACGCCCGTGCTACGGAGATCGGCTGGGCTACGTCGAAAACACGACGCAAGGATAGCGGTGGGAACAAGCGCCGTTAAAGCGCCCGGGACCTGGACGAACATGTGGTCTGTTGGCAGCTGCACGAGGGGGTCTCCGTGCGCGCAACCGCGTCTGCAGTTGACGTCAGTCATATGACGCCTCCGCGCGCGAATAGAAGGCGCGGCGCAACGGGTGCGTGAACAGAGGCGAGCACGGTGTCGCTGTGATGGCTGGAGACGATCACAGGCGTACGCGACGTTATTCGGGACGATGTCGGAGGGGCGAGCCGCCCGTGCTACTTCGGTCTTGGTCGTGCAGTCGGCCTGGGGCGGCGCCCGCGTTGGGTCCGAGATGCACGGGTGTTATTGAAGAAGATGTGATGAGCTGTTGCGCTCCGCAGCAATAGATGCGATGGAGATGATGAATTCGGTCTTCATAACAGAGCAGAATCGCTCGCCCTTCTGTTCGTGATTGATGCTGAGAGAATCTATTATTCATCTCTGTACAGCCTATGCATAGCGAACGAGAACGGCGAGAGAAGCGGGCGCAGCCTCCATGCTGTATAGCGAGCAGTGCTGAAGCGATGTGTCGGCTCGAGAAACGAAGATTGCCTGCGCAGGCATATCACAGTGGGTGATGCTCGTCTGGACGACCCGTTCCGTCACGATCGCCATGGGCATCCGTTTCGAGGTAAGTCACCGCGCATTGTCGTTCCAAGATATTGGGTCACCATCCCTATGCAAGCACGAGTGCGAAAGCAATGCTGTAACAAGGATCGATAACAGAGCGCTCTACACACGAAATGCTTGGAACTGAGGAGGAATGCTTCCGCATTGGTTCCGCGAGAGCCAAGTTCCCCGTGCGTTGCCACGCCTTCGGCTTCCTATGTCTCCAGCCTCACTCAGCGAGCGCTCTCTATCGGCGACTCAATATCTCGAAAGAAGATCCAGCTTGTTGTAAGCAGGAAAAATCAGCGGGCTCAAAGGCGCGAGTTGCGGTGGGCGAAGGAGAGCGAGGCTGTGGGTGTGTGGGTGAATATGTGGGTTAAGACAATGGATCGAGATCCGGCAGTGGCGCGGCGTCCGCGGCTCTCTTGCGATTGCCGGAGTCACGTGGTGCACCGCGGTTGGAGGGATTTGCGGCTTCGTTTCATCGTCTTCGCTGCAGGCATGCGGCGTGCAGCCAGCTGATCAGTTGAGGTTGACGTCTTGCTCTTATTCGCGACGGGCGGCGGCAACGTGCAGGTTGCGCCCGCCGGTGTCTTATTGTGTGCTCTTGGGATCCGGATATCATCTGTCAGCTCTGGGCAGGCTTCCTTGCTTTTTCATCTCTGGATATCTGGATATCTGTATCCCGCCAAATCAGCATCAACTCGAGGTGCGGGCATGCTTCCTCCTCCAGTGTGCTCATATGTGGACGATTATGAAAAATGGAAGATGACATGGCCCGACGTCTGCGCACGTTACATACTATGCTATGGGCACGCGTCGCGCGGGTATTGTTGCCCCTTCCTGGGATGGTGAGGATTCCCGGGGCTCCACGCTGATCAGCGCGATAACTGGATCCAGTGCAGAAGGCTGCAGCGAGGCAGAGCCGCGTACGTACGCCGTGGTATCGGGCGGCACTAAGCCGTGGTGGTAAGGTTTCGGCAGAGGACAGGGTGCCGCGGGTCTCTAACCTCCCGGGATGGGAGCGACGTGACGGCGAACAGGAGTTGCGAACGTCGCACAAACTCCTACGTGTGCCTCGGGGCCATGCATGCTGAGCTGCCATATACACGCAGGCGTGCCTTCGATTGCAAGCCCGGGCTAGAGGGAGAATATTATCGGCTATCTAGGAACTGGGCCAGAGATTTTCTGCGAGTTAGATCTCCCTTCCATTCTGGGATGCCTAGTATATCCATTTTGGGATAGTCTGGGACGCACGAATAGGAACCGGGGCCGGTGTCCTCGGATGGGCGACTGGGAAAACGCCGATCACGACAATCCTGCGAGAGGGCTTCTCGGTATAGGAGCAGTTGTTCCCGCGCGTATGATGCCCAGATGCGCGATGATGTGCCACAACTCGCGCGTATGCGGCCGGCTAGGCAATCATCGATGGACGAGGCAGGCGAAGCGTCGCATGGAGGATCAGCGTGGCGCGGGCGTGCACGGATGGATCAAAAGGGGGATTGCACGGTGCAAATCAGCGTCGATACCAAGCTGGCACGGGGGCGTGTTCGTGATCCTCCGCCTGGGATGCTGTCATCGTGCCCTTCACCACACGCGCGCGTGATTTATAGCAGCCGCCGCGCGCATTCGCACTTACGCACTCGCCCCGCGGTGCACGGCGTACTAGGACGGTGGGAGTCCGTGGTCGGCGGTCTGCCCGCTTCCACGGGGAAGACCGGATGTGGCGCCGGAGCAAGAGGGACGAGCGGGACCACAGCGGGCGGCGACACGAGGTGGGCTAGGGTTTTCATCTTTCATCTCCTCGGTCCACGGGCGTTCCGCTCACGGCATCGGCGCCAATCCTGCATCTACTTCCAACTTCCGCTTATAGCCTGCTGATCTGTAAATCTCGATTTGGCACCATTCCTGCTGTGCCACAGCTCCTCTATATAAGTATCCCGTCCTGGCAACCATCCTCCTTTCCTGTTATCTACCCCTCCCCCACCCTTCGCCGCGCCACCACACACCCTCGTCCCACCCATGTCCTCTCCCCGCTCTCCCAACGTCAAGCTCCCCAGCATCAATGAATTATTCCCCGGTGAGCCACATTTTCTCATCCTTCCCGTCTATCGTCGTTGAACAAACACATCGATCAGAGCACCTCCTTCCCCCGCCGGCTTCAATGTCGCGCAGGTATTCGCAATCCTCCTCGAAAGCCAGTCCTATTTCTCCGTATGCCGCTGAGCCCGCTGCGAGCTATCCGGTAGGCCGGCTTTCTTCTCTATTTCGACGTTCGCTAATATACTATTACGCACAGCATACCTCCACGAGAATAATTGTGCCCGCTCGAGTCGGATCCGTCAGAGCCCCAAGTCCAGTCCATGCCGAGTATCATGACTCGTCTCGACGCGTCTCAATGAACGCTCACGCCACGCCGCCGCCCGTTGCGCTCGCGAATGACGCCCGAACCAACGGTCGCTGCACCGAGTCCTGCTGCAACCCTGACGCCCGTGCATCCCGCGATGTCGCCGCCATGGCAGCTTCCCACAACAACGCCACATCTCTGCAGGTAGCAGCCCCTTACTCATTTGATGTCCTCCGCCCTAATCCGCTGACTGCTAACCTCGAGAACGTGGCCTCAAGCCACGGCGCTTCCAAGCCGCTGCGCATCCCCGGCGCCGGTGGCTACGCTTATCACCACAATGCCTCCGACGGCTCTGCGGTCGACGCCATCACAAAGTGGCGACACACCTTCCGGGTGCAGCTCCCGCTCGCCTCTCCGATGCTGTCTCCGTCAGAGTCGTTCGCACCACATTTCGTTCGCGCGGACGAGCACGAGGCGCCGCATACGTTCCCTCCGAACTTTTCGGCAAACCAGTATCTTTCCTCGCCCACCACCCCAGGAAGCGCACAGAGCTTGCAACGGCTTACACAGCCGCAGCCTGAAACGAGCGCCGGCTCGGACGAGAAGAGACATTGCTGCCCTCATTGCAACAAGCGCTTCAACCGACCGAGCAGCCTAAACATTCATGTCAATACCCACACGGGAGCAAAGCGTATGCATTTCCGCCTGAATGAGTCATGCTTATGGCTGACCACGCCATTATTTTCAGCATTCGAATGCCGGTACCCCGGATGCCACCGAAGGTTCAACGTTAATTCCAATATGCGCCGCCACTATCGCAACCACCTCAACGGACGGCGCCGTGACGCCGTCGCGCGGCTGCTTCCTCCGTCTCCATCGCCGCCCCGCTCCTCATCGCGGTCACGCTCGCCAGAGTCAGCGTATCAGCCGCCATACCCATATACTCATCCGGCCTACCTGGCGCGCGAGTACGGCCGCTCTGCGTCGTCGTTCTCGGATCCAGAGGAGTACGAGCGGCCGGAATACGTGTACTCGGCGCGCGTATCAGCGTCACAGGTGAAGCACGAGACGTCCGAACCGTTACTCGGCCTGCCCGAGTCAAGCCTGCGCGACGACAGGTGCCGGCTGCGCTCAAACTCGTCGCCGGTTCCGAGGTATGGAAGCGAGCGCGACCGCGTCCGCGCGCAGAACAGCGCCTGCGTTATTCCGGGCTGCCCGTGCGTGCCCCCGCCGATCTCCACTGCGCTCCGCCCGGCATTTGCAGACTACGCACCGACATTGTCCAGGGAGGCCTAGTACCTCGTGAGCGCCGTGCACGAGCTTCTGGCTCTCCATTCATCGCCCGGGTGCTCTTGTTAGGATCATGAACTGTACGATTTTGCAAATCGCGGCGTAATATACCAGAGCTGTCTCGTCAACTGTGATCAGCTGCGAGCGTGACTGTCTCGACCCTCTCCACTCCCAATGAACTCTATCCGCGTGGACTCTGATTCGTTTGTACTGCTGCTCATGTCCGGCATGCCATGATGTCGCTTACGTGCCCATGATTCCCATCGTCTATTCTCGCACAACCGTCGATGCCCTGCTCCGATCATATGGCTCGCTCATGCTGAATGTATCATAACCCGCGATCTATGTAGCCTATCGTTCGTTTCCTCCCGTGGTTATCGCAGTCTTATTCATGAATCGTGATGTCATGCAATATACCTTTCCTTTTTGCACGCATCATGTTCTGCCCTGGTGTACGGATATTACTGCGATGAGTACGTACATTCTCACGTCAGTTCTCGGTGTGTGTGACTCGACACTCTAGGGACATGGACCATAAGGTGCGCACCCACATGAGCACGCCACCCATGATGCATGATGGGCACTGCCGCCGGGCAGACGGCCGTGTCAGAGCCTGTGCTAGTCGGAATCCCCAGCTTTGGGGCGCCGCGACTGGGACAGAGCACACGTTCGCGCGCCTAGATTGCGGGAAGGTGTGCGCGGGAGGGTTTGGGCAGATAGATGCCCTTCGCCAATCGGGGGCAGATACGCTCTTGCACTCGGGGCGCAGCGCGGAATTGGAGAGTGGGGCCCGTGGGAGGGGCACCTGCCAATGAGAGCACTGCATGCCAAGTCGTTCTGATTCGTTCTCGAAGATCCAGATGCTCTATCCTCCCCTTCGCCGGCAGATTTGCCAAATTCATGGATTAGTGGGCAAATCAGGGTCTGCTGTGGGCGCTCGCGCCGCACATGATGATTGATCTCCCTGAGAGACGGCCTCCGTCGTGATCGCCGCTGGAGCGATGTCTGGATCCGCGCGGACTTGTTTGAGGTTGGGTGGACGGGTGTCGAGGCTCGGGCTGCGCGCGGGTGCTCGCCCTTGCGAGATGTAAGAGACGTGTAGAGCCTTACGTGTGGGACGATTCGATCTGGCAGCGCGCCAGAGTCTGCACATATGATTCCCATCATGAGCACTCATCGACATCATGATAGTGATTGAATTCAACGCTGGATTACCACGCACGCTGCGCTTAGTGAACGTCTAGTGGACCCCCTTGTGAGAACTCCCGTGGGCGCAACGCGTTACAAAACTGCGTTAGCAAACACCTGGTGGCCGCGAGGATCGCCTGCTAGCTGGTGGTGGGCAAGGGCTAGCGGAGCGTGCAGACAACGCCGATCATGACGCCATTCATATCAGTCGTTATTATCGGTCATCTCGGGCAATTCTGACGCGAACATCAGAGATGTACGTCTGGAACGTCAGAACATCTGTGATGGTTGACTGAGTTCAGGTTGTCTTAGCGCTGACGGTAGAGCGCCGTGCACGGCGATTGTTGCTCGTCTTGAGACTCTTGATTAATTGACTTCTAGCATTCATTTATGGACCGCCGCAGAATGTGGAAGCATCACGAGGCTGAGATGGCGACATGCGGTCGCGAATTGAAGCAGGTAGGCTAGGGTCAGCTCAGGGTCAGAATGGTCAAGAGGACGGAGGTACAGTATCGACGCGGAAAGTGCACAAGGTCCCCGCGATCGGCAATTTCCGCAACATATTAACGCCACCAGTGGACGCGCCTGCATTTGTGCCTTTAGACTCGTATCCAGTCTCTAGGACAGTCGCTCCTATTCCTCCATCCGCTCCAGGCCTCGATTTTACTGGAAGAAAGAAGATAAAATGTGACAATTTACCTCTGCGACCCATGTCTCGCTCATGTCAAGCAGATCTGCCTGATCGCTGTCAGCTTTTAGACATATTACTTACGGCGGATGCTGTCGACGGCCATCTTAGGCGAATCCTTATGCGGTGGGTCTAAATGATGCATCGATGAAGGCAACTGTCACAAATCAAGCTTCCGAGACTCTATGGCGACATCAAACGGGGTGCGAATGGACACGACGGCTCCATCGATGCGTAATTACCCTCGCAAGAGCAGTCATCATGCTATCGTCAACTGCACGCGTTTCAGGACATGGGTCATGTTGCACACGAGCAACTTGGCTAATATACTTTGCGTTCACGGGATCAGCAAACATATCTGCCAAGTTCAATCGATCTCCCTTTCGCCGGGCCTATCAGCCAAAATAGAATTGGACAAGAATCCTCGCAGGTATCGTAAGATCATCTCCAAAATTAGTTTCAATAAACTGCTGCGATCTCCGAGCGCATTTACAAAGCTGACGTGTTGGACAATGCAGACCGCACTCATGCCGTTGCGCGGCGATGTCCTGCCCGCAGAACTATTGCACAAGAACGACTTGGCCAATATACTTTACGTTCACGGGACGAGCAAGCATATCTGCTAAGTTCGATCGGTTTCACTTTCGCCCTGTCAGCCAAAATAGAATTGGACAAGAATCCTCGCAGGTACCGTAAGATCACCCCCAAAAGTAGTTTCAATAAACTGCTGCGATCTCCGAGCGCATTTACAAAGCTGACGTGTTGCGCAATGCAGACCGCACTCATAGCATTGCGCGGCGATGTCCTTTCCGCGGAATTGTTCAAGCACAAGAGCGACTTGGCCAATATACTTTACGTCCACGAGGCGAGGAAGTATATGTACCCAATTCAGTCGATCTCGCTTTCGCCATGTCAGCCAAGATCGTCGCAATAGAATTGTACAAGTAGCCCTCGCAGGCATCGTAAAATCATCCCAAAAGCTGCTCCAATGGAGTGCTGGGATCTTCGAGCACTTTTACAAAGCTGAGGTGATGGGCAATGTATACTGCGCTCACAGCATTGCGCAGAGATGTTTCGCCCGCGGCGCATTATCGGTCATCGTTATCTGATGTCTAATGGCAGGCTTGCCGATACATAGTCAAACAAGCATTAGTCCGGTACATACATATCAAGGCCAGCAGTCCTCGTTCACACAACCCTGGGGTTTGAGCGGACGTCACGTTCGCCTCATTCCTCCGATCGGAGGGGCCTTACTAGACGCAAGTAGCTTACGTATTACCTCCAGAGGTAAGTAAAATGTATAGGTACGGTCGCAAACGTGATTCTGTTCTCCATGCTCCGATCGGAGGTATCATGAGTGGACAGCCTGGAGTCACCATTTAGACTGATTGACACAGGTCAGCGTACAAACTAAACATAGACTCTAAGTTCTCCGTACATTAATCAACCCTTAGCTCACAGCGTACGTTGATGGGCTCAATTATGGCATTCCAAATTGATGCCCGCCCGACCCCCGACAGGTGACGTGCACGATGCCCCTGAATAGTGATGCTTCGAGTATACAACTATCACTCGCCGCTCAAGGGCTCATCGCGTCTTGCGGTCTCACCGGCTCAAAATCTTGTAGGAGCACCCCGGACATTTCCCTCAGTTCCGAGGTTTGCCACCTTTGCTGACCATCGGCGACCTCCTTCCCTGTGGCGATAGGAACAGGCCACAATGAGTATATAAATAATACTCGTTCTCCCGCGAGATTCGCCCCTCAGGTACGCTCCGGATCTCGAGATCGCCTTCGTGGTTCTTCCGGTATCGCAACTTGGCCAGTGCGCGCGCTCGCTGCATTGATCTGTCAGATCGGGCTTACTCTGATCCTACAGCTGCGTCGTGTCCATACGCATACGAGTCTGCAAGGCAAGTTCCGGACCCCGCGTTGGTCGCAAGGAACGTCTACATACTCTGCCTGGAAGCGATTATGAAACAGGCTAAGCATCCTCAAACCGGGCGCCTCCGCTAACCGAGTTTGTGCGAATCTCCCTAGGCAATGAGTTCGAGGGTCCTGTTCTTTGCCTCTCGGCAACTTTACGCGCCACCACGAAGATGATTCAGCTATATGGGAGCGGTTACAGTGTACATTGACGCCAGACGGAACCGTCTTCATTGAGGTCTAATGATGCGCAGCTACACTAGGGTGCGTGCTAAGGCGATGTATCGCGACTTGCAGAAGACTAAGCTTTCGCGACTACGCCGTGTTTCCACTGCGGAGTACGATGACCGATGATTACTAGTCGAGGTTAGATGCGATGCCACTCCAGTACACACGCTCACGCCACACGCATGGCGGTGACAGCTGTTTTAGCGACGACATTTGAGCGACCCATATCCAACAGTGATTTGCGTATGACCACACAAATTCCTCGATTGTCTCGGCAGCGATTCCCTCTGACATCGCGTAACAATGCGAAGGGAATGCCTTTGATTTAAGTGGCTTTATTGAGCGAATGTTGACAGCCGGCGAGGGTGACGATCGTGAATTGTTCCTGTGGAACATGAAAGCGGCACTGATCTGGAGTATGCTCCGACACAAGCGAAGGGATTGTGAGGAAGTATGTCGTCATTACTCCTTGCCGCCATGCTGCTCTGACTCACAAGATAATATTTCTCTTTCCTCTATGTTCCGCTCATTAGAAATCAGGCGCCTCCGCGAAAGCCTGACAGTGCGTGAACTAATGCACGGAAAAATAGTTTATTGTGTGCCGCAATCAGTGTGCTTGCCATGATGAAGATGTTGTAAGATGGCAAAGACAAGGCACAGTATCTTTGGCGATAGCGCTGAATTAATCTAACACGCAAGGTATGCGGCAGCTGCGAACATCGGATGGCATCAGCGCCCCGCCCTGCCCTGTTCACTCTACTGTGAACTGCTTGTGAATTCATTACATCAGCGAGCGCGAGCGGACGTCCTTGAGATTCCTGCGTTCGAAGACTGTCCCTGGGCAGAGATGCACCCATCGGGCAATCTGAGAAGGCCTCCTATGAGAACCCGACTTGGTCACCGCGAGAGCCTCGTGACTGGATCCCCGACACCGCCGCTGTTAGGGAGGCCCAGCCGTAGCACAACAGGAGGACGGACTATACTCGTGCACAGAGCGCATCTTCGCCGACCTTGTTGCCCGGGCCACATGACAATGCGAGAGCGACCTCCGTGGTCTGCGGTACATCATCCTCATGGGGAACGAGTCGGTGGCGTTTCCTATCGGAGGAAGCTTGCGCAGTTGCTAGCGGCAACGTGGCCTCGTGTAAAGTCATATGAACCACACGAGTCTTATAAGTTCTCAAGCAGCGGAGGCGGATCCTAGTGTCGCCATAATGCCAGGACTGAACACTCTCCCGCCTTTTCCGGACGATGTGCCTACTCATCCGCTGCTCGTAGTGGACTATGAGCTCATCAAGGCCGGAGATGAGGATGAGATCAACAAATTATGGGACGCAGCGGCGCACCTCGGCTTCTGGTAGTGAGTAGCAAATGCGTCGGACTTGCAGACCAAATTATTGCTCACTCGCTTGTATCAGCTTGAAGAACCACGGCGCTGACGAGGAGGTGGCTCAGATGTTTGATATGGGGGATGAAACGATGCAGCTGCCTTTCGAGGAGAAGATGAAATATGAGCAGGGAGATGAGGGATTGTCCTGCGGGTACGTACTTGTTCTTCCTTCGCTACGGTATTTACCAATAGCATGATACACAGGTACAAGGCGCCCGGTGCAAACGCCACAGATGAGAGCGGTGCCCTAGACACCGCAGAGTTCATTAACATTGCCAAAGATGATGCATTAGCCTGGCCTGGCCACGTATATCGCACGTACCCCTCGACTGTTAATGCACGCATGGAGTTGACCATTATCCCGTTCGTGCGGAAGAGTCTTGAGGTGAATCGCACCTTGATAGACGTGCTCAATGAGAAACTGGGGCTCCCGAATGGCGCACTTTTGAAAAGGCATTCCCTCGACGAGCACAGCGGAAGCGAGGCGCGATGCATCCGGTCGCCTCCTATGCCTCCAGGATCACCGGATAACAAGGCAGCAATTGGCGGACACACAGATTTCGGGTCGTTGGTAAGCGCGACGAGCATCTCTTCGTGAACGATACAAACACCGTGATCACCAGTCGTTCCTGCACAATCGGCTTGGCGGGCTGCAGGTCATGGTACCAGGCACGGATACATGGCAATATGTGAAGGTCAGCGCGCCGATCCTCGCTATATGACTACCATGCTGAGAAGAGCATGCAGCCCATTCCCGGGCATGCGATCTGCAATCTCGGAGATGCCATGACGATCTTCAGCGGGGGTATCCTCAAGTCGAACCTACACCGCGTGATGTGAGTAAGAGAGAGGTCATCGATGATCTGCAATCGCACCGTAACCAGTGGGCTGCCCTTCTCATCGATGATCCACAGATCGCCCCCGAAGGAACAGGCAAAACATGTGCGCTGGTCGCTCGTGTTCTTCACGCGGCCGGGGAACTCTGTTGAGCTGCGCACGCTCGCGGACGAGAGCCCTCTTATCGCGCAAGCGGTTGCGGAGGACCCAGATAGGAGCTATCAGACGGGAGTCACTTCGAAAGACTGGTTCGCTAGGAGGATCAAGAATCAGAGAATCAAGAACAGGAAGGTGCGTCGCGATTCAGATGTTAGATGGAGTTTATGCAGACAAACTTCAATAGGGGCCAGAGACATGGCGTGCTAGCAGGGGTATGGAGCATCGACCCGCAGCAGCTTGAGCGTCGCAGACGTGGTGTCATTAAGGTGTATAGATAATTACGCGTACGCGTCAAACGTTGTATCCGAGCATATGCAGTTGCCGAGAAGGGTGGTCTTGTATTTACAAATTATACAGTAGTGATACATCCAATGCTATCGATCATGAACGTCAGGTAAATCGGTCAGGTTTCGGAAGGAAATACACCAACAATGAACGAGAAGTAAGGTGTCCGTAAAAGTGTAGCCGATTATAGTCCACTTTAAAGGACATGGACTGCATCTGTTGGGAGAAGACCGCCGTGAGCGCACGATGCTGAGGCAATCCGCATTGGACACTCACCCAATATGCCAGGGGGAAGCATGATCACTTCACGCATCGCGCTAATCTCGTGCTCCGCGATCTCCTCAGCATCTTTCCAGAAGATGGAGGTGGTGTCGATCCTTGCTTCTGGTATGGACCCACTGAGGTACACATGTGCAGGAATCGCTGTTGCGATGCCGCTTGATGAGGGCAACGTGAGCTTGACTAGCATGTGCGGAGGCTCCATCGGTGTCTCAGATACGTGAGATATCTCACTGTGACTGCGGATCAGCGGGGAGCGAAATCCTGCGAGAGAGCATGGGGGCGTACGAGAGAATCACCGCTGTGAACGCATACTTTCTAGCCTTCTTGATTCGGAGCGTCGCGAAGCAGAAGTCGTCCACCATTTGCACGATGTTAGCGTATGCATCTCGCTTGGCGGGCTTGTCGCAGAATATGAGCCTTATTCTTGATTTTGGGAGATCGAGAAAGTAGTATGGAGGTATGACGTTGAGACGGTGGGCCTCGCGGATAGGATGAGCAACGTTACTTTGAATCTCATAAAGCCGCATGATGGTAGTTGAAGCGTTGACAGAAAGAGGCTGTCAAGGTGGCCTTTAATCGAGGGCCTAGGGACGGGTAAGCAGTGTTTAAAGTTCATCGCGGGCATGACTGAGCCGAGGTCGCCAGTACGATACAATAAGCATATGCAGGACAATGAAGAGGTTTATCGGAAGATAAGGACCTAAGGTAGAACAACGACACAATCTTCTGCGAAATATATCAACCTTCCAGCTTCACGTCCGACCACCCGGCGGCGGATGGAGACAATGGTAGGTTGCGTTGACAACTGCGAGAACAAGCTGGAACACACCGTCACGGAGATTTGAAAGGATCTCGAGTGATCTGAGATACACTCCTATTCGCTGGCATTGCGGCGCAGCAGATACACAACGGTACGTTAACAATTGTGGGCGGTGACTGGGTGTTAAACGTGTCCAGCCAGCAAGAACAATCAATTGAGGCGCATGTCCAGCGACAGGAAAGCAACCACTTTTTTCTTGAAACCTCGCGAAAGCCCGCATTGACCGCAGAGATTGCTGAGACAAAGCAAGATGATCGTGGATTGTGGCCAAGTCCGCGGCGGCTGCTTGGCCCCGTGGCGTGAGAAATCTCATCGTTGTCATAAGACATTCCAAAAACGGTAACCATGATGGTTTGCATAAATCGCTCAAGTTTCAGGATTTAGGTCCATGCTCGTTCCTGACGAAGTACTCAAATGCTTCGGGAACAGTATCACGCTAGAGGTATTTAGTTGTGAAACAAAGTCTCGCGGATACTAAGTGGCGCATTCCATCATTTTGTACCCGAGCCACCAAGACCTCTCACGGCGGGCAACTCGGACTTCAGTGATATGGTTCATAGGCTACCATTAGCGTTATCGGAGCTTCCAAACATAATGTGAACGTTCAATTGATGTGTCCGCTGTTCGATTCTTTGTCAGAAAGAGAGTCTCTCCGAGTCTGAATGTGGCGTCAAGTACAACACTAATCATTCCGAACACGCCCGCCCGGATGTTCAACGTGGTGGAGGCGTGGAGAGATGTAATCTATTCGAAGGTTTGAATGAGTACGCCAGTGTGCCGAGAAAGGTATCAGCGCTCACTACAGGAGTGTCCGCGATTAGCCTCATGCAGGTTTCAATGAATTTTCCACAGATAGACTGTCCCTGTTTGAATTGCTACAGATATAATGTCAGAACTAAATACGTGCTACTCACGGTTCACTAAACGTTACGCTTTCGAATAGTTTCACAGCGCCTGGGGTAAGATAAACAGAGATCAGTAAGACCATCTTCCCAGCTCACGGGGCAGCCACGAAGAACTGATCTGTCAGCACAGGCAAGAGCCATCTGAAACAGCACACCAAAGAAAGCAATCTATTGAACGTGTCCACATTCCAGTGCTGCGAGCCGCCTCAAATAGCGCACAAAACTCATGTTCCGCTAGCTCTTCGGAGTCCGTCCGATACACAAACGCCGTGTCGTCTTTCACTCCCGGAACATAGCCGACAATGTAGTTGCATGCCGAGAATTCTCTCATCGTTGCGACAGATGGCGCCAAGACGAGCTTGATCGGGATGTGTGCGGGCTCCATTGCTCATCAGAGTTGGATAACACCCAAAGATGAACGTACTATACCCGAAGCCGTGAAAGCATCAGGTGGGCGCACCAGATGATTACTGCGATGTCCAATTGCTTCGCTCCCTTTTTCTTTAGGGTATATTGGCAGAAGGCATCGATGGCATGGACGATATTGGCATACGGCCCGCGGATGTGGAGCTGTCGCATGATACAAGTCGTGTTACGGCCTGTTGGGGCTTCGTGAATGTAGCACCGTGGAGTAGCATTGATCACATGTGCGCATGCGGGTACGAGATTCACCTGCCTCCTGAACGACTTCGCTCGCTCGGTGGTGCGGTTTGACTTCTCGAAGGCTGACACCGGATGTACTATGCGTAGAGGGATCATGTTCAGCGAGAAGTTGCTGCACAAATTGCAATAATGTTGTACAATACAAGCGAGATATGAGTGATGGACGAAAAACCAACGTGCCGGCTCTCGATGGAACAATAGTAGCCAGTCGCTTGCTGTCATTCTGTGTCGCCTACACTGCGTGGTGGTGCGTTGCAGGTTGCGTGATGTTGTGACAGAATCATGTAGATTGAGGTTCCCGCTCGCTTTGAGACAACGTTTGAGATTGTGGGACTTTGTCATGTCCGTCTCTCACTGTCATAAGCTATCGGTGATCAGTGTGGTAGAGTTCAGATATGGATTAATTCGCAATGTTCGACTGTAGCTGAGTTATCGAGGCCCGCACCTGTCCTTAATACCTAGATCTCCCTCATGTGCTTGATCTCGTACGAGCCATTGCGCGTTAATGCGTCGACCCACCGAGACAGCAGGCGCGTGCGACAGACCTCGCGAAGACAAACACGCACGTGATCGCGTAATACACGTCGCGTCGCGGGTCCTGCGCGGCCCGCCGCGCGCTACACCTCCGAAATGATATACGAAGCATGTCCTCGAGCACACCCACCGGCTATTACCCTAGAGGTCGGTCAAATTTCCGCGCTCTCGAGGTAGAAGCTGCCTTACGAGCTGGTTATTGCCAAGTCGGCGGAGCGGAGTGATTGGGCTTTGGGGGAGTTCGTCCCCACGCGAGGTCGTAAGTTGAGCTACGGGCTGCCATGGTGACCATTCATGTTTAGGTCTCCCTGGAATGATGTTAAGTACCTACGGTGCGCGTCCCTCCACTCGCAGACTTGTCCCTTTGTCTCGCAACTTGACGTCGGTGTTGGCAGTGCCATTGTTTCTGTACAAGTCGTAGGTTTGGATCGCCATGAGACCAGCAGCGCTACGATTGCCCCTCTACATCGCGCTAGTATGTCCGACCGAGCTTCCAGATGCAATTTGATATCTCTGCGGATTGTGACTTTGTATTGTCTTCACAGTGGATATTTTCCATCATCCTTCTGATCTTGACGGCGGTGAGGCTCAACTATACACTCCATTTACCGAAGGGAGACCCGCTCGATGGAGGGACCGACTTTTACGGTACGCAGCAAAGGATGGACGTCTGTATTAGCTGCGCTGACGGCCGTTGGGACTACATAGACCCCATAGTGGCAGAGCTGCTGGTTTGCTCTGTGCTCACGCTCGGGTTCGCGCTCTTTGTGTGAGTCGGCTATTTCATTCTGTCAGTGTACGCTGCTGAACGCGACGTAGGTTCCGGCCTCCTGTGTCGCTGTTCGCTCATTTATTTCCCGACGTCTCGATCGTGGTGATCGAGGTGATCGCCCTCGCCGTTCTCTGGTTCCTCTGGCTCATCGGGTCCGGGATCGCAACTGTGAGCACACTGACCCCCCACTGCTCCCACTACATCCATCCGCCTCCTTTCGACTTCTAACGGAAACAACCCGCAGAGCATCTGGCCGAACCTCTCGTGGTGCTATCAGTACTCTGCGTGTCGCGTTCTGTCGGCGATGACGGCGTTCGCGTGGCTCGGCTGGCTGGCGCTGTGTGGGCTGCTGGTTGTGGGGATGTTTGCTGTTCTGCAGAAGAGGCGGGCACCGCAGTTTACTGTGGAGATTGTGCAGAGCACGGCGCAGACTCCGTCTGTTATGACGCAGGTGTAGTGCGCCGTGGCCGCGTGATGGTGTTGTAATGGTTATGGACAGTTGTATTGATGGACTTTGAGGAAGCCTGCTTTGACGATTTATTGTAACAGTCGTGTAGTTGCTGATACTAGATCCGTGTTGTATGCAGCGTTCTTTCCTCTGCGTTTATATAGATAATCAAACAAACGAATGCTGTGACCAAGCTGGTTTCATAAGGAGGAGATTAGTTGACGAAAGATCACGGGTCACCGGTGTACGCGATCGAGAGAGGCGACGCGGCGAATTCCCGGAAACATACGCGCTGCCTTGTACGCCCTGCACTGCGTTCCTTGCCCGCCGCGGTCCGTGCATAGCTCGCCTCGGACCGCTGTGAGCAGGTGTGCTCTCTGCTGACCGCCCTTTTCTCTCCGCCATGTTACGCCCATGTGCTCGTCTCTTCGTCCCCCACGGTACCTCGTTCTCGCTGCATCCCTGGCCGTGCTCGAGCTATATACACACGCGATGATCTCGCCGAACTGCTGGCGACGTCAGTTCCAACTACCTACTAGCTGAAAGCAGGTGTGAAGCCATGCGCGCCGTCTTTTGGCTCTCTGTCGCGCCGCTCTTCCTCGTGTTCTCCGGATTCGTCAGTGCTTTCTCTCATAGACGCTACACGCGCGAGCCCCTCGATGTCAACGAGGGCCTTCACTTTCCTCTTCATGCCCGCGGGACTAACCTCGATGGATCTCTTCCGACCTACAAGAACGCGAGCGCGAGCATCGAGGACCGCGTCGCTGACCTTTTGCCGCGCATGACGCTCGACGAGAAGGTCGCGCAACTGTGAGTACCGCGGCAGTCAGGCTCATTTTGGCTGACCTTCGTGCAGCATTCAAGGCGATATCGATGGCTGGATGAATACGGATCCTACTAACGATACTCTTGCATACAACGAAACTGGCCTGGTGAGTCCATCTCCTTCGTCTCACGATCTGCAAGTGGTGCGCCCGTCGCCATGGATAGCATATTCTCAACTTCTGCCCTTTGCAGATCGAAGAGCTCACAACGCGCAACGGCGCAATATGGGGAGGATACCTGATGTCTTGGGAGAAGTGGGTGTATGCGATCACCATCGGCCAGCGGTACCTCATGGAAAATACCACGCTCGGCATCCCCGCCATCGTCCAGAGCGAAGGTACGCCCACTTTCACATACCTCGCATATCCACTTCTCATCCTTTCGCACCGCAGGCCTACATGGCTTCACGAACAACGGGACCACCTGGCCCTCGCCAATCGGGCTGGCCGCATCGTTCAACGCGCCACTCCTGCGCGCCGCCGCGCACACGATAGGCACCGAAGCCGAGGCGCTCGGCTTCTCGCAGCTGTTCGCGCCTGTGCTCGATCTCAGCCGCGAGCTCCGCTGGGGCCGCGTCGAGGAGAATTTTGGCGAAGACCCGTTCTTGACGGGTGAGATGGGCCGCGCGTACGTGCGCGGCGTGCAGGAGGGCACGAGGCGGAATGTGAGTGGGGAAGCGGTGGCGCGCATGGCGGCGACCTGTAAGCATTTTGCTGCATATGGCTCGCCTCAGGGTGGTTTGTGAGTTGCATTGTGTGGTTAAAGGTTGCTACAGCGCTGATCGGGGTTTCACAAAATAGAAACCTTGCGCAGGTTTCAGGAGGAGAACGTGAGATGCGGACGTATTATCTGCGCCCATTTCATCGCGCATGTGCGGGATTCGACGGTGGGAGCATCGCGCTGAGTCTGATGAGCGCATACGCGAGCTATGATGGCATCCCCGATGTCTCGAGTTACCGTGAGTATCTGCACACCTCACTTGTCGCATCCTTGCTCATGGCGCACAGACCTGCTCACGGAGATCGTAAGTCCTCGCACTTAACACCGTCACGAGCGCAGTTGAACATCGTGGCTGGCAGCTGCGCGACGAATGGGACTACCCCTACTTCGTCACGACGGACGCAGGCTCGCCGGACTTGCTCATTACATGGCACATGACATGCACAACAAGGAAGTGCGCCGCGAAGCAGGTCCTGGAGAACGGAATCCAGATGGAGATGGGAGGCGGGAGCTATACGTATGAGACCCTTCCCGGTGAGTTGTTCGTGGACGGAGGTGGTATGGAACAAAGCTGACGCGTGTCGCGCTGCAGATCAGGTTGCGGCGGGCACTGTGGACGTCGAGTATATTGACGAGACGGTCGTGACGATCTTGCGGACAAAATTCGCACTGGGCCTCTTCGAAAGCGAGTATTTGTCGTCTCCGCCATTACCGGTGTACACATGACGATCCCTCGCACAGACCCGTACCCGTACCCGGACTACACGTCGATGTTGCGCACGCCTGAGACGCGCGCGCTGCTGCACCAGATGGAAAAGGAGCAGATCGTGCTGCTCGAGAACCATCACAACACGCTGCCGCTCAGCAAGAACATCTCCTCCGTCGCGCTCATCGGGCCGCAGGTGAACCGCGTCTCGGTACGTCCTCCCCACTCATACACATCTCTACCTTGCACGCCGACTGCTTACTTGCAGTTCGGCGACTACGTCTTTTACAACGCGACGCTGAATGGGATCTCGCCGCTCCAGGGTTTTGAGGAACTGCTCGCAAACACTTCTGTGAAGATCAACTTTGCGCAGGGATGCGAGCTTTGGTCGGAGGACGAGTCGCAGTTCCCCGAGGCGGTTGCGGCGGTGGAGGCGTCGGACGTGGCGGTCGTCATGGTTGGCACGTGGTCGCTTGACCAGACGCTCCTGTGGGAGCCGGGCACGAACGCGACGACGGGAGAGCATGTCGATTTGAGCAGCCTCGCGCTCGTGGGTGCGCAGGGAAGGCTTGTGCAGGCTGTGAAGGCGGCGGGGAAGCCGACGGTCGTGGTGTTTGTGAGTGGGAAGCCGGTTGCGGAGCCATGGATTAAGGATAGTAAGTGGTCTTTTTGTGGTGCAGCATACATAGGCGCGGAGTAGGGTGTCTGATGGGGATGTGTGGTCTGTGTAGATGCCGACGCGGTCGTGCAGCAGTTTTATCCCGGTGAGCTTGGTGGGCTCGCCATTGCGGAAATTATCTTTGGTGATGCGAACCCCTCGGGTGAGTACGGTGTTCACTGGCACGGTGATGGTCGAGCCAATTTTTATGAATTGGTAGGTAGGCTCCCGGTGTCTTTCCCGCGTTCGGTTGGCACGACGCCTGCGTTTTATAATTACCTAAAGGACGGGCGGCCGGTGGACCCTGGGTATGTCACGCCGAATGGGACGCTCATGTTTGGGCACCAGGTGCGTGGCACGGAATGCATGACGGAAGGAATAGGCTGACCTTCGATTATTGGATTGTAGTATGTGTTGAATACGCCCGTCCCGTTGTGGAGCTTCGGGCACGGTCTGAGCTATACGACTTTCAAGTAGTCAGTGGTTCAGATCGACGTCCTGAGGAGGTGCTGATGCCCGCTTCGAAACATAGCTCAAATCTGGAGCTGTCGTCGGATGTGATCAGCACGATGGACAACTTCAATGTTACGGTGACGGTGCATAATACTGGCACGGTGGACGGGAAGGAGGTCGTGCAGGTGAGTGCTCACCGCGGCTCGAGGTGGTATGCGAAGGGTGCTGATGGCGGGAATGGCAGGTTTATATCACGGATGATTATGCCTCGGTCGTCACTCCGAACCAGTTCCTCGCGGCGTTCGGGAAGGTGTTCATCTCGTGAGTGACGAGGTTTGATACGCTGGTGATCCGGTCGTTGTTGATGTATGGTGGAACGGCAGTGCGGGAGGCTCGGAGACGGTGACGATGCAGGTCAACTCATCGCAGTTGTCGTTGTGGTCCATGAGGGGCGAGTCTGTCGTCGAGCCGGGGAATTTTACTGTGAAGGTTGGGACGTCTGCGACGACGTATCTGAATGCGACTCTTGTGGCGGTGTGATGCGAGTGTGTGCGTGCGGAGTTGATGGTAACAAAATAGGCGTGCTCTTGGAGGGTGTGTACGTTGGATTGGGGACTTTGTAAGTGTATCGCGTGGTGCGCTGTGCACTTTGGGATGATTATGGGATTTATTGTAGAGAATGCCTCATGTAAAATCATACACAGACGAATGTACAGGAACAAGCGCATATCGTCATTAAGGTCATTGGATGAAGTCGAGAGAGAAAAATCATGCTCTATGCCTTGATTATAATCAGACCAAGGTCAAAAAGTCAACATGGAGGTAAGGAACCTCATCTTCCGAAGGAAGTAGATTGGAGTACCAGTAGAGTGTTGGGCACGCACTGAATGTCAGTCAAAGGCGCCGCTGTAGGACCATATCCTTTTATCGAGACTCCACCTTGGAATTAAACGTAGTAGATTCTGCCAGCTGCAGAAGGAACAGAGAAAGTCTTGTAAAGGCTCGCCAGCCTGGACGCATGGTCTCTGATTGGAAGATGACCGTATAGATTTCAACTTTGGTATTCAAGCTCGAGCTTCAAAGCTTTAAGATCAGCGGCGCGGTCGATACACTAACTTGGAAGTAAGCAAACTGGCCAATGCTGTATCGTAAGCCGGCTTCAGTTCAACCGTAGTGTGTATCATAGTCGGAGTTTCAAACTCCTATACTGAACGCCTGCACCCGTCTCCTTAGCTCCTACCCGTCTCCCTCCTCGCAGTACTTCAAGCTCGACCGCACCTCACCATGTCCACACCCGATGAAAGCCTCCACGCCTTCGGCGCACGTCGCTCACAATGCCCTCCCGCCTCCTTCTACCGCCTCCGCATCGCGGTCGTCGCGTATAGCGCCACACTCGCACATCAAAGGCCTTGGCCTCACTCCCGAGGGCTTTGCGAATGCAGATGCTGCAGGGTTCATCGGACAGACGAATGCGCGCGAGGTAACTCATTTTACAGATTGGTCTGGAGATATGGACAAATGAGCAGTCGGTGACACGCCGTCTCTAGGCCTGCGGAGTGGTCGTCGAGCTCGTCAAGTCGCGCAAGTTCTCTGGACGCGCTCTTCTGCTCGTCGGTGCGCCGGGTACAGGAAAAACGGCACTCGCCCTTGCTATCTCGCACGAACTCGGTGCGAAGGTCTCATTCTGTCCTATGGTTGGCTCGGAAGTGTACAGCACGGAAGTCAAAAAGACGGAGGTTCTCTCAGAAGCATTCCGTCGCGCTATAGGCAAGTCTCCTCTCGTCTGTGGCTCATTACCATTTCTCACGTACTTGATCACCAGGCTTGCGGATAAAGGAAACAAAAGAGGTATATGAGGGTGAAGTGACGGAGCTCTCGCCGGCGGAGTCCGAGAACCCTCTGAGTGGGTATGGAAAGACCGTCTTTCATGTCATCGTTGGGCTCAAGACAGTCAAGGGCACGAAGCAGCTGCGGCTGGACCCGAGCATATACGAGGCTTTCCTCAAGGAGAAGATCGTAGTCGGTGATGTGATCTACGTCGAAAAAGATTCAGGTGCTGTGAAGGTACGTACGCGTGTTGATCATATTGACCATTATCGTTGACTCTTGTAGCGGGTTGGACGCTCAGACGCATATGCGTCATCTTATGATTTGGAGTCGGAGACGTATGTTCCTCTGCCAAAGGGCGAGGTACGCAAGCGCAAGGAGCTCGTGCAGGACGTGACGCTCGGTGATCTCGATGCGGCAAATGCGCGACCGCAGGGTGGCCAGGACATCATGAGCGTGATGGGCAGTCTCATGAAGAGCGGCCGAACAGAGGTGACGGAAAAGCTGCGCCGAGAGGTGAACAAGGTCGTCAAGAACTATGTCGACCAAGGCGTCGCCGAGGTCGTCCCGGGTGTGGTGTTCATCGATGAAGTGCATTCTCACATGTGCTAGGTGCCGGCCAGGGGCTGATGGGTCTTTCATCAGGTGCACATGCTTGATATTGAGTGCTTTACGTACCTCAACGCTCTGCTAGAGTCTCTCATGGCGCCAACAGTGATTCTCGCTACTAACCGAGGCAACTCGCTCGTCCGGGGAACGATCGATCTTGTGGCACCACATGGGATCCCAGTCGATCTTCTTGATCGGTGCGTTAACACCTCTTGGAGGCAGTGACGGACAGGTTAATCGATATCAACTACTCATTCAAAAGATGCCTCATCGTTAAAACGGACGGATACACCCACGAAGAGGTTGCGAAGGTCGTCCAACTCCGCGCTGGTGTCGAAGGTCTGCAACTCGGCCGCGGCGTCCTCGACAAACTTGCACAGCGCGGCGAGACGAGCTCACTCCGGTAAGTCATTATCAATACATCTTTGCATGGTCGATTCAGACATGTCGTGGTTCACCTCGCTCGCCATAGGTACGCACTGCAGCTCCTCACACCTGCCTCGATTCTCGCAGGTTTGGCTGGCCGCAAGCAGATCGAGCTGGAGGACGTCAACGAGATGGGTGAGCTCTTCATGGATGCGAAGACAAGCGCGGCGGTAATTGGCACGGAGGGCGGGTTCAATGCGGATAAGACGCTGTAATGCTTGCACGTGTGCGAGCGGATGGTGGTATGTAGCACCCGGTACGTGGGTAGCTTGGTGATTGGCGACGACAGCTGATTCAGTGCCGTTCCATCTGTCGCAGGTAGGGCGTGAATGCGAAGGAGCTTGAGCAAAATATCGACGGGCCTGGCATGGTCCGTCTGCTTCATACATAGCAGTACTGATCCCCGATGTATTAGATCCTCGAGGCGTGCAACATGACCCGCACGCTCAATTTAATGTGGATAAGCACGCTCGATTTAATTAAATTTTGCTGCTAGCGCGGTCCCTGAGCATTTGACTGGTGCTGGTATGAGCGGCTATGTCTATGTGCATGTCATGTTGGGTGTGGAAGTCGCTTTCTAGCGTGCAGTCTCGCTATGGCTGGAGGATCCGCGCCGACGGGCTCGGGCTCGGGCTTGGGCAACGCATTAGGTGTGTATTGATTTGTCTTGAGCTGTTGGTCGGGGCGATTACCTGGATCAAGTTATTTCGAGCAACTGCGCAAGTACCCTCACACTCGTTTCAGGTGCGTTTAGCTCGACACACGGTGCTTCTGACGATGCTCACCGGTATGACTCCATTCGGACATGCTCAAAGCACATAGCTCGCAATGGCCGAATGAGATCTGCCTTGGCTGTGCAGGCCGCTGCCTTAGAAGGAGCACAATCGAGATTGTCCTGCGATTCGGAGCGTTCTGCATTCATTCGCGCGGATCCAGGTTGTGTCGCTGCTTCTCTGATCCCACTGAGTCTTCCTCGCATTAATTTATAAGCGGCTCAGGACTGCATCGATCGGGACGCCATCAGCTACCGCCCTAGTTTCCATGACATGGCGAACGCCTGACGGCCAATTGGGGTCGCCTGCATGAAACGGTGACATTGTTCGATAGCACCGACCTACCAACGTGCGCGGTACTCCATCGGTGGTTCATTCCTTCTGTTCAAGTGGTAGGCAGGTGGGTGACCTCGAAATGCCGCCGTGAGCATTCTCATACCACCTGGCTCTGCTGATCTTGCCAGAAGAAGCTTCTTTTGTGAAGCTGCGCGGAGTTTTGCGGGGCCCATGCTTCACCTTCTTTACAATCTGGAGATGGGATATGTCCGCCGGATTAATGAGGACATCGCAATCAGGATGGCCAGGGATGGAAGACGTCCTGGGCGTCGAAGGCAGTCAGCCGACCCAGTCTGACCCCACGCACTTCCCACGACTCTCCGTCGACGGTGCTGGTGCCGCAGGGACCGCCCCGGCTGTGGGACTGGTGCAGTCGTGAATGGCTGGTCATCACGGCAGATGACTTCGCTGCGGTCGTCCGGATCTGGAGCAGTGCACTGATCATGACAGCGGAGAGACACTCATCGGATTGTGATACGAGGCTTGTGGGCAGTGAAATATTCTAGTGCTGACCCAGATCCGCCTCCGCCTCCTATCTCTCCAAATGCACCTATACACAAGGGCATTTGGATTGAACTCGTGTGCCGCGGCTGATCTCACATGTGTTCACAGCGAAGGTAGCCCAGGCTGGTCATGTCTCGCACGATCGGTTTCAGAATCATATCGAGGACCTTCTCGGATGACACAGGTACTATACATGCTCGTCTTGGCGACCAGCAAGGCATGCAGAGACATCGCACAACACTCTCATATCAGCGCCAAAACTTTCACCAAGGCATGTGCCAATGTACGTTCAGAATTGAATCATGGCGGGCCCGCGCGCGGTCGAACCTGCGCTTTGTCCAGGGGCGCCGCCACAGGCGA